ATTTATATAGTTTTAATATGTGCTCAAAAAACTGTCCGCATGAGTCACCATTTTGTGAGCCTTGTATCTCCACCATATCTCCACCGATTCCCACGGTGTAGGGCTCAAATGAAAGCCCTGAAGCCATACTACAATGTGGTATAACCATGTCCTTGAGGCATTTGTTCGTTCTCACACAATATCATAGATAGTGAAAAATGTCAAAACATGCGGACAGTTTTTTGAGCCACTGTATGTCAATGATAGTGAATGGTCCCTCGCATTTAGGGGCAAGTTTCCGATTAGGATATCCAAGATGTAGGTTCTTGGCTTCAAGCCAGACCTTATCACCTTTAGAGAATGGTACAAATTTAGACGTGATTCATTGATGCATGGTGTTACATGCGAGTTTGTGAGCAGCTAGCACTTCATCATGTGCTTTATTAAGGATGATAAGTTGTTGTTCTATATTAGGGATGTCGTATTTTGGATGGAGATTGGGGAGGTGATGTGGGTGATAACCCATCATGAGGTAAAAGGGGGAGGTACCATGAGCAGAGTGATGGCGAGAGTTATGGACAAACTCAGCAAGTGGTAGCATGGGTGCCCAGCCTGTTTGATTGTTGGCACAGAAGATCCAGAGGTAAACTTTGAGTTCTTGGTTAACTCATTCAGTTTCTCCATCACTCTGGGGATGGAAGGCAGTGGAAAGAGAGTTCTTGTATCCAAGGAGTTTTCCAAGTTCGATCTGGAATCGGGAAGTGAACTGAGGTCCATGGTCAGAGATAATTTTATTGTATAGTCTGTATCTAGAGAAAACTTTGGAGAAGAAAATGTTTGCGATGCCTTCAGCATCAATAGTTTTAAGGCAAGGGGTGAAAACTACCCCCTTTGAAAGTCCATGGTCAACCACGACCATGATGGAGTTGAAGCTGTCAGAAAGGGGTAAGTTGGTAATAAGATCCACCAAGCAGTGAGCGAAGGGTCAGTTGGAAATAGGAGTGGGGATTGGAAATAGAGGGGGTGAAGATGGGTGTGTGTTTACTTTATTCTGTTGGCAGATGCAATAGCCATCTATGAAGTTCTTGACAAAAGTGGCTAGTCCTGGCCACCAGTAGTCACAAGAGAGGAGTTCCTGGGTTTTGAAATGTCCAGGGTGTCTGGTGGTGGGGGAGTTGTGATGTAGGGAAGTGAGTTCTCGCCGGAGATCTCTGGGGGGTACATAAGTAAGTCCTTTATAAGTGGGAATTCTGTCGCTCAATTTCCAATTGGAAAGAGCAGAGCGGAGGGGAGGAGGAATAGAAGAGTCAGTGAGCGCTTGGAGTGCAGTATGAACTACAGGGTCAATCATGGAGGAAATGTGTAGTCTGTCCATAAAGGTAGTATCAATGACATTAACGAAAAGGGAGTCAGGAAGGAGTTGAATACTAATATTGTCCTTTTCGATGCTATCATCAGGAAGGTGATCCGTTCTACGAGACAGTAAATCTGGGATAATAAGATCTTTTCTGGGTATGTGTTGGATTTGGAGTTCAAACTGGGAAAGGAAGGTCTGCCATCTTGCTTGGCATCAGTTCAGGTCTTGTATGTCTCTAAAATAGGTAAGGTTTTTGTGGTCAGTTTGTATGGTTACAGGGAATGGAGATCCAAGGAGATATTGTCACCAGGCTTTTAGAGCCCAGATGATAGCAAGTAATTCTTGGTCATATATCTGGTAATTCTGTTCAGCTGGGTTAAAAGACTGTGAGAGGAAGGAACAAGGGAGCCAATTGCCATTATCATTTTTCTGTAAAAGAACTGTGCCAGTAGCATATAGAGAGGCATCAGTGGTGATGGCAAATGGGGAGTTCTTGTCAGGTATTTGGAGAATGGGAGATGCAGTGAAGATATGCTTCAGCTTATTGAAAGCTTCCTCATGTTCTGGGGTCCAAGAGAATTCTTCATCTTTCTTGGTTAGATCGATCAGTGGTCTAGCGATGGAGGAATAGTCAGCAACAAACTGTCAGTAAAAGTTAGCGAATCTGAGGAATGATCAGACTTCCTTCACTTTTGTGGGAGTCTTCCATTCAGATATACCCTTTAGTTTAGCAGGGTCCATGGCAATAGAACCGGGTTTAATGATCATGCTGAGGTATTCGATTTCCATTATGTTAAAGGTACACTTTCTGGGTTTGAGATGGAGGAGGTTGTCACAGAGTCATTGGAGTACTTTGTGAGTATGAATACAGTGGGTTTCATCGTCTCTAGAAAAGATGAGTATGTCATCCATGTATATAATGATCCATCCTTCCTGGATCATGTCTCCAAACAGGTCATTCATCATAGACTGGAAGGTGGCGGGCAAGTTACACATTCCGAAGAGCATGACCATAGGTTCAAAAAGTCCTCTGGAAGTAGCGAAGGCTGCCTTCCATTGATCAGTTTTTCTCATACATACATTGTTATATCCCCATCTGATGTCCATCTTGGTAAAGATCTTGGCGTCCTTTAGCTTATCTATAAGACCTGAGATTAGTGGTAAGGGGTAGTTATTTTTAACTGTATGTTCGTTCAGGTAGCGATAGTCCTGGCAGAGTCAGAGGGAACTGTCTTTCTTTCCGATGAAAAAGAAGGGAGAAGATTCAGGAGATTCAGAAGGGATGATGGTCCCTTTAGCTAGATGTTCATCAATAAAGTCATTCATGGCCTTATCTTCTTTGGCGTTAAGTGGGTAAATTTTGCATTTCTGTGGTTTGAATGATTCTTTGAGGTCAATCTTGTGGTCATATTTTTGTTCTGGAGGAAGGGTACCATTAGCTACATCACCAAATACGTCCTTGTATTGTCGGAACTCTTTGGGTATGAGTTCTTTGAAGGTTTTCTTTGGTTTGGCAGTGTCCTGGGCAAGTGTCTGTGAGATGTCGTCAGTTTCCCGGATAAAGGTATAAAAATCATCATCATCATTGATGGGATCTAGGAGATGTGGGAGAGTTTTGTTAGCAGGGTCCCATTCTTCTTCTAGGTTCTCTAGAGCATCATAAAAGATGTCTTCATCATCTTCGATTTCTTCGATGGTTGCTTTTTTCAGGGTACACTCCCTTAAGTGGACTTCTTGGTTAGTCCAATCAATATCTGGGTTTTCTTTCTTTAGCCAAGTCATTCCCAGGATAGCGTCTTCTCCTCCTAGAGAGGTTACAAAGAATTGCTTTTGCATCAGGATATCTTTGATTAAAAATGAAAGTTCACAGTACTGTGTGATTCTTCTGGCTTTATTTAATGTGCCATCTACATTACACACAGGTATTGGGGTTTCAAGTTTGTGCATGCGAATGTTTTCTTTGAGTATGAACTTCTCATTGATAAATTCGCCTTCTGTGCCACAGTCAATTAGAGCGGCAGCCACGGTGGTTTTTTTGGTCTTCTTCGATCTGATGGTTAACAGCAAATGAATAGAATTATTATCACCAACAGATTGTACTACTAGTCCAATTCTGGGAGTTTCTGACACCATGGCAGGCTCCCCTAAGCAAAATCCTCTTTGTCACTACTTTCTTCCTTCTTAACCAGTTTCTTACTGGCTTTCTTCATCTGGCATGCTTTAAACGCCTTCCATTCTAGAAATTCTTTGTAATCATCGTCAGATGATTCCTTGATTACCTTTCTAGTGTTGGTCATAACCATGGGATGGTTAGGGCAGTCTGTGGCTAAGCCCTTCTTGCCGCACTTGAAGCAAAGGCCGCCTTTGCACCTATGCTCCCGTTCTTGAGGAGTCAAATAAGTCTTTCTAGTTTTCTTCTCGCTGTCTTCTTCGTCTATCTCTGTTCTATCTATATCCATTGCATAAGGATCCTTTGCTTTGGTATAAGTGGGAGGTGCTGTTAAGGTCCTTCGAACCTCGACATCTAAGGCTTTCTCCAGCCAGGATTCAATGGTGGTGGGAGTTGTGTCAAAGGTGTAGATTGCAGAGACAATCTCATGCTTCAAGCTGTTTCTGAAGAACATGATCTTGGTGTTCTCTTCATTGATGCCAGTATCGGTGAGGATGGTGCGGAATAGGGAGGCATATGCGGCTACACTGCCGGTCTGTCTAAGGGTGGAGATGCGATGAATTGCCATTTGTTCAACATTCTTAGGGAAGAAGGTCAATTTAAATTACTTAGCAAAATCTTCCCAGGTTCCATAAGTCTTAGCTGCTACTGCGGCTTTCAGTTGGCCTTTGGCCCATTTAGCAGCTTCACCTTTAGTCATAAGGCTTAGCGTGAAGATAACCTTTTTCTTGTCGTTATCGTATACTTCATTGTTCATGTCAAGGTATGCCTCGACTTGGAGGGTCCATCCCTGAGCAAGGCAGGTATCACCATTGAAAGGTGAGGGGGTCTTGCCAATTTCTTTAGGCATAGTGGCAGTGGTTGATTGTTCATAGGTTTGGGTAAAGAAATTCCAAACTTTGTTCTTTGGGGCTAGGGTTGCATAATAAGCTGCCCACTGGTCGAGAGAGTATCTATTGCCTTTGGTGTCTGCACAGAAGTATTCTTGTTCTTCTTCATCCCAGGTGAAACTGGGAGGAGTCAGTGCGATGGTCAAAATGGTGTTCTGTTCTGGGCACAAGTTCTAGGGAACCGCGTGGTAGTGAAGTAACTTGACCTTTTGTTACACTTGGCATTTGTAAGAATGACTAGACAGAAACAAATGATCTAAAGCATGAACCTATTCATGAGTCATGCAAGTTAAGCAGTATATTGCAGGCCCTGGTCTGCATAGGTCAAGTTAAAGAATACAAGTGTAAGAGAGAGAGTATATATAAAGAGATTAAAGTGGAGCTTTAACAAATGAATTGGAGATGAAAGGTAAATAACGAATCAGAAAAGAGAAAGGTAGAATCATATGATAGAATGATTAGTAATGTGAATAAGTGAAAGAGAAAAAGAGGAATTGTAACATTGTGTGTCATGCATTTCAAGAGGAACTTGTGGCCACTTCAAACACAGGTGTTGAAGGAAGTATATAATGCCATGTTGAGTCTATCTTTGTCAGATGCATAACCCAATTTTCAGAGGACACTCGGTGTCATCAGAGGTGGCAGCCAAAAAGCTGAAGCATGGCTTAAGGACAAACTTCAGACCAACAAGTTCACATTGCTCACACTATACCATCCTGTGAGCTTCATACCCAAAGATATTTGGCATGTGTGCCCAACCACCACAAATGGCAACAAGCAGGCCCACCACAACATCAACCATGATGGGGTGCACCTAATGCTTCTTGGTGGTAGCATGAGAGGCCAAGCCTTTGATGACTGAGCAGCACAGAGCATCAACATTCATGCATTGCTGGGCATCAGCACTCATGATTATGATGCTACTCATGCCTACTGAGCCTCAAGAAGCATCACTTGTCAAAGTATAGATCTTCATCTATGTCATTTACCCATTGTGTTGATAGCATCTTAGCCCTTTCACAGTGCCATCATGTCACTCAACATCTAGTGACACAACCCACAGGTAACAGACACCAGAACCATGGTTCTCATGATGATGTTATGCATGTGCCATTACAGCAACCAGCACCCAGAAGAATCCTACCCATCATGCCAGTACCATCCTACTCACTTTTCAATGCTCTTCAACCAGATGTCAAAGGTGTTCTGGAGCTGTGTCCATGGTGACAATATTCTGTATGTCCACTGACACATAATCATCTGCAAGAATGCTATTCTAGCAGCTATGTTAGTGACCTCAAGTACACCCTCATACCTGGAGCTGGTATCATTGATTATTTTCCTCCCCTATCTCAATAACAGTGCTAACCTACACTTCCATCACTATTTACCAGGACTATCTATACCCTACAGTCATAGTGTCCCAGTCATGATACCCTTATTTACCAGGACAATCTATACCCAGTCATGGTATCCCTGACACTTTGATGCTCTTTGCTTCAAAATAACCAAAGTAAACTCCATTAATGCTGTCATCAAGTCTTTCTAGATAATCCACTCAAGCTCATTCAACATCTGGTGTTTTAATCTTTATTAGCTCTCATCTCACACTGTTTCCAAATATTTTCACTCAACTCAATTCTGTCACTCACTCATTGGCCACCAACCACAACATCACATGTCAGCATGTTCAAAATTCAGCCACAATTTTTGGCTTCCATCTGAACTTCAGACTATGGCTACCATACCAGCTCCATTCTTCCATCCCTCCCCAGTATCTCACTCCATGGGTGTAATACTCAGCTTCCTTCTCCCATATAGCCCAGATTTGATGTCAACAAGGTGTCTCTGCACAAGCCTAAGCAGAGTAGCAACTGTTTAATGGCACTACCTCCACTTCTCTCACTGCTTCTTTGTTACATTTTATTTTTTCAACTACTAGTCTGCTACTAATCTTAGTGTACACCTACTAACCCTCCAGGTCAACCAGGAAACTTCTTGCAGCTACTACCAGGGCAGCAGAGGTCCAGCAGCCCTCCAAGACCAAATGGTGCTGTGCCTCCATTCCAATCTCCCATGATGTCTCACTCTCCCCATATTACAGGAGGCAACCCTGGCTCTGGACCACCATGAAACCCATATCCACTGTGCAGGTCTCACTATAGACAATTCCAGGGGAGTGTAGATATAGAATAAAACAGCCAATCCATGTATTATTGTGCCACACATAGAAACAAGTCACAATGACAGATATAAAATATAACAATGTGTGTATTGAAAATTCTGCATCTGACAAGGAGAGACATCAACATAATGAGAATAAAACAATGCTATCATAGCAAAGAGGACAAGAGGAAGGGAACAGTTTTGGAGAGAAGGATGTGAGAAGAAGAGAGCTTGGAGGGACATGAGCGGCAGAAGGGAAGGGAAAAGTTTTGGAGAAAAGAGAGCTTGGAGGGACATGGGCAGAAGGGAAGTATGTGAATGGGTGAAGGAATGCATTGAGGGTTATATACAGCTGGGTGATGCTGTCACAAATAAGCTGAACTGAACATCACAGGAAGAGTCTGGAGTCCTTTCCTTGTGAATTATGTGAGGTTGTCCATACCTTGTTTCCTCAGGGTTTGACAGAGCTGAGTAATGTCCTAGTGATAACAGGGCACCAGAAACCCTATACTAAATAACATAACTGATGTCTATTGATAGGATTTTGATATTTAAAAATATCAGCAACAAAACTGTTACAATGCATACCATGTAGTAAATTGCTTTTATCCATATTTTCATAGCTGCCATCCCTGTTATGATATAGCCAAAGTAATCAATCTCACACAAACATTGCAACAGTTTGTTGCTTACTGTAGTAGTTTGACTAAGACACTTCAGTTCTTTCAATCAAGACTGAAGTGTAAGTACTTAGCATTCTTACCTATCTTATACACAATACTAATCAGTTACTAGTTTAATCTCCAGGTATGTATTATATTTACTGAGTTCTCTCAATCAAGACTGAAGTTTTAATCTCTAGTTCCAGTTTTCAACACACTCAAATCTCAAGATATACCTGCAGGATCTATAGGATCTGAATGATTTACTAGGTTCCTGCATGATTACAAATTACCACTATTTCATCTCTTGCAGCTGCAACTAGTGCTGCTGTGGTCCAGTTTGGAGGGTCCTAGACAAGAACCAAGAACTGGACCATAGAGAATGGTTCTTTACAGTCCAGTTCAATTTTTTTGCAGTCCAAACCCAAACCAAACCAAAAAAAATTCTGTAGGGAGTGTGAAAAAAATATTGATGAAGTACTAGTCTACACATTGAGTAACTAGTCTAATCACATGGCTGCATACTCCCCTGCCTCTGTAGCTGCCAAAAGATGTCCATTCCAGTAAGTGGCCTTCATTAACTGTAGCACGGAGAAGGTGAATGGTGCAAGTGTGTTGTGGCGCAGGGTAGATGTGATGCCCCCACTAGAGAAAGCACATTCAGAGGGCACAGCACTTCCTTGAATTGGTAAATAATCATGTGCCATATGAGCCAGTGTCAGATACTGTAGCAAGTGCAGCTAATGAATAATGTCAGTTGAGAATGTATTAAATCAAAAACCAACTTATCCCCCACCACACCACAACATCATTTGTCTCTTCCAATGGTAAATTGAGATATGAGGTGAGTTTATGATGGGGATCTTGCATGTGATGATCTGTGGCTTGACATGCCATGACAGCATCGCACATCCAGGATTGGCCATACCAAATGACCTGTGATGCTTTTGGTAGCACGGCAGCCTGTTCTGTAGCACACAGTAGCAGAGGAGCCTTGTAATACTTATCAAACTACAATGTACATACTTATCAGCCACTGGCAGCATACAGCACTCAAATCAGACTTACCACAGCTTAAAAATGAGCTCTCCCACTTGCGACCTTCACACTAGTCCAATGGGTTTCAACATACACTAACTTGAAGTTAGGGTCCAGAACTATAGTTACATCAGATTCCAGCACTCAAAGAGAAAATAACAAAACTCACCCAGACAGATGAAATAAACATCTGAGTCACTGGTTTTCTCATAGTACTTCTCCATGCTCTTGAGGCCTTTCTGAATCGCATCAGCAATTGATGCATATTCCAGATTGTTAGCCATTGTCTGCCATGTATCAGTGAGACACTCTAGTGTTGGTATAGTCTGCCAGGCTGTTGGATGGGTGGCCAAAGAGAAAGACTGCTGTGCAGTTATGGGCTCCTACAATTATCATAACCATAAGTAAATAAATGAATGAACAATCAGATAAAAAAATACCTTAAGGACATTATGTACCAGTCAAATCTTTTTCCAGTCAGCTCGATCAAGCTTGAAGTCACCATATGACTTGTTGTGCAACTTCAGGACTCTGTCACTCTCATCAGTGAGAAGAGTGAAGTGATTGATGGCTTGAAAAAAATGAAGATGTTAGAGATTTGTATGTGTGATCATGTCTCACTCACCAGGCAAAGAGACAAGAAGTGTTTGAGGCACTTAAACAAAGATGCCCAGCGTGTTCTCACCCAGGCCAAAATCTCGCAAACAGGGATGCCCTCTTCCTCACAAGTCTTTTGGAAGAATGCCCTGGTTTGTGGTGATTTGTGAATCTATCATTTTCATGTCAACAAAACAACTTGAAAAGAAAACAAAAAAGAGAACTTCACCTGTTCAATAAGAGCAAGCACTTTGCCAATGGCATCTGCCACATCAAAACCATCCTCAGTTATAGCTTCAGGATTGCATTCCAATTCAGCCAGCTGTTGAGTTAAACTGTCAATGTCAGTATTATTGCCATTATCTATAATGCAGCGGATCTTCTTGAGTAAGGTGGCTTGAGGGGTAGGTGCAACTGCATCAATGAAGTGTCATGCAGCAAGATTGAGGATGTGTTCTTGACAGTAGATGTGGTGAGGACCTGGGAGCCAATCATGACTGTCCTCATTCAAGACCTTTCCTACTTCTTTCATGGCAGTGTCATTATTTGAGGCGTTATCTGGTGTCATCCAGCCAACCTGTACAAAGTAATTCAATAAGTCAATACATTGCTAAAACAAAACATGAAAAACACACCTTCTTGTGAATGATGTACCTATCTATTGTCTCAACAAGTATGTGGGCAATGTTCTGGCTGCTATGGTTGCCATCAATACAACTGAAGTCAAGCTGCTCCCATTTCAACTCCCACTGCTGTGGCTTATCAGGGGGGTTCCAAATGTAATGGCCAGTAACAGAAAAAAAAGGGTCACCAATGATAGACATCCATGAGTTGAATGCCATAGACACAGCACTGTCAATATTCTACCAAAACCATATCAAGGACAGGTAATAATACAAGTAGGGAAAAACTTACTGATAAACACTCCTTGATCCTTTCAATGACGGTAATTGTCCAGGACTTGATCATATCAGTCAATTTGGTGTGATGAGGGATATCTTTCTCAGATAGAGATGAATGGGTGTATAACAGCAGACATCGAAAAGCTGGCTTACATATCAACTAACTGGATTGCCTGCCATAATGTCACACTAAACCTCAACACCAATAGCAAAATAAATAAAATGCACCTCATCTTCCATCACAATGAGCTCCATTATGTATTCCAGCAGCCCTTCCTTTGTAAATACAGCCAGTTTTGAGACAAGGTTGCCATCAAGAGTTTGTTGCATCACAGTGAGGTCTTTGCTGGGCAGAATTGCATGAGAGTGCATTGTGATGTCCACAGCATCACAACACTGCTTGTATACTTGAAAATGGGTGCATTTGTGGCAAACTATGTGCATTCGCAGTGTTGAAGTGCCTCCACAAAATGTGTGCTTGGATGCTGGTTCACCAGCATCCCTTATGCAAAATCAAAAAAAAAGATTGAAAACCAGACGAATAACTCACTTGCACAGGGTACATATCCACCCATCAGGGATGTGGTTGAATATAGTCCAAATATCTGTTGTACACTCACTTTTTGTAACCTAAATACAAGTATCAGCATAGGAAGAACAATGGTCAAGAGAGGTACATATGCTCTGAGTGGCACCTTCAGTCTCAGACTTGTCATTGGCTTGATCATCATCTGGTTGGGGAATCATCTCATCAGAGGATGTTTCTCCTGGATCAGGAGCAGAAGCAGGGATATCTTTGTCAGAGTTGTTATCAGAGTCGAGAGGAGATAGTATTCACATAGCAACTTTTTTAACAGGTGCTGGATGGTCTGCAGCACTTGATAATGCATGTTTCCTTGTGCCTGAGGATGAGGATAGCCCACAGGCATTGTCAGCATCACAAACATGAGCTGAGGGCTTTAAAGGGTGGCCAGAGCACTGAGAACCAGCTGCAACAGTTGCTGGGGTGTGTCCAGCATTGAGTAGAACAGAGAAGGCATTTCTCATGGATTCTGTCAATGGGACCTGTGGCAATGGGACATTGTCATTAGGATCATTGTAGAACTTGATTTCAGAGGCATCCTTGAGGGAGCCATCAGCATTGAGAGTGCAGGAGTCTTGAGACATTTTCAGGGAGATAACAGACTCACAATATCATTGCTGTCATCTCGTTTTGTACACAGAGCAGGGAGAAAACACCTGAATATCACAGAATACTGGTATCCTAGGAGATCAGTCAGAGTGTAAGGCTGGTGGAGGATCATAACTGTCCAGAGTCTAGACAGTCTAGGAAGATGTAGAGACTTAAGCAAACAAATATCTGTGACATAGTTAAACATATGTCAGTGGGTGAGAGAATTGAAAGTTCAATTGGTTAGTACTTACCTTCAAAAAGCCTAAAGGTAGCCTGACCAGGTACCAAGAGTGCAAATCCTGAAGGTCGGCCTGACATCAAGGTAAGTGATGTTGAAGAGAATTGACAAGGGTTTGGAGTGGTTTGGCCTTGCTGAACCAAAATGGAACAGTTCAGGAATAGCCAGAACCAAGAACTGAAAATTGGTCCAGTTCTGGCTGATGTGAGAACCATGGACCGAACTGCAGAGAACCGGACCAAAAGTCTGGTTCGAACCACAGTTCCAGACTGGACTGTGGCAGCACTAGCTGCAACACACAAGAAAATTTCATTCTACTTGGACAGTACATCATACACAAGTAGTCTACATATGCCTGAATTTTTTTGAAGTGAGTCAAGCAGTGCATACATACACTCAAATATATTAATACTACAGCTGCAGAGGAGCAAACAAAGTTTGAAGCACAAAATCACAGAAGGTCACAGAAGGTCACAGAAAGGCCACTCATTATGAGCCCATTCAGCAACCAATGTTTGAACAAGATTTTGGTTTATGTACATGTTTGTGTTGGAGCAGCATGGAAGCTGCCGTGACGGAGTCTCAATAATCTTTCCTTCCAATCATGACTACTCCCTGCACAACTTGAGGTCAAATCAGTCCTTATCAGTGAAAGCAGATCCACTTGGCTATCACTGTACTCATAATCTCTACTCAATTTCAACTATTTAACATGATTGAGGAGGGTGAATCCAAACAATCCAAGGCCCAGTGGAGTGAGGAAGAGGTTGATGGCCTCCTGTCATATCTACAACTGCAGGTGTCGAAGATCGCTGGGGTCACCTTTAGAGATGAGACATTTCATGAGGCTGCAAAGAGCATAGCACATCTCTCAAAGCAAGGATCACCCAAGGACATGGCACAATGTAAGAGAAAGTGGAAAGCAGTATGTCTCCCTTTATCATATTACCTAGCTACATCACTAACTACCCCTACAGTTGAAACAAATCCATCTTGCCATTGAGAGATATTGCAATCGATCCAGATGTCACTGGGACAATGTCAATGGCGCCAATATACATGAGCAAGCTGCAGAAACTCAGTGGACCCAGTTTATTGATGCCAGTACTGGAAATAAGGTATGTTTATATTGGCATCTCCAATGTACTACTTTATGACTTACTTACAGATTATGAAACCATTTAAAACCAATGGGTGGAGATATTGGGAGAAGATGTCAGTGATTCTCCCGAATGGGAGTGGTGCTCATGGGGGTAGTGCCTACAACCTGGCTTCCTTGGCTGCGCAGGCTTCAGGGGGTGCTACTGCTTCTAGCGCTAAGGCAAGTGGGTCCATGGCCACCACCACCAGCACTGCATCAAGTGGAAGGACGATGGGACTTGATGTCAGTGTGCCAAAAGCTGCCACCACTGGTGGAGCTCATGGCCTTGGATGGGGCAATGCTGGCCTTGACTTTCACACTGGATGGGATCAGGTTGTGTCTGCACTTCTGTCCATCACCCCTGGAATTGCTCAAAGCTCTATGAATGCGCCCCCTCCCCCCTCTTCTGTCACACCCTCCAGTACCAGCAAACGCTCTCACTCAGACATGGTCCTTTCCTCCAACACCACCCAAACTTCAGCATCACAGGTAGGTTCTGCCAATGCTGACAAAAAGCCAAGGTTGTTAGCATGTGGTGGCAGTCCAATATCGCATGTCACTAGTAATCGGACAAGCTCTAAAGCAGCAAAGGATGCCACTAGCACTGCTGCCTTCATGAATTTACAAGGTTCCATCAACCGCCTGACAGACAGCCTTCACTCATCGGTGGCCAACTCAGAAAAAACTCGGGTGGCAGATGAAAGGTCCCAGACCTTGGCCTTCATGCATGATGAGGAGGGCATTCCGCCAGTAGACCAAATCACCCTCATGAATGTGTTCTCAAGGAGCCCAGTGGTATGCAGCACTGTTAAGAACCATGCTCAAAGGGGAGAGAGACTGACTCAGAGGGGCTTGGCCTCAGCTCATACACTATGCCCCTTACCCGAGTATGTGCCCTTCATTTCAGAGGAAGTCCAATGATGGTCCAATGAAGTCCGGAGGCTGGCTACTCTGGCGGAGAGTGTGGGAGGACTTCCGGAGGAGCGCAGGAAACGTCCGGAGGAGTGCAGGAGAGTTCTGGAGGAATGCAGGAAATGTTCAGGGGAGTTCCTGCTGCAAGGTAATACTTCTACAGGAAAACAGGACAGAACGTCCAAAGGTACGGAGGGCGGAACATCCAAAGGACAGGATGCCCGGAGGTATGAGGGTCAGGATGCCCGGAGGTCCAGAAGGAATAGGGGCTACATCGGACGAAGTCTGATGCAGAAGCAAACAGAGGTAGACTACCCTAAGGTAGAGTCAGAGGGACAGGAAGTGGACCTAAGTCCAGAAAGAGGGTAAGTGCTGGAAAGGCAAGACTCTAGCCTAGGGAAGCAATCCCTAGACTTGGGACAGAGACATAGGGGACAAATCCGAAGGTCCGGAATTCTGGCCTAGGGAATCCATCCCTAGGCCTTATGGAAAAGGACAAACTCAGATGGACTGAAGTCCAGAAGAAGATTGGGCAAGTCTAAGGTGATGAACAGGATCTAAGATGATATTCCAACTGAGGACTCTACTGTAGTTGTACAGGGGTTATATACTAAAGGCTATCTGAGAGGATCAGTAAGCAAAGGAGTAAGGCTATGTACGAGCATGTGGAAACACATTGGTAAGTAAGACGGAACATAAGTAAATGAACTCAGAGATGAAACTAGTACAAGGATCAATCAGCAAGACAGAAACAGAGATAACCGAGAACCGGAAAGGCAGAGATGCCTAAATGGGGATAGGCGCAGGATCTCGGATAGAGGGCGGGAATAGGTCCGGAGATAGTAACAGTTAATATCCGGAGGTCCGGAGATCTGGGGATCCGGAAGGCAGGGCAGAAACAGGACTGAGATATGTGAGGTGGTGGATGTAGTCCGGAATCCAAGAGGAGGTAAAGTCCAGATGTCTTGCTGAATGGAATGTGCATAGGGTGGACAGGATAGGGGATCCAGGAATGAGTTGGATATGGGGTCCGGAAATAGGTCCGGAAAGCGTGGGAATATGATGGGATCTATGTCTGGCATACAGGATATGACAAGCACCTACTTGTCTGCCAAGGTTGAGAATTGCATCCCCTACTTGCAATCTGTTCCTGTTCAGGCTGCCAGGGGGGATTTTGGACCACTTTAAATCATATTCTCACATGCAGATCAAATTTTGTCTCCTTCATTGCACTTTCATCTCAGTTCTCGTTTGTTCGTCTTGTTTTGTTCTTCTTTGTTTCTTGAATCACGTTACATAGCTGTCACTCTTTAATATGCAGCACATATTGTTGTAGTCCTATGTACACTAAATTGCATTGTGAATCTAGGCATCATTTTCATTGTCATCCTTGCTCCCATAAAACTTGTCTATGTCTTCCAGGTCCTCCGGCTCTTCATCAACATCCAACAAGTGAAATATGTCTTCTAAGTCATAGTCCTGTAATATATTCTGGAAGTCTTCCCACATCTCTGTTGCCATGTGATCACGAAATGTGTTTGCATCTGCATTGTCACCAATGATTGCATCGACATTGTCAGAAGTACCTTGATTGTCCCATGCTTGACCGGCTTGTCCTTGAAAGGTAGGGTTGTCATTAAAGACAGCCCTCTGAGGAAGACACCCTTCATTTGGGTTGTGAATAAGTATGTAATTGTGCAGTGCACATAGCGCCATGGGAATATGAGCCTGGATAGCTATCTTATACTCTGGGGCAACTAAAAGAATGCAGAAGCATCACTTCATGACGCCAAAAATATGTTCAATCACATTATGAGCAGAGGCATGACAAAGGTTAAATAACTCTTCTTTGTTAACAGGCCTAAAAATGTAGCATTGGATGAGCTAGACTACAAAGAGAAAAAAAGCCTTGCCTGACACTGGTGTGACCCCATTCAGCCAGGTGGTACCGAACACCGTGGTAAGGAACCAAAAGTTGTTGGGATGAGGGGAAACCAAGGTCTGCAAGAAGGTATTTTCCAGGCAGAACATTCAAGCCATCATTTCAAGCTACATCCCAAAGCAGTGCATCTGTTGCTGATCCCTCCCATCCAGTCAGCGCGAAAGTGAACTTGAGGTCAAAGTTGCAAATGAAGAGGCAGTTTTGAGATATGAAACCTTTTCAGTTGTAGTATAGATGGTGGCTGGCTGAGGGAGGAAATGCGTGAATATGACTGCCATCAATTGCTCCGATGGCATCCCAGAAATACAGCCAACACTTTGGGTTGTTGCGAATGGTGCTAGAGACAGGAGTGTTGACTGCAGGAAGGTGGACATATTTCGTGTAAAATGGGTGGGATGAGAGAATATCTAACATTTTGTGGAAGTACCTATGAGATATCAGCCTGAGGTGGGAAACATAGATTAAGTTGCAAACTTAGAAACTGTAGCATTTGATTGCTGGAATCATTCTGCAACATGTCTGACAGTTAATCCTGTCACACATGTGTACAGAAATATAGCTAACTGTTCCTCGAGTGAGACACAGCGTGAATTGGAGTGACCAAGGCCATGAAGGTCATGTATCAATCTCTTGAAGACATGAATATTGACCCCAAGCTCACAACAGATGCAATCTGGGTGACCAAGAATCAATTCAATGACCCACTCTTGCCTGGTCAGGGCTGATGTGTGGTAAGGCTCAGGGTCATTAGGACTGTCCTGTAGGATTATATGTGCAGTAGCAGTAAGTAGTACACTGAAGATAAGAGTGATATAACGAAAAATGCGCTGGTGAAGTGCAGTATCATGAGCCTGGGGGGGAGTCTGAGTCCAGTTCAAAGGTCGAACAAGCAGAACCACGAGAGGTCTCTGTAAATTAAAAGTGTTAGCAAAGAGCGGATTTGCAGGTCCTTGATCCATAGATATCATATCATGTTATCGCTCACTGACTACTTTCAGACTCAGGTTGAATCTCCGTCACGCTCGTGCTGACCAAATCATATTTGGTTTGGCAAAGTCTTGTTCATGCATCAGTTGCTGAGCGGGCTCTATGTGATGTCAATGGGTTTGGATGAGGCCTATCTCACTGGAACCATACTCAAGGTTGTAAAAGGAGTCAATTGCGCTATCTTTCATGATCTTAGGCACTATTTTCACGACCAGCCAAATTTTGGGGTTTGAGCAACCACAAAGACTGTTATCAGCGACTCGGATGAAGCTTTTGTTCATCTTCAAATAGTCTAACCATGCGTAAGGCATTGTTACCGAGGTCTTTGAAAAAGCTGTGGGGAAGTTAACCATAGTTGTCGATTTTGCGTGTCCGCAAGTGTACTAGTGCAAGAAGATTCCTCTGATATGATGTAGTGCACGAGGTCGCCGGAGGTGTTCACATGCTACACACGGGGGCAGACACTGTTGTCCGATCATTCGGGGATTGTGGTACGCTAGCAAAGAGAAGCCGTAGAAGTCTAATAATTAATGAGAGATGAGAGACTAGACCCAAGAGAGGAACAAATGCCGAAAGTTACGTACAAGAGTACAATGAGATGATGCTATCCTATGCTATACAAGTGATCCACGATGAAAGAGATGCCATGTCTATGAATGCGCGACGAAATGGTGTGCAAGAAATATCCAAGAAAGATATACAAGTTTGAAAGGCCCCACTCCTGTGCAACTCCTGTGGGTTCTATTTATGGTGACAGTCTCTTCCGCATACCAGATATCCGGTAGCAAACTGGGCTACTTACACAGCCTGTCCGATAGGAACATTGGTCCAAGTATCCCAGAGTGCCTGTCGTGTACGACTATCTGCCAAGGATGATGCAAACATTACAACATTCCACACATCCTGGAAATTGCTTGCGAGTCCTAGACTAATCCGCACAACACCAAGCTCGCGGCCGACGACCCGCTCAAAGTCTTTGAGCGTGACACCGGGATACAGTCGTTCCATCTGGTCTTGAATACCCAATAACGAGGCTGCACCCCCGGGGTTGCACATGCAACCTGTGCGAAGAGAAATGTTTCGGGACACCGCAACATGTTCAATGAAGCTGTTTGGGATCAGTCTCTCCTGAAGGCTGCAGTCCAAGGTTTCGTTAAGATGACGATAGTAAAATAGTGGAAGCTGACTTGCCGAGAGGAAGATAAGAGAAATCGTAGATCCACTGTCAGATTGTTCTCCTGCAGATTCGAGTCTCCTGGAAGGAAGCTTGGATAGAATGTTAACGACAGGAGTTCCGGTCGAATCATGTCTCAGACAAGAGAGCGAGACAACAAGGTAGTGTGTAAGACATGAGAGGCGGAGAGGAAGGAATGGCAGATATGCGGAGAGAAATCGCAGACCGTCTGTGACAGCGGGTAACGTCATGAAATTGATGGTTCCATCCTAGCGATGCGAATAAATTTGAAAGCACATAAATTGGAAGAGAAGCATACTTCAAATTGTTCATGAAGAACGCTCGCTCTAGTAAAAATAGAGCCTGGCACCTGGACGACATCAACAGTTCCCCCAGCGAACCATGGACGCTCTAGGATCTCTAAGAACGACTCCTTAACAATGAGGGCTCCGACGCCTGTCGGATAACCAAACATCTTGTAAAAGCTGACAACCATAGCATCGACAGGGGTTTCCGAAAGAGAAATGACAGATGACGGTGCCAGCGCGGCAGCATCAAGAAGTGTGTGGTATCCTAGTGAGGATGCAAATCCGATGATTGAGAGTGGATTTTTCGCGTTAGTGATATTGGAAAGGCCCGTAAGGGCAAAAAGTGAGGAGGTGTTTTGTGGTCTGTGCTGACTCAAGATATCCTACCATGGGATTCAGTATTCAGCTGCTAGTTACGTTGAGTTGAGGCGCATATAGGCGCCAAGGACATACCTTGGCAGTAGATAGAACGAAGCCTCCAGTACTAGTTGATGGGATGTAATGTACTTCAGCTCCGCGACGTGAAGCGTACTCTCGGATTCCATGGACGCTATTATGAGAATCGGCACCGAGGATATAGCCATTATTGAACTTGAAGGGATACGCCTCCCCAACAAGCTTCAATGCAGCTGTTGCATTTGCTGTAAACACAACGGTGTAGCCTGGCGGGGCTCGAAAGAATGAAAGAACTGCATCCCGCGCCTCGTCAGCGTATCGTGATGATAACTTGGAGCTATAACTTAAATGAATAATGATTGGCAGCCGATTTATGGAACTCCATACCTATTACTGACCGAATGCGTGTTTCCCATGACGGATTCGGTTAGGAATGCGCTGTGAACGCGAACAAGACTCTCGGGATGTTGTGCCCCACCCATGTAATCTACATATGTTTCACCAGTTCGATCTAATCTGGCGAAATCTGTTCTTCGGAGGGTGTCAAGTATCCAAGTGCTCTGATATTCAGGGAACGATTTGAGAAATGCACTATATGCGCGTGCCTCAGCATCTTGTCGCGAAATCGAGGGCGTCAAGGGTGTATATGTTGTCAGTGTCAGGGGCAAATGAGTGACGTTCGGATGATAATTATGAGGTAGCGCCGGAGGTTTCTCGCACAAAAGTGTGTCATGCGAGGATGTCGATTTCAACAATGGAGCCTGCGATTTGTGATATCTGAGACTGATGTGAGATACTGGTGCAGAATGGTCGTAATTGGTGTTGACGCCGATGCGCTGATCGCGGGATTGATTGGGAAGCACAGGAGAGGAGTGTTTGTTGCCCATGTCGAATGATGTCGGTATAAGGGAGGGTCGGTGGACTACAGAGTGCCTTTATATATTTGGAAGACAAGCCTCGGCACTTCAATCGGGTCAAGGTCACCTATCTGACCAATCCCTCCACACCCCAATCGCGCAGTCATATGAGTCAGTCTACGGTGATTAATTGGTACCCCTGGTTGGCAGGAAAATAGATGCGCCCAAGTTGTAAGGTCCAGTCTAGCCCACTCCACGCGAATAGCTTGCGTGTTCAAGTTGGTCCCGAAAGAAGCTACCAACTTGAATCAACCCTGTATTTTTGTTGTAGTACTAATATGAAGTGAGCTGTAATCGGATTGTTCGTGCTATATACCACCAGCAAAGGGTCTGCAGATGCTATTCCGGACACTTGAATATGCGGTGCTAGAGAGGGGCCGTCTTGGAATGCAGCTGGCGCGCGCCTGGCAGAGGGTACATCCGGACCTTTGATACTGATCACTAGATCGACAACCGTGGTGATCCTGAAACACGATTTCGTGATAGTCCACTACGTGATGGGACCTTCTTGGACATTTGTGGCTGTGCAACCTGCAATAATTGACAATACTAACGACAACCCACCAATCCGTGTTCAGATGTAGCCTCTCTCTGATCAGCTCTCATACTTGCAAATGTGCGATGACAACATTGTCTTTATCACCACACCTAGAAGTTGATTGATAGAGTTCAAAGTTCAGCGTTCTAATCGACCTTTGATTGTAGGGTGGTGCCAGAAAATACTTGCAAGCTTTAAAAAGGAGGATATCTAGCCTGAGGAACGACGAAAGTGGTGAAAACCTAACCTGGCAAGATCAATATTATATGAGAAAGTAGATATTCTACTTAGCTCAGACACGTATTAATGATCCACGAAATCTACAGATGGTCACCTGGTTGGTCGCGATTAGACAAAGATGTGCACAGCCACAACTTCAAACGAAATTCAACACACTCGGAGTCCTTTTTTTTCGACTCCGCTATTAGTACGTCGGCACATCGAACTAGTCTTTTTATCTCATTTTACGTTGGCAAATGACTGCTAATCCTACGTGCCTCTACTGTTAATGCATGATTGTCACAACAGAATTTCTCCGGGACCACGCAGGTTCGAAATCTGCCGACGTCCTCTCGGAACACAGCTTGACATATGACTTCAGTATATAACTGATCTTAGCTAAGTGGTTACTACAACAGAATCGAAATCTGTTTCTCTTGGACTTTGTAGGTTCGAAACTTGCTGATTGTTGGTTTTTTTTTGTTGTTGGCACATACTTTGAAGATTCGCTCATGGATGGTTTCCTTGGATGTTCATCTCAACTTCGAGCGTCCTGGCCAAGGTGGTGACCACGACAGAATCTAGATCTGTCTCTTGCACTGTGCCAATGCAGGTTGGGAACCGGCTGCTGATGTTTTTTTTTTGCTATCGGAACATGCTTTGAAGATTTAATTATGGATGGTTTCTTGGAGGTCCAGTTTAACTAGTCTTATAGCTAGGTGGTTCCCACAACAGAATCAAAATCTGTCAAACCGATGCCAAGTTTTTTCTCCCCCGTCGGAACACACCTCAACATTCATTCATGGATGCTTTCGTCGGATCTTCATCTTGACTGGTCTTGGCAAAGTGGTCATTGCAACAGAATCAAAATCTGTTGATTTTCTCCTGCGCAGGTTCGAAACCTGCTGAATGAGAGGTCGTTTTCTATCGGAACACATCTTGACATTGACTCGTGGATGGTTTCCTCAGAAGTCCATCTAACTCGTCTTAGCCAAGTGGTCACTAGTGATCACAACGGAGTCAAAATCTGTTTCTCTTGGAGTTGGTTCGAAACCTACTGACAACATTTTTGCGGTGTATAGATCCTCGGAGGTCCATCTTAACTAGGCCCAGTCATTGCGCCCAAATATCTTTTTTATGTGATGGTCTGTCTGTCAAAAGAAATTCACATTCATGCCCCACAATGGCTTCAGCTTTTCCTCGGAAAGTTTTTTATCATCCACGTTCGAGAAGATGATTCAACGAGAATGCAATACCGGGAACTTAAACACCATTCATACGCTGTAGGTGTTGATTCCGTCAAGCTTGTTCACTGTTTATTCATTGTAAGTTGTTCTCGTTCATCACTCTCAACTTCTTAATGCACTTACAATCCCATCTGACCAAATGGAACCAACTTGAGCGAGTTTGATTGTGCTACAACCACTGTTAAACATACATTGCCTAAGCTTTCCGGTTGACTAAAATGATGTAGACTTGGTAGTAGCCCTTCATGGGACAAACTGCTGGAAGGAAGGTCACGGTGCTCAAGCATCTTCTGACCACTGGTAAACCTCTAAGTTGTGCTTTTTGAAGCGAATTTTCCGTAGCTCTTCTCGATCGTTGCCCTGGCTCGCTATTTTACAAAGGATGCCGCTGATAATGCACAATTAGTATACCATTGATAGGACATTAATGCTTGTAGGACAAGGTTGCTGCCGGCGAAGCTCGGCCTTTATCTTGTGCCGAACTGTATTTTCCGCTTCGGTTCGCTCCAAGATCATCTCGTCGAACGATAAGAGTTGGCCGGGTCACCGCGGGGAGACTCTTCAGCCTCACACGACGAGCAAAGGCATCAATGACATTAGGGTATGATATGGACCGACCCCGGTCATACTCGCACCCAACCCATGGGTACCGGAATTTCCAGAGGCTACCCACACCCACCCGAGTTAGATCATCGCAGATGCGGGGTGGAACTCGCGGGCAATTCAGGTCACCCGCAGGTAAACGGACATATTTCACGACACTGGTATGCACATGAGCTGAGCAACAGAACAAAGTATGTACGAAACTTAGCCTGAGTCAATAACAATCAATCCCTTCCATAGTGTGGGAGGTCTGAATAACGGCGTAGTCGACAAACCAGACAGGTGGCAGAACATACCTGCAAGATGAGGAGAGCACTGCCGCGCGTCCTTGACCGAGCCACAAAAAACATTATCTTACCCTATGGAGCCACTTAACCCATAGTATTGTGCACCACCAACACTGTCCACAATGCTCGTAGCGCCAAGTCCCTGAGGATAATGAAACAATGGATTGGAAGGTGGCGGCAGAGATGAAGAGAGATGCTCTGAAGACGGCGAAACTGAATATCTGAAGGAGCCAACAAGGCGCTGCAAGGGGCTGGGTAAAGAGAGGTTGAGGTTGGTTGCTGGAGTGGTACACTTGGCATCTGAGTGTGTTGTTGGGCGCGGGCCCGAAGTAAGCACAGTGCACAATTGCAAGTATAAGCCAGTGGACAGTACTTGGTGTTGCTGCTGAACTCAGAGCAGCCGTGGGAAACAACGAGCACGCGTTTATCTGGGTGCACGTGGTCCCCGCAATGTCCGGCCGGACTTTTATTAACATCTCCCCGAATTGACGATTTTGAAAAGTTGTGCGTTCAGCTGTCTGAAGACGAAGTCCGTTCAACGTTCGCAAAATCTCCGCGTTTCTCTTTCGCGAGTGAATTGACAGTACTCACTAGCCAGGTTCGCAGATATATAGTCGAACTGACGTGACTGTCTCATTCTTCCGCATTGAACTCACTCAAGTTAGTCAAGCTCTTCTGGAGTAACGTCGCCGTGGCCCACATCCTCCGATTCAAACGCGAGTCCCGTGAGCGTTTGCCGCTCACAACTTTTTCATCGCTCGGTCAATTTCGTCACGTCCTTGCGAGATTCTTAACCGCAGCCATGTCTGATGGAGACGTACCTGATGAGCCACGATCACCTCCAGCGTCACAAAGTGATGCAGGGTTGAAGAAGCTCTCACCATATTGGTACCCATATACCACTATGGCAAAGGAACGCTGGCTTGGGCGTGAGATCCTAGAAATCGTGTCGACAGAATTCAGAGATCGATCCATGGAGTACTATGTAGGTGCTTACAACTCAATTGTTCATTTCTTCTCTAGAGGTCATTGTTCATTGCACAGCGGTACGCCCTTGAATCCGGAGTGACCACAATTAATGGCAAGGTCGCAAAACCAGACACAGTAGTGAAGAATGGCGATCGTATAGAGTGAGCGCATTTTTTCAGCGTTAAAACCATACCTTTATTCATTGTTGTAGGAATGTTGTGCACCGACACTGAGCCTCCAGTCACATCTACACCCGTCAAAATTGTATTGCATAACAAGGAGCGCCAGTTTTTGGTTGTCGATAAACCTGGCAGTATAGTTCGTCCTTAGTAAATCTGCTCACATGCAACTAACAAAGATATGGTACAGCCAGTACACGCATCTGGTCGGTACTACCGTCATAGCTTAGTAGAAATCCTTCGTAACGAGTTTGGTTTCCCGAAAATTTATAGTGGGTTCACATCTGCTCGAAAATAAATCCAACTGATTCAGTTGCAGCGATCAACCGCTTGGATAGACTTACATCTGGTTTAATGATCGTACCATTGAATGCTGATCTGGCGCGTTCGTTATCAGGCGAGTTCGTCAATGGTCTAATCCGCAAAGAATATATTGCTCGCTGCAAAGGGGAGTTTCCCGCGTGAGTATTTCAATATTTACCCACATGGATGTAGTGAAGAAATGGGCATAGTGAGGAAATGGTATGCGAAGAACCTCTCCTGACTGTTGATCGACAAATGGGGCTTAACATAGTGCACCCAGAAGGGAAGGTACGTGCCAGCATAAGCTGTCGGTAGAGTTTTTGACGGTTTGCAGCCAGCGAAGACGATTTTTAACCGGCTTCATTACGATTCCGTGACCAACACAAGTGTGCTTCACTGTGAGACTTTTGTTTATACTGTATTTGATAAACACACCCATTCTTTGTCCCTAGGTCGTCCTATGACAGGTCGATGTAGGGATCACGCAGATGCCACGCCGGATGTTCCTGACCAATTTCGTTGCAGCACATCAGATACGAGTTCATCTACAATACCTCGGTTATCCAATAGCCAATGACCCTGTTTACTCTGAGGAACGAATATGGGTGAGGGTCCTCGTCTGGTCTGAAGAATGCCTTGTATAATGCCCACTCCCTCCATAGGGAACTAATTTTGGCAAAGGGGGTGTTGACGTTATTCCTTGCGACCACCGTGCTGCACCAGCGCCACCAGCGCATCTACTGAGTGACAATAGTCCGGAAGCTCTTAACCTGAAACCCTCCCACGATACAAACTCACCATTACTGCTTACCTCGGAAGAGGAGAACGATACGAGAGCGAAATTGCTTCCCCGCGAAACTGGACATGATATTGGAATGGGATCACCTGTTCTATTGTCGTCTGAAGCAGTGGAGATTATAACAAGGCTCCGGAATATGAAGGTGGGCGATTCAAAGCACGAACAAGTGTGTGACACTCACAGAAAATAGGATGAAGACGAGGATTGGAGTCGCTGGCGAGATGTCGTATTTCGAGCGAAGGGCTCACTTGCACCAAAAGACATCCCTCGTGCGCCCCTTCCTCCACAGAACAAACGGAAAAAGGGGGGTCCTTCTCTCCCTCAAACTCCTATGCCAGAAGATATATCCTTGGCCCCACAGTTGACTCAAGCGGAAGCTCTAGCACGGCTCTCGCAGATGGAGGCCCCCTCCCCAGCTGTCGACGCAGCGACGGGAACATTGTATTGTTCAGAGTGCTACTTACCATTGCATCCTGATCCAAAACCAGAAAAGTTGTACATTTTTCTGCATGCTCTTAGATATACCACAAGCCTCGGGTGCTTTGAGACAGATATACCGGAGTGGGCAGCTGAAGGATGGAAGTGGGACCAAGCCTAAACGGGTACTACGGTCTGCATTACTATTCTTCCATTTCTCCATGCGTGTTATGTACCAAGTACTGCCCCCAAAAGCGCAACGAAGTTTGTTGAAATTTTTTTTTTACCTTGTTCCTTTAGAATCCTATTTAGTTGACACAATCACATCATGGAGAACTTGTTCTATATAAATTTGCTCTTACAAAACTGTCAAGCAAGTCGCGAAGGCTGTCTTGTTGGTCGCCGCATGAACTTACGTAAGTTGCAGTAAAAATAGAGCCGTGTGGCCGCAGCTTAAGCCTCTAACACATTCCTCAGACGAGATTATCTTGGGTAGTCCACTCATATCTTCTTATTGAACATCTGGATCCGAATAACTTTATGGACCGATGGTAAGTCACTATTCTTGTGTGCGCTACCTTGACACCTGATGAGTGACATGATCCTCCTCGAGACACATCATGACTATGTAGTTCTTCCGACGACGAGCGAGCCAAGGGAAGATGTCAGCGAGGACACCGACCTTGTCCTAGAATCATTACTCCGAAACAATAAGGGCGTCACGCTTGACACACCGCATGGAGGCTCTCTAGTTGTTCATGAAGGTGGCCATACCTATAACTATTCATACGGACCAAGCGGAATTCCAGGTCTAGCTCGCAATCGTTATGCTGTTGCGTGCGTAGCGTTTGCTGGTATTGGTGGTATTTCATTCGGGTATGACCAAGGCGTTATTTCCAATGTCCTCGTGATGAAAGACTTTCTGACTCGGTGGCCAATCGGTCCATGGGAGAAGGGATTGATGAGTATGCAAAGCCGCGGTCTCAGATCTGGTATCTCTACTCATATTGGAAATGACAGCTGCTGTTCTTGAACTTGGCGCATTGTTTGGTGCCATTACGAGCGGAATTTTGGCAGACAAGTATTGTAGACGTCATTCTATTTTCTTCGCATCCAGTGGGTCATTTGTTTATCCCCAAAAAGCCACCTGACCAAGGGCCTTATCAGTTATTTTTTGCCTTGGTTCAGGGCTGCAATGCGGGGCGCAGTCGTTGAACGATCTTATCATTGGGCGAGCAATTGGTGGCTTCGGAGTTGGGGCCCTGAGGTGATTTCGAAACCTGAATGGGTTCTACTTATGTAACTTAGTGGTGATAGCATGCTTTCGCCGCTTTACATGGCCGAGATTAGCCCACCAGAGCTCCGCGGCTCACTCATGGCGCTTGAGCAACTCGCTATCGTCCTTGGAGTTGTGTTTGGCTTTTGGACAGGGTTTCTTACGAGACACAGTTCGTGTTTCTGTTACAAATCTCTTTTGTTCTCATTTGCTGTATCGGGTTCATAGTTGCTGGATCTGCTTCATGGAGAATCCCATTGGCACTCCAGTTCCTCCCAGGTATCTCGCTTTGCCTCGGATGCTTTGTTCTACCACCTTCACCCCGACTACTGGTGCTCCATGGTTGTATCGATGACGCACGGAAAACTTTAGCCAAACTTCGTTTGCGCACTCTTGACGAAGCCAAGGAAGATCCGTTGATTCAGGCAATTTTTTTTCTCCTATTTGTGTCTGCATTTAACGATGTATCATAGCTTGAGCTATTGGAAATGCAAATTAATGTTGCTCTCGTCCGACGAAAATCAAAAGACGGACTCTCACGCGAAACATGGACAGCCCTCTTTGGACAGGAGTACGTTAGACGGACTCTAATTGGTATCATGATCATGTTCTTTCAACGTGAGTATTGTCAGGTGTCATTGCATATTGCGTGCGAGCCCGTGCCTGAACATGAATTATGCTAGAGTGGAGCGGCATTAATGCACTTCTTTACTATGGTCCGACTCTGGTCGAAAGCATAGGGATGCACGGGGATACTGTCACACTTCTCGTTTCAGGTGGGATCGGAATTGTCCAGTTTCTTGCAGTTTTCCCGGCCATTCTATTTCTCGACCGGTGGGGTGTGTGCTTTTATCTTTTTTATAACTTCATATTTTCTTAGTGCGCTTCTCATAGGCCGTAAACCCCTTCTTAAAGGTTCTCATATTTGTTCTTGAATCACATTGCGACTCACTACAGTAAAGGCGGCAGCGCAATTATGGCTGTGTCGCATTTCATGATCGCAATCTTAGTGTGTCCCCTTTTCGTGATCAGCGCATACTGAGCCACAATAATTCCTTCCTCTACAGATCCACCTCTTTCAAGATGACTGGGGATCGAACACCATGGCTGCTTGGGTAGCGGTGTTGTAAGTTCTTTGACCCCGCTTCTCTTCACTTATTCCCATGAAATGATCCCCTACAGTTGCATGTACATATTTACTGCAGCCTACGGCATATCCTTTGGACCTATTGGTTGGGTTCTTCCCAGTGAGGTGTTCCCTCTTTCTATGCGAAGCAAGGGGGTTTCCCTATCAACAGCTTCGAACTGGATCAACAATTGTTTGTTCCGTTGTCTGTTTCTGTAACTTACACTGACATGAGACCCTCTTTTCTCCCGCTGGCGCTCCTCTTCTTGTGTAGTCTTGATTGGCCTGATTACACCGCCACTGATAGAGATGTCTTCTGCGTATGTCTGTCCTCCGTGTTCAGATATCCTGGCAGTGATATATCGTTTGCGGACCCCGCATTCTTTGGCAGCGCGACCTTTATTATTTTCGCGTGCGCCTGTTTCGGGGCCTACCTGTGGTCTAGTTATGTTGTGCCAGAGACTGCGGGCGTTTCTCTCGAAGAAATGGATGCAGTCTTTGGTTCTACGGCGGGTCAGGAAGACCGTAAACGGAGATTCGAGGTATGAGATTGTCCTGCTCAATCCGTGTACTGGTCTTCATATTCTGAACGTTATCCCAGCTAGAACGCGAACTTGGCTTGCATGACCTAATTAAAGGACTCGTCGCTTCGGATGCATTACGCCAAGAGTAAGCGACAGTTCTAATGCATTCAACAAAATGTGGTATCTACGTATCTAGATAAAGCATGTTACCATGTTATCTGGCTACGATGTGTACAGTATAGCGCACTAATACTCCGGATAGTTCCTGTCATTATACATGTTTTTCTCCAGAAATACGGACGGATTAGTGAACGTCCCGACTAATAAATATGATTAAGATAACGAGCGTGTATCAGGGCGTGGTAAGGAGCGTGACAAGCAGCACGTGGGTCGAGTTAAGGTGTATTGATGTGAATGCTATTGCGCTGCATCAAGGGAATTAATTGGAAGTAGTACGCCGCCGTCCTGTGAGAGTGCCGTATGCGCCCGAAAAGAGCTTGAGCTTCCCGGAAGGAGTATCAGGTGGGTCCTGTGCCGTATGTTTGCGGCGGGAGTCGCGTTGCTGTGGCACGGGGAAGAAGTGTACCGAGTGATTCGCGTTTTGATACAACATGCGTGACTCAGACTCTGCAAACATCATGCGCTGGGGAGATCGTGGTGTGTATGATTCGGGGGAAGGAAAGAACGACTTTGAATCCCGTGGTCAGACATGTGGTAAGATACGAGAAGCATCAGTAAATGCTCACAACTTTGCGCTCCACTTGTGTGACGATAGGATCAGGGCGTCTCTGATCCGATTCTTCCGAATCGGTTTCCCTTTCCATTTGTGACTGCCATACCCATGGCTCCTGCTCTGGCTCTGACTGCAGCACCGGCAGCTGATCCTCGTCATCGTATACAGCTTCTGCCCAGCAGATATCCAAGAAACAGTCCTTTGGAGCATATAAAAGTTGCTCGTCTAGCGCGCCAAGACAGGTGACGTCAAAATCTACTTCACGTAAGGAGCTGTCAATAATCCATATAGAATGCGATTGTTCAAGTCCCGCTGGCCCTGGAGTTACGGGTACAGGATTGGCGAAAATTGGACTGGAGGAATCCTGCGTGAGTGCGGGGCTTTGCAGCCCGTTTAAAGTAGATACGAAGAAGTCTTTGGGAGGTGGTGTAGGCGGACTCGACGGATGGAAGAAATCGATCGGTGTCGGTGAGCGTGGGGGATCAGGATGCTCGTAACGATACTCAGGGAATAGGTGTGCGAAGGGAGAGTTGGGGATTTGTGCTTCTACTCCCCTGAACGCGTCTGAAGTCGCTCGAGGACGAATGAAGGACTCTCCAGTGGGAGAGTAGAATGGAGAGAGCTGTAAATTCTTGATCGGAAACCACAGCAAACGAAGAGAAGCAAATCGGCACTTACGGGGAAGTCAATGCATGAATCATCGATGCTTTTCCTGATAGATGTTGGGAAAGATATCTGGGTGACTCTCGTGAAGCGCGTCGCGAAACGGTCGCGAGGAGTACATCTGTCAACAGTCAGCTTCGTAGACCTCAAGTTCATCGGAATGATTTTTTGCAAAGAGAGGAAGGAGAGAATTCGAAGGAAAATACAACAGCAAGCGCAGACTACCAACACCTCGGGAAGAGAGACAGGTCTCGTTGCGAGGTTCCATCGCTGTCTTTATCCAAAGCAAAGTATGGGCGTCAAATACTGTACATTAACGTGAAGACCCGAAACCAACCTTATATGAAAATGAAACGTAATGTATTGCGTACTGTATGGGCTTCCCTGTTGAGAAGCGGGAATTGGACTGACAAGAGGCATTGAGGATCAGGGATCATGGGAAGGTAACACGATGACTGCATGATAGATCAGGTTAATCCCCCTGCGGTCATAATCGGCTCCCAAACGACCGAGTAGAACGAGCAAAAGGATGAGATCATCATGATCTTCTGCGGCGGAACGAGTGGCTAGGCGACGACATGGGTAAAGGACATATATAGCCCCACGAAGTAAGGGTCAATTTTATGGGGTCCTCGAGTAGGAGCTCGGCGACCCTTGATGGAAAAGAATGGCAATCTATCACGCTAGTATAGACTCATCAGAGGATCATACTAAATAGGTGAAAGTTAAAAGCCGATTGGACGACGCCTCCTCCCCATGCGCCTTTTGACAAAAAATTTGTTGTCGGCTGCGCGACATCATGATGCCGTACTTGAGCATGATTGTCAGTGAAGTCAAACGTTCTTCTCGCTCCACCAGCGGTGGTTAGACACGGCATATGATGCATCAAATCCGTAACGTTGGGAGGGGGCTTTCTGCCGAAGGACGCCGCGACCACATCAATTCCGCTCGAATACACCAACGGAACTTGTTACGGGAACAACGCCTGGGTGTGCGTGGCAGCCTAGCTATGGAAAGTTAGCATTGCTTATGATTAACCATACCCCATATCACTTAGCAAGTATTCCCCGCCCGAGTAGTAAACCTTCTTGACAGAATACGTGAAACTAACGTGTGCATGAAAACTGAAACCTTGCAAAACGTCAGTTGTTTGTCACGAGAAATCAATTCGTGTTAGTACACTAGGGTTGCACAAGAAACGCTGCGATTACTCCGATATATTGCTACTGCACAAATAAACACATGGAAAAGACAAACAACGCATGGGTCGCGAAAACGATGTGTAAGTCTCCACAAGGAGAAACGAGCTACGGTAGCGGTATAAGCGTGAGTTAAAAAAGAGAAATTAGCACATCGTCTCAGGTCGGGTTCGGTATGGGACGCGATATGTGAGGTGTACAGTCCGTGTTGACGGGGTTAACGAGGCGTAAGTGAAGCAATGCAACGAGTGTGGGGTGTGCGAGAAACACAATCGGACAAAGAGGATATAAGTCAAGTGTGAACATGGAATGGAAAGAAAGTAAAAGATAAAGGAGACAGAAATGTGAGTAAAGTAACACTAACAACGGCCAGACTGAGAAAGCGAAGTGAATAAAGAACAAAACAACCAATAGCCCAATGGGTCACCCCTCATGAGGACATCCGAGGCTATCCTTCCCATCCACTCGTTGTTGGCGACTTTGCGAGAGGGAGAGACACGGGGCATAGGTGGGCACTTCCACAGCGCAGAGCACACCTCACTCTCTAGGCGATCCATATTTAAATAGATGCTTCCATCTCCTCCGGGCCAGATACAATGACGTTTGCATTGTTCCCTTCGTCCTCAGGGGCCACAAACTCGATGGGCTCGATAGCGCTGACGGGCTCTGCGCTTGCTGGGCCGTTTCCACTAGCGCTCCGCCTGACTGAAGAGCCACCTTGGGGACCCGATCGCGGTGGGTTCGCACACCGATCCTTGCCATGCGCAATACGCAGGTTTGCGTATTCCGGCTTAATCTTAATGCTATCGATGGCCTTGATAGCATTAGATATATTGGTGAAGTTGACGAAGGCGCAATTCCTGAAGATAACAATGTCAGAAATTACCACCGATCGCCAGCCAAGATAACGCACTTTTCCCTGAGGAAATTGACCAACTCGATATCCCCAAACTCGCCAAAGTCCCTCTTTAGCTTCTCCTCATTGAACAATTCAAAGTCTTCAATGTTGCCTACATAAACGTTCCTGGTTGCCCCTGAGTGCACAGCGAGCGCAAGGCTAGGCGGCAGTGGACCGGAATTTTTGCCCCAACCAATTTTGAGTCGCCGGTTGTTCAAGGTGAGGCCTTGGTAGGATGCCACTTGGTAGAACGTGAATGCTGCCGCGGGGTCAACAAAAGTGACAAACTACCACCCAAAATAGATCAGCAAATGCATTTCAAACATGCCATAAAATATAACTGACGGCAATGTGCTTGTCCTGCATGTACCTCACGCTCTGCAACACACCACCGCGAATAGCGTTGCACAAATCTTCAGTTGTTGTCTCAGGATGAATGTTGCCCAAGTAGACCGTGCGATTGAGGGTTTGACCACCTGTCATGTCCGTTGCAAAAGGGTAAGGCGAGAATGGCGAACCGAAGTGGTTCGGACCCGCAGCAGGGCTGAGATTTGCAGATTGAGCGACAAGAGATTGGGCGGCGGCAGCCTGGGCAGCTTGTGCAGCAGCTTGCTGAGACTTGGGTATGTATGCGCAACGATCCTTGCCATAGTTGACGCGTTTTCCAGCCCAAGCTGGCTCGGTAGGGAGCGTGTTAACTACCTAAATGACCACGTATCGGCACTAGAATATGGTGAAAATTTCAAATGCAACGTACCTTGGTAGCAACCGAGATACTCAAGAAATGTACGAACCCAATGTTCTTGTCACGAACAATTTTGACCTGATCAATCAGCCCGAACCGGCTGAGATCGTCCCGCAATTGCTCTTCTGTCGTGTTTTCATCCAGGCCACCGAGGTATACGTTCCGGCTCGCGTTGCTCTGGCTGATCGCAAGGCTCACCTGCGCGCTGACGGGAGATGGCTTCCCCCATCCGATCTTAAGTTCCTGGCCGTGAAGGGAGAGCTTCTTGATGGTAGCGTCGGCGTGAAACGCCGCAGCGGTTGCGCCGTCCAGAAAGGACAGGAAAACACATGATTTTTCAGGAAGAACACGGATGGATTCGAGAGGACCAAAGTGCACAAGGTTAAGTAGCTCATCAACAGAGGCGGTCGCGGGGAGGTTGCCAACATAAACAGTGCGACCAGTGGCATTGGTCGTTGCAGAAAGCGCGGCAGAAATAGCCGCCGGTGAGTAAGCACCTGGGGTCGGAGGAATATTGACATTTAAAGAAGGTAGCCGAGATTGCTGCACATGATATATATGAGATTAGCAATCGGACCCATTGCCGTGTCAACAACGATGGGATGTACCTGACCATAGTTACCAGCTTGCGCGCCATAGGGAAAACTGCCCAACATGTTCATCCCGGGCAATCCCATGCCAAGCATGTTGTAACCAAAGCCTCCATATGGGCCCACACCGTTTGGCTGAGGTGTGTGCTGTTGCTGTTGCTGGGCAAATGCGTTGTGGTGTGCGGGGCTCATTTGAGGGTTCATGCCTGCACCATTAACAGCAGTGTTAATCGTAAGATTTGGGGTAGAGTAAAGCTGATTGGAGAAGGCAGGAGACGAAGGTTGGAAAGGCTGGTTGATCTGAGCATGTGGACCATAACCATAATTGGCAAAGGCGTCACGAGTAACAGTAGTAGGTGCCGCAGCGGAGGTAGCAGAAGCACTAAATGTGGGGGACCAACGTGCCTTTTTGGCATCAGGACCACCGACGGCATCCATAGACCTCTGTTTGACGGGTCAACTGTGCGATGGTGAGATTTCAAAAAAAGACAGACCTTCATCATGTCGAGATCAAAACCGTAAGAAGGGTAGTGAGTTGCAAAAGCTGTTTGGGAGTCGTCCATATTTCCGGGTATGAGGTAGGAGAATGAAATGGATTGAGAAGGAGAGCAACGGCGGAATGTATGTATTGAAAAAAACCGAAGGACCAAGTTAGAAAAGGTTTTCCAAGGTATAATGAATGACAGGGAGGTAGAGAGCGTGGGTAGGGCAGAATGCTGTGATGTACTGTCGTAGTACTCGTAGTACTCGTAGCCTGCCCTATGCAAATGAGAGTGACTGATAATAAAAAAACACGCACAAAAAGATGGGCGAAGAGTGCGATCTGATATAGATAAACTTGCAACGAAGAACTGAATAGAAACGAGTCAGGACAAGTCTAGCACAAGAGCTAAGCCAGACAAAAGTCCAAGACAAGATCGTCTCTTCAATTCACGGTCCCAGCGAAATAATAAACAAAGATCGCAGGAACGCGGGCGACGACGAGCACGACGACGAGCAGCACCGAACGTGAATCAGAAGAAGAGAAAAAAAAACAACCAACGACAAGCGAATTCGAAGAACGATGTAGCGGACGAACTGGTTTTTCACATCAATATCTGACTTTCCCACATAACGACGCACGGACCCATCGTTTCACCTTCATCACGACCTTCATCACTGAGGTCAAATATGCAGATCGCCGGGATCGTGAAGAGAAGGAAGGCGAACTTTATCAAAATTTCGATGCGCAAGATGATATCAGGTAGATTCGAAGAGTTTGCCAGGATTCAGGCTCGTCATCTTCTTATGAGGTTTAACCTTCCTGTCTAAAATCGCGGCAGGTTCTGATCACACCATGAGCCTTATAAGGTGGGATTTTCACCGTTCAAGGCTAACTTTTGCCCCAAGTGACGGTACTAGGAAGCTCGCCCTTCTCGCTTCCGAGTCATGACCTGAGGTGTAACATCCCTTTGTAAAATGGCGGCATGTTCTGATCACGGAATAATGTCTAAGGTGAAAATTTCGCAACCTAGGTTAACTTTTGCACCAAGAGAGGAAATCAAAAAGGCCGTCAGGATTCGCTCCTCATTGACAACTTCCTATGACCCAAGGTATAACCTCCCCACGTAAAATGCTCTCAGGTTCTCATCACGGACAAATCCCAAGGTAAGTTCTCGTAGCCAAGGCTAAGTAATATTCTAGAAGGTCGCTAGGATTCAGGCTCACTCCATGGCAAGTACTTACAACCCTCCTCCGTAATTTCTAAATTCGCGCCAAGGTTCTAATCAGTAGCATTGGTGCACTTGTATCTCTACGAGCCGTGCGAGCAAATCGGACTACATACAGTCGACGAGGAACTTTGTCCGCGTTCGTCGTGGTAGAATAACATGAGGATACTGTGGCATCTCGTTGTTCTGTATATATAGTCCTCTCGACTTGGAAAAGTCAAGCCTGCATGGAGATCTGCATAATGGCGATTGCGCCGGTGATGCATGTATATACATACCACTTATATTACTGGGTAGTGCTCTTTATCGCCGCGCCGCTGTCTCGTAATGATCCACCAGGACGCGTTTCAAGTTACATCTCACGTTATATCAACGCCAGCTATACCGGACCAAGTTACCGCGTAATATGTATCAGAGCGTATCATTCCAGATCATGACAGGCGCTGACAGCTAATTTCTCTCCGAGTGACCGGTGTGCTACATATGTAGTTCAACGCCAATGGATACTATCTTCATATCCTTTTCCCATGTCGTCCTCCCACCGGTTTTCTCTTCTCAATTCATTGTCGTCCATTAATCTAGAGTCGCAATGGCCGCAAGCTAACGAATCACTCATATTGGAACCCTTTACATATATTACCTCCAAGCCCGGCGAGGAAATCCGCACACAGCTCATCGAGGCTTTCAACTTATGGCTTGCAGTCCCTAGCAACCAACTCGAGGTCATAGACCGTGTCGTTCAAATGCTGCATAATGCGAGCTTGATGCTCGATGATATAGAGGACGGTGCGCAGCTGCGAAGGGGACAGCCTGCGACGCACAAGATATACGGCGTCCCGCAAACTATTAATACCGCCAACTACGTATATTTCTCGGCTTATAAGGAACTCTCGAAGCTGAGGAGACCAGGTGGGGACGAGGACGAGAATGTGGTGAGGGTGGTGGGCACTAGCGATTTGGATTTGATAGTTACGGGGGAACTTTTAAATTTACACCGTGGGCAGGGCTTGGAGATCTTGTGGCGAGATTTGTTGCAGTGTCCGACGGAGGAAGAGTATATCTCTATGGTTAACAACAGTATGTCCGGATCCCTTTTCAGCACGTTAAACACTAACTTTCTGGCTCAGAGACGGGGGGTGGATTTAGGATAGCTGTCAAGTTGATGATGGCACTCGCAACGAAGAACCTCGACATGCGAGTCCTGTCCCTCTATGCATATCTCGTAATTAGTTGCTCATGACTTCCTCAGCGATTTCGTCCCTCTGGTAAATATTTTCGGAGTGTATGTTCAGATAAGGGATGACTATATGAACTTGCAAAGCGCAGAGGTAAACCTGCATAGCGTATTATTCCTACTAGCAGAAAAGGCTCAACATGCTTTACAGTACAGTGACAACAAGGGCTTCGCTGAAGACCTTACAGAAGGCAAATTCTCCTTCCCAATCGTTCATGGAGTACGTGCAGATGAACAGAATCGAATTGTTATGAGTGCGTAGATAATACTGATCTATGTGCATGAAATGATTGACCGCTATCATACAGACGTGCTACAAAAACGTCCTACGACACCGACCCTGAAGCATCACACAGTTGACTACCTCCGCACACAGACAAAGTCATTTGACTACACACTCGCGGTAATGAGTAGCTTGGAGCGGCAGGTCTGTTTGTCTTCTGTGCCTACACGCTTCCCGCTGAGCTTTACATCTAGGTTCGGGAGGAGATTGCACGCCTTGGCGGCAATACCCAACTTGAGAAGATATTGGATGCCCTGCATGTGGAACATGATTTCCATCATTTGGGTGGGTGTGTAGATGAAGGAATCGTACCTTAAGTCGGGAATGAATCTTGGACTTGTGAATATGTGGAGTTTCTACTCAGCTTATCTGGGAAGTACACGCCAGACTGGTCTCGAGTTTGGGTTGTGTTAGTGAGTAATGTACCGATTGACTGTACTTACTTTATTTCAGTGTTGAATTGGTTCGATGTTATACCATGACATTCACTCATGGATAGTTCTTCGGAAGTTCATCTCAACTGGGGAAGCGTCCTGGTCAAAGTGATTGCTACAACAGAATCGAAATCCGTTTCTCTTGGATTGGGCAGGTTCGAAACCTGCTGATGACAAGGTTTCTTCTTCTATCGGAACACACCTTGACATTGACTCATGGATGGTTTCCTCGGAGGCTTATCCTAACTGCTGTTAGCCAAATGGTTGCCACAACAGAATCAAAATCTGTTTCTCTGGGACCGTGCAAATTTGAAAACTGCCAGCAACTGTTTTTTCTTTCTCGGAGTACACCTTGGTATCCACTGATCAACAGTTCCTCAGAGATTCATCTTAACTTTGTCCTGGCCGAAGTGGTTATCACAGAATCGAAATCTGTTTCTCTTGTACTGCATAGGTTCGAAACCTGCCGCAAACAAGGTTTTTTTTCTATCGGAACACATCTTGACATTAACTCATGGATTGTTTCCTCAGAGACTCGTCCAACTGGTCTTAGCCAGGTGATCACCACAACAGAGTCATACAATGTTTCTCTTGGAGATGGCTTAAAACCCGCTGACAACATGTTTGCGGTGTATAGATCCTCGGAAATAACAGTTACGGTCCGATCTAGTCACCTGCGTGATGCCCCTCAACTCCCACACCTGAAGACTGGTTTTGAATCTGGGAACACGAGTGCAAATGAAAACAACAACATTTGCGTCAGATCTCCCAAAAGCGTATTCAACCCTGCATAATCATTTGAACGTTCTCATGACGTTAGTCTACTTCGTCACGACGTTGGAACTGAGCATTTTCGATTTTTTTTAAATCAAATTTATTGTCCTTTGAGGTCGAAGACCACACGCGGGGAGCTTACTCCGACTTAACTATCAAACGAACATTCATCAAACTTTCCGGCTCTACGGGACAATTTGTATTTATGCTGCAAGTTTCGAAACGGACCCCCTGACCAGATTGACTCGGAAATTTCAAAGAGCTCGAAAAAAATGAATGAAATTGTATTTTCCACCGGCGGGTGATGAGGGTTTGAAATAGAGATCGACGATCAATCCGACGCAGACCATCGCCCCACCGTGGCGACCTGCCTGGAGTACCACACACGTCAGAATTAGAGTACATGGCTATGGCAGCTAGACGCACTGTGAAAAATTTCCAGCAGTCTCGGGGATCATTATGATCAAAAGACCATATGTGCCAGAGACACAGAAGGAACGGGGCAAGGACACTCATCAAATAGAATGGAAGGCCCTGGTCGTTCAAGTAACCAGCCCACAAAAGACACACAAAGAAGGTCGCATCAAATAAAGTCAATACCGGACGAATGGCTCTGCCCAGATGGACTGCCATGGATTTGACTCCAGCCTTCTCGTCATCCTTCTTGTCCTGAGCGAAATGATCAGCACATACCTCAGAATGTAAGAATTTCTCAGGTGGTCACCTGGCATGCATAAATGGTGTCGTAGATACAATTCCAACTAAGGAGGTATTATCAGCATGACTCAACGAAAATTACTTTCCTCTGCACTTACCAGCACGATGCAATTGCTATGTTCAGGATTATACCCCAATTATAATGACCAGTCGTTGCAACCCACGTTCCTGGGACAGCCCAGCTAGAAGAAAAGCCTTGGAACAAGATGAGATGAAATACTTTTCCATGCAATGGAAAGTCTCACCGAGGAATAAAGATGGCCAGTTCATCCAACGCTTCATCAGCGGATACGTCGTGATACAAATGGGGAGTGCAACAACACCGAGTGTGAAACTTAAAATAGTCTTCAGAGAAGTTTCTGTATTTCTTGAGCGATCTACTCACGCTTTGGTGCCACAAGTTGAAAACAAGTAGAAGAGGGCGGCAACGAGAACAACCAGAAGTACTGAAGCCTCTGTCCTAGTGACAACTCCTGATGCGATCGGTCTGCCTTGTGAGCGTTCTATTCCATACTGAACACATCAAGAAATTACAGTCAAGATTGGACTAAGACCTACCGACCTTGCGATCGAGATCGCGGTCAAGCATGTCATTTATGACACAGCCTGCGCTATGCACCAGTATGCCCAGCAATGCAAAAAATAAAGTAGTCTTAATAACTTCATTCAGCGGTAACGCCAGACGATAGGCTGCCGACAGGAAGGCCCAACCTAGACATGATGTCACAAGTCATGGTTAAATAATAAGCACGCGATTGCATGATCTTCCATCTTACCGAAGGGCCAAAACATGAAGTCGCACCCTACTGGGAACCAGTGGAGCCTGGTGAGCTCGAACAATGCTCTTGTTTTGGAAGGCATCTCAACAAGTAAGACACGTCAGAAGAAAACAAGTTAGCAACATCCTAGTAGCAACGTTTTTTTTATAGGTGACTCTATGTGAGGCAGTACCGTACTACCGCCGACCGGTAACCGCTTGTTTGGCCAGAGCGCTTTTTCAGCAACCGCTTTCAAGTTCTCAAATTCGTTTCATGAGGTGGCAACTTAAACTACTTACCCGTGTAAATCACTGAGTAGCCAATTGTGGCATAATGTGCCGTTGGAAAAAATGCACCTGCGCACCAGCTCCATGCAGCACCGAGTTGGATTAATGTGGAAACGAAAACTGTCAACGAGACTCAGGTATATTGTATGTGTCCTGTCACTCCTGTGATCATCCTGGCTACGTTAGTAGGTCTTTGTCGAATGCTATGCGCCTATTTACGGCAGTTTGCGAAACTGAGGCAATTTCCATTTCTAGTATAAGTACTGTAACACTTGCCCTCAGCAACCATCACTGAAATCAACCATGACCCCACGGCCGCAAGCTTGAGTACTCTACGAGTCATTGACACATTTGCAGTGATATTCGAGATGTGGCACCACCGCAATGAGCTACGTGGCAGTTTCCCGGTTACTGATAGAAGATTGGCAACTTGCATGCCTAGTTGCGGGGCGTTCAGTGCGCAAGTAGCAGCCACCACATCTGTATGTGGTGCTGCAGCTGGTTATATCCACCAATTGAGTACGTCGGATCTCATTAGTGGCTGGCTGGCCAACTTATTGGAATCACCATCATCTCAGGGTAAGTATGCTCATAAACTTCGGAAAAATAATACTGCCACCCCAACACCAGTCTTTTCCAGGATTAAATCCTCACAGCTCATCTCCATAATCATCGAGAACCTGTTTAAATGCGTACTGTGCCATGGGTTTCCGAGGTGCAACTTTTTGGGGCCACATGGCGCAGTTGTGGTTGAGGCTTCTTTGCGGCCGTAGTCGGAGCCAGCTCCAACACATTCAAATTTCCTGCTATTACATAGGACTGCATCAGTATGGGCCTTGTTCTCTGCATCTATATCTCCAATGTCGTCCTCCCAGTTTTCTCTGTTCGATTTGCTCTCGTCCACACTAGACTCCCAATGGTCGCAGGCGAATGAATCGCTCATATTGGAACCCTTTACTTATACTTCCTCCAAGCCTGGCAAGGGAGTCCGTACACTACTCCTTGAGGCTTTCAATATCTGGCTTGCAGTTCCGTGCAACCAGTTCAAGGTCATAGACCGTGTCGTCCAAATGCTGCACAATGCAAGCTTGATGATCGATGATATAGAGGATGACGCGCAGCTGCGAAGGGGGCAGCCTGTGACGCATAAAATATATGGCGTCCCGCAAACTATTAATACTGCCAACTACGTATATTTCTTGGCCTATAAGGAGCTCGCGAAGCTGAGAAGGCAGTGTGAAGATGGGGGTGAGGCGAGGGTGGGAGGCGCTAGGGATTTGGACCTGATAGTCACAGAAGAGCTTTTGAACTTACACCGTGGACAGGGGATGGAGATCTTGTGGCGGGATTTGTTGCAGTGCCCAACGCTGGAAGAGTATACTTATATGGTCAACAATAGTACGGCTGTTCCACTTTGGCATGCTACATTCTGACTTTCAGTATGCAGAGACTGGCGGTGGGTTTAGGATGCCTGTCAAGTTGATGATGGCGCTCGCAACGAAGAACCTCGACGTGTGAGTCTTCTCATTCTAAGCATATGTTGTAAATAGCTATTCATGAAATCTTTAGCGATTTTATCCCTCTGGTGAATATTATTGGGGTGTACTTCCAGATTCGGGATGACTACATGAACTTGCAAAGTACAGAGGTAAGCTTACCATTTTCCTGCGCTTGTACCTCGAGTGTCTATCAACAAGGGCCATCTGGCCGTGACACATTCTGGATCACTCGTGGTCCATCCGTAGTTGATGGTTCAAACTAGACGAAAGAGCTTAAAGGTGTTATCTAGTACAACGACAAAAAGGGCTTTGCAGAAGATCTCACAGAAGGCAAATTCTCCTTCCCAATTGTTCACGGAGTCCGTGCGGATGACCAGAATAAAGTTGTGGCGAGTGCGTAGATGACACCAGCATCTAAGTGCATCAATTGACTAACCACCATTATACAGGCGTGCTACAAAAACGTCCAACCACACCGACTCTGAAACACCACGCCATTGACTATCTGCGGACGAAGACAAAGTCATTTGATTACACGCTTGTGGTGATGCAAAGCTTAGAGCAACAGGTCTGTTTGTCCGTTGTGCCTGCACACTCGCTGCTGAGTTTCTGTTTTGTAATTCAGGCCCGGGATGAGATTGCACGCCTTGGCGGGAATCCCAAGCTTGAGATGATGCTTGATGTCCTCCACGTGTAAAATATAATTTATGGAGATCATGGCCTTCAGCTCAAGTTGAAAGCGAAACTTGCTGACTACGTCTTTGAGGCGGTGGAATTTTGAAGTCACCATGACTCGGCTAGTCGCGAACCTGAACGTATTGCAGTTTCAATTGCATATCATGTTTCTGCTTTATTGGCTAATGTGTGCTTCCCGACTTGACAAGGAGAAGGATCGCCGCCGGTGCGAGTTTAAACTGACACCAATGATGAGTAATCATCGGTCCCAATGCCGGGACTGGGACATTGGGCTCGAGGGCAAAAATAATATCGAGGTGATCACACCGAGCGCTAACAACCGATCAACGCACGTTAGGGCAAGATACTAATTAGTTATGCTCTGGCGAGCATTCCTTACCTTCGCTGGTGGGTGTGCCAACCAGTCACAATGTGACTTCATCTGTAGGTCATGCGGTGCCTTCGTCTGATCATAACGTTCTTCAATACGGCGTAGCGTTCACTGTAAGTTTACATATACAAGATTATGGCGGGATACATGCCAGTGCGTGGTTTATGATCTTAAACAAGCTTTGGGCGCTTCAGCTGCACAGCCTTTTTTGTTGCATACATAAGCGCTATATATGACTCAACACGTGGATGATACAACATTTGAAAATGTCCCAGCTGCAATGTACTCAACTCTGAATCTACAAACGCTCCCTGTCCCATTGCGTCCGTGGATTGCAGGTATGACGATGGTGGAGTGAAGTTGTAGGACACAGACACAAGCAAATTTATCACGGAATGGATGGGACATACACGACAAGTCACGTCTATCTGCTGGAGTCGAGATGGTCAACGAGTGTTAAGTGGATCTCACGATGGGACTGCAAGACAATGGGATGTGGAAAATGAAGAGATGACCCTGGCACCAATCGAGACAGGGTACAAATCCATTCATGCAGTCGTCCACTCGTCAGACATGACCATGATCGCGACTGGTGGATACAAGAACGAGGACTTGGACCCATCATCTGTCGAATATGAGAAGTCTTTGGTCAAAATTTGGGATGCAAAGACATACAAGCTGGTCGCCACTCTCAAAGGACACTCGAATTGTCTAGTTTGGAGCCCAGATGGAAAAACACTCACCTCCAGGTCAACCGATCACTCGATTAGAACGTGGAATACTACAACATGGAAACAGATTTCACTGCTGGACGAGCACACCGACAATGTCTTGGCTGTTGTAATACTTGAAAATGGACGCATCTTCGCAAGCACATCTGAAGACAAGCCAGTGCGGTTGTGGAACCTCGACAAAAGCCAGCTCATCAACTCGCCCCTCGACCATGCAGATTCAGTGACCTGTGTGTTGTTTTCAGCAGATGGAAAGCTACCTGCCACTGGCTCCGATGACAATAACGCACACACGTGGGACGTTTATGCGATACTGAGAGAAGCTGGCCTCGATGATCTTCTGTTGGATGTAAATGTGAGTTGACTAGCATGTCTCATTCTATTTCATTCTTACGTAGAATGCACTCCAGTCAATACTTGCTGTATGTGACATTTTCATAGAAGATCTCATTGCATTCAAATTATGTTTAGGCTGACGCTACAAGATGTCCGGTCCAGCCAACCAAGGTCTCGAATCGGGTACCCCGAGGGTTTTTCGACGACTCACCACATCGGCGCGCCCACGTACGTCGTTAACTTCTCATTCAGTACCAGTGTCTTCTAGATCTCATGTTCTCAGCTTTCTGCGCAACCCCATGCCCACGATTCGCCATCCCGACCCTCCTTTCTCCGCTGGGCTCGAAACCTTCTCTCTGGCAGACCAAATGGTACACAGGTCGAGCGACACGAGCGTAGCTTAGTAGCCAATGCCCCCTATGCCAAGGGAAAGCACGTACGTTCCTGGCTTTTCCCTCAAATGTTCGAACCCCATCTCATATCACATAGAGGAATGCATCAGCAAGAGAAAGGCGGGAGCCAATTTTGTTAAGACCCACGAATGCTGCTGCAAGCAGCTCGCGCCCTCCCAATAGCAACTTCACACAGCAATCGGCTCAAGCTCAGTTATCCTCGCAACCACAAGCTGCTGCCACTACGTTGTCCACCACACCTCCCGTCGGCGCCACTACAACTTCGAGTACCAGTCCTAACGTAACAATAAAACACGCTGGACGCTGGATTCGCTGGCTCTTTATCTGTTGTGCCTCTACCGAGTATACCCATGACGGTCATTAATTAATTTTCTCGTTCTGTGACATTCATTTCATTCCACAAGAGAGGCATAAAGTTGTTTATATTTATTGCATACAAAATAGGAATCGGCTTCCATCACAAGGTGCAACAGAGATGGAGAGAGAGCACATGTGGGTGGATGATAAACTTTTGGTTCAAGATATGGTTACACTACGCATACAACATTTGTGACAAGTACTGAAATTGATCCGATACACCGTATCCTTGACATGGGAGCCCATGCTAACACTAGTTCCCAACTTAGAGCACACGGGTCTTCCACCCAGCGTCCCACACAGCTTCGGTGATAGTCTTGGGATCAGCGGATGACTGGAACCCAACCCTGACCACAAGCCGAGGCTTCACTGCCACTTGCGCATACAAGAAGGCGCTGTTCTCAACCGCGGTGCCCAAGACGTGGCCTTTGTGCATACCACCACTTTTGGAGAAGTACATCTCCTGCACCTTACTATCGGCGGTGATGTAATATACGCGGATCTGTCATGATGAAGTGAGAGTGAGATCGCGGGGTATGGAAGGACTAGCGTCGAAAACTTGTACCTCTTGCAGCTCGCTCCACGACACGGCCGCGATGGGCGTGTTGATACGGGCAGTGGGCAAAGGAGAGGTCATGAGATTCTGGAGGGTATAGGTAGTGCTCGTTGGGTCGGTCAACATCATTTGGTAGATCTGATACTCTTTGTTCTGAAAGTAGACCCGACAATTCCCGTCCGTGGTCTGCACGGCGGCCCCAGCAGTCCCGACGAAGTTAGTAGGCAGAAGGTCTGACATTGTTGCTACAACCGCAGAAGATGAATATAATCAACTGTGGATGTGTTGCTAACTGTGACTCACATTGATAGAAGGTCGTTGATGCGATGACTGTTAAGCAGGCATCGAGCCTTGCTTTTAAACCTCCAGGCAGCCCCTGTCTGGAGTATAGTGCGGATATCAATGGTTCCTTGCCGCTCGGAAGCAAACATGAGAAGATGAAATGGTGAGGAGTCTCCACGGTGTCTGGGCACAGATCTGACTGTGGTCTAGAAGTTGTGGGTCCTAGATGCTGCCATCGTGCGCCCTCTGAAATAAAAGTGTCACTCAATGTGCGCCCAAAGTTACATGTAATCCGGGCAGTGCGTGACACACCTTCAAATTTGGACCAGAAGGCGTAGCCTCGCCTGGCCCTCTAATTCCATCCACTATAATACCCTATGGTCTAATAATGCTTGGACGAGGCGCTTGCAGCCCAGGTGATTCCATCTTACCTAATATTGAAGCAGTGATGTATGCCCAGACAATCTGTTCCTAGTACCAGCGCAGACTAGGCTATCAGTTCGTATGGGTCAGCTGGCCAGAACAATGTTATCACCACTGATCCCATCGCAGGACCAGCCTCAGCTAGCGCTGAATTAACATTAATGTCATTAACTTCGCTTTGGAATCGAAGTAAGATCCCCGTCATTGGCAATTACAGCTCGTCGTATGTACCCGAGTGATGTCCATGAGTGCCCTGTTACCCTTCCGCAATAAGTACTTCATCTCCCTAAAGCTCCCGAAAACAAAGTATGCGCAGCGCGCCGTAACGTAAGAACGTAATGACAAGACCTCGAAAACCTCGTCAGTTTGCAAAGTTGCTTCTGACTTACCCGAGTAGTAGGAACGGCGGCGGCAAAAACCTCTTGACCACGAACGAGACAAGTTTCTGGCGCTCTCCAATGCCAACGACGATTCGTTTACATGAAAGGCGCCACCCGAACCCCAATCAACTTAACCTACAACTCAGGTTGTTCATTTTGCTTGTCTAGGATACCCGCCATCGGTGCTCATCTAGCTCCCAAGTGAAGTTTCATCAGTACATGCGGTGGCGTGCGCCATTCACCGCACCAAACTACACTCGTCCGTCGCCTTCGTTGCCCTCGTCCTTCTCCGGTGATTCAAGGTGCGCTTGTGGCGCCCACGCCCTCGTATGGCCGAGTTGTAGGTGCCTTCCAAAGTACTTCGGCTCCCCGAAGCTCCCGAAAACAAAATATGTGCGTTACCTCACTTACAGCAGAGGTCAAGACCTCCAGCACCGCTCGGTAAGGTATTTTCTCCAGTATAAGGCTGAGCATCTTGCCATGACCATCACACGTCTACTTCTACCCATCACGCCCAACCTGCAGTCTCCCGCCGCCCACTATACCTAACCTCCAACCTGCGCCTTCCCGAGTCACACGCTATGCCAACTACAACGTCATGAAGCCTGGCACTGCCTCCGAGCCTCAAGACCCCACGTTGACTCCGATCTCCGCGCCAGAGCGTGACCTCCCAAGGCCCTGCCGCCATTTCCTGCTGTCGCCCAGTCACTACTTCATCAAGAAAATGGCGGGTTGCTTATTTAACCTTATTCTGCCTAGTAAATAGCATAAGACGGAACGTGACTTAGGGAATACAAGTAAATTTGATCACTATCTAACTAAGAAAGACAACACGCAAGATGAGGAAACATGAGAAATTTTCATTTCCAAGCAAAAAAAAATGGAGACATGTTTTAAAGCTCGTCCAATTTCAACAAAGGATCCCGAAACGGATAGCATGTCAAGTCATGGTTGCTGTTGGTGAGTGCGAGTATGATGATGGCTGATAGGGGTAGTATTGGCGCAGGCTCGTATTTTGAAATACCTAGGCAATGATGCCGCTGAGATACAAGCAATGCAATCCTCCATACCTGCGGGAGATGCTGGTTGAGGCCGGAGACATCAATGTTGAATAACCCAGTGACCGGCGGGTGGGCATACGAGGGCATATACGCCAAAAGCGCACCTTCAATCACCGGAGAAGGACAAGGGCAACGAAGGTGACGAACGAGTGGAGTTTGGTACGGTAGAGGGTGCATGCTGCCGCATACACTGATGAAACTTCATTTGGAAGCTAGATGAACACCGATGGCGAGTATTCTGGACAATCAAAATGAACAACCTGAGTTGTAGGTTAAGTTGATTTGAGGTTTAGGTGGTGCCTTTCGTTTAGACAAATCGTCATTGGCGTTCACATTGACGTTGGCGAGTGCCAGAAGTTTGTTGTGGTCAAGAGGTTTTTGACGCCGTTCCTACTACTCGGGTAGGTCAGAAGCAAATTTGCAAGCTGACGAGGTTTTCGAGGTCTTGTCATTACGTTCGTACGTTACGCTCCACGTACCTTGTTTCCGGGAGCTTTTGGGAACCGAAGTATTTCAGAGGCACTCGGGTACATACGACTAGGCCAGAAGAACTGTAATTGCCAATAACGGGGATCTTGCTTCGATTCCAAAGCGAAGAACGTCAAAGTTAATTTAGCAACCTGAGGCTGGTCCTGCAATGAGATCAGTGGTGACGACGTTGTTGTGACCAGCTGACCCGCACGAACAGATGGCCTAGTCTGCGCTAGCACTAGCAACTGAGCATACACCGCTGCTTCGATGACCAGGGCGAGGCTACACCTGGACCCACCGTCGTTCTCGAGACACTTATGTCGCTCTCAGTCCGTCGATACGCTGAATGTTTTGCTACGAGAAAAACGCCATGGTCTCAGCCTGCTGCTTTGGAGGTGCACATGTTATCCACCACTGAGTGTCTAGATTCTGAACTTCTGGAAGAGTGCAGCGAGGTGACATCTGTCCCAGTGAAAACAATGTTATCGACATCGCTGCAAGTCGGTAGGGGGAGTAGAAAGTTCTGGCAGTTGGGGCACAACATTGTGGCTAGATTGATCGATCGGAAACCTCCCGTTGAGTAGAACTCAACAATAAAGCCTATTGGGGTCCGGGAGGCGTCGGTTCCATCGCCTTGTGGTAGAATGCTGTGAGCGATATATTATGCCGTCGAATACGATAAATCGACCAAACATTGCAGATGGGCTAATGTCAACTGCAGTACTGTAGCTGGGACTGCACGACTTCTGACCTCAAAAATATGTAGGACCTGCAGCAGCATGGTGGTTCACGACGCATCTGCCTCACCACCTCAGTTTTCCATAGTCAAGGTTGTTCGTTGAGGTAACAGAACCGAAATTCTGGTTCGACATGTCAAACGCAACCATTGATGAGGCGAACAATATTCATGTTACATTTGTGGTGTTGCTTCCAGTACATAACCGGGCCTGTCATCTTCAGAACAGTCGCCCTTTGGTATTTTGTAGATGGAAATCGGTTGTGGGAAACGTTGGACAACTTACTAGTAGTAAGACCTCTGCGATCAATATATTATGATGCGTATATTTCAGTTTGTGAAGGAGCCTGAGGAATTGAAATATGATCCAGGTAGTGCATGTTGGTATGTGATCAAAGGGTGGTGTGAGCTCAAGCGCTCAAGCTCAGTAGAAACCGAGTATGGTGTGAAACGATGAGAACGGACATGCTTTACATACGAGTTACTTGCAATTGTAAGATGTAGTACGAAGTGTGCGAGCAAAGTGAGACAAAAAGCAACCCGCGAAGTTACGAGAGATACAATGCAAAACAAAGCGAAGCCACAAAGCTCAGAGCGCTCAAATTCAAGCCGATACGGTGCAAAACGAGACGATGCGATGCAATCAATGTGACAAAGCGATCACGGTGGGAATATCATGGACATTGGACACTACCGGCCTTCTCAACTTATCAGGCATCTGCCAATCAGGACTAGGGATCAGTACTTCGGTACTCAGTTCGAGGATAAAGGCGGCGCCAACAGACTCCATTGTACGAGTCTCGATCAAGGCGGAGTGCCAATGCAGAATTTTGAGGTGCAGTCAATGCCTTAGAATCGTGCTGTTCAAAGTCTAGACTCATATGTATACGAAACTCGATAATATTTGAGGCGACATGGATACAGATGATTCAGATGGTACAACTGCCCTACACGATACTAGCACGCTTTTGCCACTGCAACACGTGCAAAGAGCTGCAGTTCGATTTTGACACTACTCGCCGTAGACTATACTTGCTGGGCCCCTATAATGGATTGAGGCGACGAAATGAATCATAAAACCATGAGTTGGGCTTACCGCACTTCAACACCCTTTACAACGTTCTCGATCAGCGAGGAAGTGAATAGACGAGAACGAGAGGCGAACCTTATACTGCCAACTGATCTGTGCTTTCAGTTCTGTGTGGCCAAATAGAATAATGACGTCGTATTCAATCTTATAATACTTCGATTGATCTAAAGTTGATTTTAGGGGACGCAGTGTTTTGGACACCTCGCTGAGGTCGGCAGTAATTGTGCATAGCGTGGTGAATGAAGCTGAATTGGATCAAGTCAGCATGAGTGTGTTCGAGCAGGGAATAACTCATACATGGATCACTGTCTAACCACTTCGGCTCCCGGAGGGCACCCTTGTAGCACAATAATTCCAAGTCATGACTCTTGCATCCAGCGAGTGTTTTTCGGATTTTTTGGAAGGATTTCCGGAATTCGCGCAGCTCAGAGACTTTAGTTTCCTATGAGGCAGGTCAGCATGTAATGAATGGATGAAAATACTTTGTTCACCTTCAGCAAAATACTCTCGAAATATTCGGGGATACACAGTTCGCCGGTGGCATCGATGAAGCTTTTATGTTGTCGGACCTGGTGTTCACGATCTTCAGAGTGGTACGGAGTGAAGCATTCAACACCATAAGTGGCACGTGCAACTCGAGACGATACTAGGTGGTCAATATAGAACGAAACTGCTCCATCAGCCACAGCCTTGTTGCTGTGAGCTGATGAGTAGGAGTAGTCACGTCGATATTCGAGGGCTTACACATGGGCATCAGGGCGACAGAAGCTGATGCCTAGAGGTAGAAAATATTCCTGGAGTCTGACAAACAGCCAGTCGCTGGCAGCGAAGCCGCCAACCAAACAAACCAACTTCATGACGATATCACGATCCGTCTAGCATATGAGCGAAATATAATGCTTACACTAATTGGAGTTGAAGCCACGCGTCTCTGCTGCTCAAAAGCCTCGATGATAGCTTCGATGGATGGTTCAAACAAGTCTGCAATGTCCTGGCTGTACGATAAAACGTGAGGGTTACGAGGAAGGTATCCTAGAGAATATGGACGAACCCAGCCAATTTTAATTGCCCTGATCGGATATCGTACTTCAGATCCTTGTCACGGATGGTACCAAACTTGATGTAAGATGGTTCATCAGGTTTACGGAACCGAAGTTTTGCGCTTTTGTCAAAGGTGTCCGCCATTTGTGCGACGATCTGGGGGTCGGAGTAGTGCTTTGAGCCCGAAAGTTTCTCTGGGCCAAGTGACTATCAGTTGTTGGTTTGTGCATGCACATTTCATTCACGGACTTTGTAAAAGAGTACGAGCGCGACTAGTAACAAAAACTGAACCTTGCAAGGAACCTGAGCGGACTTCAGCAAGAAATCAACACAGGAAAGCGGAACTCACATTCAGCTGGGGCAATCTCCTCGAAAGAGGTCGGAGATAACTTCATCGAGTAGGCGCTGAGATCGATGGTTCCGCCTCCGGCATCAACAACAATGACTCCCTGGCTGTCAGATTGATCTTCCTCATCATCGGAGTATTCTAACACATCTAAAGGGGTTTTGGAGAATGTATCTGATGCAATCACGTTGGTAACACAGAAATGAAGACTCGCTTCGCCCTCAGTCAAGAGGTGCACGTGCGATTGCTCCTCCTTAGACGAGATGAGGCCAGCGAGCTCGACAGCACGTCTAATTTGTTGTTGTTGTTGACCTTCCCAACCGTTCGGATGCGTGAGCACGAACTCAATGGAGTTCTCAACCGATCTCCAGAAATTCAGATGTGATTCCTGGATATAAGTTCGAGCGCATTGGAAGAGGTAGCACATGAAGTCGGCAAGAACTTCTACTGCAGATTTGCCTTGTGGGAGAGGTTCTATATCGTCATCCCGTATGTGAGACGATGGCAGGTGCTTGGCGCGAAGATGAAGTTTCCACCTGACCGAGATTAATATGCAGCCCATATCTTTTCCACAACGATATACATACCATGCGAGCTTCACCCATCCCTCGTCTTCTGCCTGTTCGATGACATGCTCTTGCAGAGCCTCAGCACCTACGGCGCGAACGTCTCCCTGAAGGTCGTAGTAGAGAATTGATGGTATTTTGGAGTCACCTCCGACACCCTCTTGCGCAGGATATCTACAATCCAACCATGAGCAAGAGACATGGTGCTTGAGCTGTCTACTGACCTTGATACTCCTCGAATTACAGGCACCTCCCCTGGGTCTAGCATACAATATGAGACTCCACTGAACGTAGTCCCAACATCAAATGCAAGCACTAGCTTTCGCGTTGGACCCTTGTATGGTTCTCGTACAAACATAATAGTAATCTGAAGGATGGCAATTCATGTGTTGAAGTTTATATGCGAAGCATGCCTTACATTTCAAAGGTCACATACCAAGGCTGGAGGCGCAGATCAATGTGTGTGTACCTCGTGTCGCAATTGACTGTGCTAGGATAGAGCAGATGCATGCACGTCGTGCATCTCCTATGACCTGTTCTGAACAGGGCTGATCTTTCAAACTGGAGCCCTACGCCCAGTTTCACGTACCATTCACTGAGGAATTTGTCTGAGTTCGGATCTTACATGTGCATGAGCGACTTCGAAGTTCGAAGCTTCAACCCTGTGCACATGCATTTAACATATTGGCACTTGGCATCGACTTGGCGTCACCAGCACCGCCAATCAACCTGGCGTACACGGCCTGTTAGTAAACAGTTTGAATTGGGTTTTGTGGTCGAAACACTGTTACCTGAAGTGTTGTGACTGGATAGTATGTCGTTGGATTTGAGTCACTCTTGAAGTCGGATTGTCTTCGAAACTGGTCGATGCTGGTGAAGTTCATTATCAATGTTTTGCTGCCTGAGGCCTCCCTTCTTCAATTGTATGACCATTCCTGTTTAGCATCTTGAAGTTGCAGCGCGAAGTGGTTAATTATGTAACACGAACTTGCCTGCCCTAAACCATATTGGCAGCGATAGGGACGACTAGTCCGAGTGGCATCAGTAAACCGGTGAGACTCAGATATTCCCAGATTTTGTAGTATTTTGTAAGCCCAATGCTTCTTTCCTGTATATTACGATACAAAGTAATATGTAGCAATCCAAAGCAATGTAATCACCCCAATTCATGCTCCATTCGGACCTATATATTGCTTTACATCACTTTAGATTGCTTTATATTGTTTTATAACGTCATGTAGAGGAAACAGGTACCATACCTGGGAATATCTGAGTTTCACCGGTTTACTGATGACTCCTTCACCGTGAATCACGCCTTTACAACTAGCGATGGCAAGTTGTGTAACTTCTCCTCACCTTTAATACCAACACCCCTGTCGGGAAGCCACCCTGAATCCGAGTGGTACTATATCCAGGTCTATTCAAACTTCGTGCATCAGTGACGACCATCATTTTACCAAAGCGGTCCAGGATCTAATTTGCCTACTATGTACTTAGCGTGCATGTGACAAGCTGCTTACGGCTGAATATCACCTGGAGCCTCAATTCTGCCAATGGAGACGATAGTCCAGAGATCAACTCCTTTGCATCAGATTCAGCGCACCATGCTAAACTCTGTGACGTTTACATTGTGCTGATGCATTGCATCAGAAGTTCTGTGTGATGGCTCATCTGAAAACTGGGGTCTGGCTTTAGAGTTGTTACAATCGATCAGTCACCTTCCGATAAACAATGTGCAATTAATAACCCATAACCTGAATTGAGAGCTGAGCAACCATCTCGATATCGTGATGCACTATATCTCAAGTTTCAACAGGCCTCGTAGCACGTTCCAGCAGAGGATCCCTTCTGTGGGTGTACAAGTCAATAGTGATTATGCACTTTGGAAACGACATCAAGCTTACGACATCATAGCAGCAGAGAGCGGTATGCTTGCATTTGCTCGCGGCGCTGACCTTGGTGCAGTGTGAACCCTGCCAGCCGCTGTTGGTCTATTGTTGCGCATCAATGGGCACAGTGAATACAACGTGGAATATAATGTCAGCCTACATCTCCAGCATTTTTGCAACACACCAACGTGGCATCATTCTCACAAGTTGAGACTGCAGACGCAGCTGTGACGCCAGCAAAGGTAAAGATGGCGAGGACGACACGTATGAACATCGTGGTGGTAGTTGGACACTGGATGGTGAGGGGAAGGCAGGTCGAGCTTTTATAATTTTCTGTGCATGTATGTAATAGGTCACATCCGAGTCATGATCGCTATTTAGTTAGCTCAACAGAGTAAATTCCCCTTCAACCAGTTGACGTACAATAGACATATGCAAATGGTCAGATTTGAATCGTTTGTGCTGTAATTGAACCAACCGATGCTGGTATCATGTACTCGGGCAACCCAGTCAGCGACATTGACGACGTAACACTCGAGCACTGAGCGCAAGTAGGCGGCATCGGGAGCAGAGCCGGGTAGCTACTGCCACGTGATTCACTAGGGATGGATAACGCGTAGGTGACTTCCCATCATTTGGCTGGCTGTCGTCTATTGTGTTGGTCCATGTCATTACAGTTCTTGCCGTATGATCTTCTATTCAATATCGCCCAGGATCTTGACATCGATGATGTGCATAATCTCCAGGCGGTCAGTACATTTTGGTCTCATAATACCATGTTATGATCTTATAGCTGACTCAATCTTTCCGTTAGACTTGCAAGTCCTTGCGTTTGTTCACCCTTACCAGACCCGTATATCGTCAACTAGCCCATGACTTACTTGCCAGATCCAGGCCCCTTCCTCTCCACTCCTTCCAGCGCCTCTCTGATCTTTCAACACCCGCGCTCATTGCCGCTGTCGACCGCGCACGAGGTTTTGAGAAGGCATGGGCGATCCGCGCCCCTCGACCGGCTCGACCAAACCCGTACTACGGAAACCAGTGGTACATCACTATTAGCGTACCCTCCCATGAAGAGATCGATTGGCTATCTCCCATCACCAGCAGCTACACACTCTGTGCGACTAAGAGCGGCCGTGTCTTATGCTGGGATGTAAGGAGGGATATCTGCCTTGCTGAGTGGGATCCGAGGTCCTTGACTAGTTCCTGTGGAGGAGACGAAGATGAAGACGAGGATGATGAGGATAAATGGGAGTTATGGAAATGCCGTGTTGAATTCGAAGAGCGCACAGTATATTTCACCATGGCGAGGGTTCTCAAGGGGTTGCCAGTTTTTCATTTTCATTGATTTTCAGACTCAATTGACACGCCTTCTTAGACATCACGATGACCGCGTGATGGAATTCATGCTCATGCGATTATTCTTCCCTCACGAACTCGACGATTACGACGAAATAAATCAGGCACAACTCTACGTCCAATCTCCAATTCTTTCTCACCTCGATCATTATGCCAGTGCTGCTGAACCCCAGTCACGGCAACGTGAAGGGGACTCCCCAATACAATTAACGCCTAGGGTCCCATCGCCCACGCAAGATCCGCCCTCGTTGATCCCGATTTGCGATCAACCCCCCACCCCCACTCCTTCACCACCCACCTCCCAAACTCCATCACCACAAGACTCATCCCTTCTTCACTCCGGCAGCTTCGGCCCATCCAGCACTACATCCAGCGCCCAATGCTCCCCAATGGCAATCAATGCGATGCTACCGCCTGATTCTGCAGAATGCAGCGATCCCCCGCAATTAAACGGAATTCCTTCCAATCAGGCGAATACAGTTGGAATTAGAGGTGATGGTGGTGCCGGGGAGCCGTACCAAGGACCTGTCTTCTGCCATCCCTCCCTCCGAGCGATGTTTATCCGCAGCGCGCCTGCGACACCCTCTTGGGAGAGATACATCCCGCTTCCTATGAATTTTGGTGAGCATTTGCCTTTTAAGTTTTTTTATTTGTTGATGTGCCATTAAATATTGTGTTCTCACAGATCAACCCCCACCCCCGCCCCCAGTATCGACTATTCCCATTCCAGAATCAGCGCGACCAGTATTCGACACGCTTACGAGCTTCCATACAACAGGGGTCATAATGAACGTATTCCTTCTTGACCCGCCACGTCGCTTGCTGAGCGCTTTTGTATGGATTGCGAGTAGTAATACTATCGGTGAGTATCAAGATCAGGATACCTAAATTTATTCTATTTCCGGGTGTTACTATAATTGCCATTTATTTGAAGCTGCGTACTGACTGCTTTGCGTTGCATATGACAGGATTGTACGTACTCCTTGACTGGGCGAAAGACGACTATGTGTTTGTGGATACCGGTGTTGGATGTGTGAGTACTCTTTGTGGTTATTGTGTTTCCTTCAAGTTGCGTTCCATGTTTGGTGGCACACGCATTGGTTTGGTACGCATACAGTTAATGCCACGTTCTGTAACTCCTCTGCCATTTTTGGCATTTACACGAATATGGTGGCTTCAACAGCACGCGTGTCTTTATCCAGCTGTTTTACCATACAATATTTTCACCTGTTAACCTCCTTTTACAGCTCATCTCTTCCAACTGGTCCTGCATCCTTCACGAAGACCAAATTGTAATCCACAGCGAAGAAGCTGACGCTGCCTATCAGCACTTTTACCCGCTTGAGGTGCTCAGAGCATACGGCTGTCCCCGCCGCACTGTTTCACCGGCCACTCGCGCACAGACTCCACCTCAAGCAGAAGACGGCGTCCCACAGGAGAACAACGGCGAGGACATAGCGGACTCGTTGAAGAGCTTGTGGAATAAGCTCCCAAAAATATGTGCAAGACTTCCACCGAGTAGGAGCATCTCGAAGAATTTCGTGTTTCCTTCTGTGCCGGGGACCTCGGGTGCGGTGGTTGGTGTTCTTCCTGTAGGTGATGGAGATGAAGACACTGAGGAGGAGGATGAAGCTGGTGCGGCGGAAGAAGATCAGGGACAGACCGAAGATAATACCGAGCCCGTTAGTGAGGAAGGACAGACCGGCGTGACTGAGGTATCTTCTACAGTACCTTCCGCTGAGGATGAGCAGTCGGTGGGTCATGAAGAACCTGTGGACGAAGAAGAGCCACCAAATGACGAAGAAGAATCTGAAGATACTCACGAGGGAGAAGAAGAAATCCCTTCGAATCCGAAGAGGAAGGGCGAGAGGCGTACACGTTTCGAGGATGAAGAAGCAGGAAATGATAGTCGCGCAGACGGGCCCAGTGACTCTCAGGGTGGCGGGGATGAACTTAACGCAGGATCTTCTTCCTCAAGCCAAGTCGGTCCCGGTCCTGAACCTGTGCCGCAAGACGACGAGGATGCATCATCCTCTCAATCCACCACTTCAACCACTTCTGGACCTCAGCAGCCCACTCAAGATGTAGTAGGTCCTGCAACGCCTGAATCGTTCACAAACCCTTATCCGTTCCCCCCTTGGTACCCCGAGTCTGCACACTTTGTGCGGCAGTGGTGGCCTACCCTCCCTGGCGTCCCGCGGTTGAGCTGCACGGTTGTTCTCCTTGCAGCACACGACCATGAGACGCACCACACGCGTTTTGTGCTCGCGCAGCATTATTTCAAGGTCCCAATAGCCCCCGAGGGGCTACCTGTTGCAGGAGAATCGAGCACTAGCAGTTCATCTCATTCTGCACAAGCGAACGACGACGACATGCTTCATCTGTGGTATGTCAGCACGCCGTTTGAAGTCGTATGCGTGCTCGAAGAGGGGGATGACGATGAAGATACTAGCGACCGGCCACGACCCCTCGTAGCTGTTGATTTTGGGCACGCAGTATGGGTGGAGTATGGAGCTTCTGTTGTACCTCCCACCCTTAATGTTCGCGCCCGCGCCGACAGCAATTCTCCCGGGATATATGACGCAGATATTGTTCAACCAAATACAGAGCCAGACACGCAGCTTCACGCCCACTTTGCGCATTTCGAGAACGATCATTCGCATCCGCACCCGCGGCGGCGGGTTCCTAAATGCCTGCGCTTCGTTACCTTCCCTCCTGTGCATGGCCGCCGGGTGCGGACTGAAGAGGCAGTGGTGCGCACGCTCGAGATCCCAGAGGAGTTGGACTTGGATGTCGTTGAGACGATCAATATTGATCAGAGCCAGGGTGCTGTAATTTTGAGTGTGAGGGATGGTAAGATTTTTATTTTGAGGTATGAATGATATTTTTGGAGTGGGGATGCGGACGGATGTTTGCTACACAGAGTTTATGAAAGTGACGATTGTGATATACGATCAACCACGTAAAACACGTCCTCCGATGAGTTGGGGACTGTCCCTGGCTGTACCTATGCAGACATATGTATATATCGTACAAATTAAGATCTCTATTCCTCACATCCCCCTGCATAGATAGCAGTACCGCAATGACCAGTACACAGTTTACCAATTGAAGCATTGAGAACCGCAAAATCCACTGATCTTCTTTAAATGGAGTCAGTCACATGGGGCCCTGTAACTAGGGCCAGCCTTAGGCTAATGAAACCAAATACCGTTTCTGGCTTCTAGTCCTGGACAGTCGTGGAACTGATTGTGGCCTGATGCATATCATGAATCTCTACATCCCGGACCATACCATGACATAGCCCTGTCTTGTTTCAAAACACCGCAGCTGCCAAAGGGCGGGGCTCAGTGGGTCATGAGTAATATGTCTCTGATAGAATGAAATAGTCGTTTCTTTGAATCCTCTGTCAGGCACTAAAACTTGAGTTTTTTTGTGTGTCCAATTTCTGTCCTTTTCAGAGTGATACTCTATGTAGGACATTACGATCTAAACTAGACTCCCAGTGTCTCGAGTGCATCTCAGGCTCGCGAATGCCCTGATGTGAAGCGTGCTCCTATCAGTCCGCCGTTCCCGCCGACCGTTTGAGACGCTCTGCCCTTGGGTGAGATGACTGTGTACGCACCATCGGTATATGGTACTGCTGCGGTATACATATGTTTAACGCGTACTCGGCTACCGAAGGCAGCTGGTACAGGAATCGGGAGGGATGCAAGTAACGTAAGTAATAGTTACCGTTCGCTGGTTAATCGGGGACTGTGTTGGTTGGCTAATTCGGCTTCTTTGGCGTGTGGTTCCGTGTAGTCGAGTATATAAGGGTAAGGTTACATTGGTGATGGTACAGAGAGGTGAAAAAACTTGAGTTGTTCTGCAGGGCTGACACCCCCTCCATCAGTGGGTTGGATTGTGCTACAGAATGCTACGGAGCGCTCTGTAACGCTCTGTAACAAATTACGTTTTCCTGATTCGGCGACAAGGTGTTCAGCGAGACTTAAGCTTGAGAATGTAGAGTGTAATTACATAATAAATTTTGTCAGAAGCTGGCCTGGATGTATCATACGCATAGCTGCTGACGATATCATCTCTGGTACTATATCGCATCGCATCGAAGACATGTGCAATATTGTGAGGAAGCTAGCTGTTAGTAAGTTATAATATTAGGCCACGGACTTGTCCGAGTGAGCATAGCTTGCCATGGCTAATCCATTGTCGTAATACGGGATCACGTGTAATTATATAATAGTTAATAAGCCTTCACACTTTGCTATCTCATCAAGCAATCTGGAGTATTGTGATTTGATCGATCGTGGCGCTCTTTCCTAAAACCCGGAATTGAATATTGAATATCGAATGCCAGGCTCGGAGCTCGAGCTCCAAAACATCCCAGTTTTAACAGAATGATGCAAATTCTTCACACCGTAAAATAAGTTGGACGAGGCTTGTCAGTATCATCACCATTCTTGCTAATCGAAGACCGAAAGTCCCCTACTCACTATCGATGATCATGACAACAAGGCAGAGGAACACTGGTATGACCATTTGGTGACTGCCAACTAATAATTCCGTCTGGCTTGGACACTGGTATGCGTGCCAGATGGCCCAGCTGCGGCAAGATACAACGTACATCGTGCCATGACATTCCATTGTGGGCAGGGTTTCCGACACAGGTTTTGGAATGTTTCCCATAAAAGTCATATACAATCAAATGTATCTATAGCTTTTCTATAGAATAATCAAGAGCTGCTAGCGCACTGCCTTGAAAGCCTATATGATACCAATATTATACTCTAATCCATACAGTCAAACATCCACCACTCTACTGAGGCTTGCAGTCATACTGCTTTCCGAGAAATTCACGCTGAGATACATTATCAAAAATGAGCATGCACTTGCATAAGTAAGGCTGGATCTCATAAACCTATGAATGGACTCACAAGCTTACCGTGGTTTTACCTTCCAGATCCGGATGGACGCCAACATCACACCCGTCAACATCTTCATGGCTTGACGTTGTTGAGCGATGCACAAGCTTGACCAACAGCGGATGCGTGTTGCATCATAGAACCTTAGAACGTGCATCCAGTGATCAAGACTCAACGACTTCAACCCTGCACAGGCTGCACTCATGTCTTAAGCTGCTTGACCAGCACTGTGACAGGCTTAACAATACTTACAAGAAACTCTCGAGATTCGCGCCCGCATTGCAGAGGTTCTTGCTAACTCTCAGTCAGAGGTCGCCATGGAAAATATGGGCACATGGGATAGAAGCGTTGACCTAATCGTCGGTGATGAGCCTCCGACTATTGCGCCAGTTGCACTCAACGAGTTCGATGCTAATTCACTCTTGTCAACTCCGCCAAACCTGTCCCTCCTGTCACAGCCGCTAGAATTCCAACATTCGCACGGTCAAGCATCAGCACATGAATATGGATCTCTTTCGCAATCATCTGTCGGGGTCATCAGTAAGCCTGCTAGAGGAGACAGATCCTCCCATTCACCGATTTTCTCAAGGTGAGTTTACCATATTTGCAGCCTTTCAATTATACTTACTGCGTGAGAATAGAACCATTACTCCCCAGCGCCTCCGGTTTCGTCAGCTATGAGCTTGGCACACAGCCATTCCAGAAACTCTTACCTGAAGATGACACATGTTCTGAGGGGCAGACTTTATCTGGCCCTTCAGTCAGACACCAACAGCCGTATCTCCCCGTTGTGCAGGATGACGAGGATAAGGTGAAGTGCATGTGGTCAGGGTGTTCAAGTGTTATCAGGAAGGACAACTACACTCGCCATGTGAATGAGGTTCATAAGCGTCAATTCAAGGCTGTCTGCACTGCTTGTGGAAAGGAGTTCCTGCGTCCATATATGAAGAAGACCCATATGTGTCCTGGTCGATATTCCAAACGTAGTAATTCCTAGACCGAGGAAGCTCCGTACAAGGCGTATCTATTATTGCATGTCGTTCAGTTTTCACCTACATCCTCAACACCGTCATTCCCTGCTTCATTTTTGAAAAGCAATCCAATCCTTACTGAGGTTTAATTTTCCAGTGTTCATTCTATGAGATCTCTGATGAACGCACCTTATCGGACCGGTCGCACAATTTCCACGTCCTGCTCTGAGCCAGACTTCGTATGGTCAGCACTAGGCATACATGTGACATTGACCCACGTTCTTGGGCCCAGGATATGACGCACTCGTGTGTCGACATCCACGGAATCACGAGAGCACAGTTCAGCACCAGAGCCGGAGAAGTGCACACAGTACAGTACTCGTTGCTCTGCCCGGCGGACTGCATTGGCAGGCAAATTCAATTTGTGAGTCTCATAGACGAAGTAAAGACAGTTGTTCGTTCCGGAATCTGGGGTCAGATTGGCGAAACTTGAAGCCTTTTTCAATAGCACTCACCTGTCAGTGTACGTAAGCGCTGAGCTGACTAACCACAGCCTGGGCCTTGACCTACTTTTTTTCTTCACCGCTTAATCGAGCCAACAATATGAATCAAGGTGATTTGACGTCGTCGGAAAACATCCAGATCCGTAGTCTCCCATTGTTCACGGTGATCAGGGATCACTGGCCTATTCTGAGGCGTAGTTTGGCGGCATCAGTGAAAGGGAATATTCCAATACAAGCGAGCTGCGTTTCCGCAGGTTTCTGCCTGGGTTTCTGATTTATTCTATAATTGATATCATTGATTCATGGAATTGGAATGACGAACATGGGCCTACTCGGTCGAAGGGGTTGATGCAAAGCGAATGAAGGCTGTCCTCGATATCTCCCTTCTGAAGATGGTCCAGACAATGTTGTGCAGATTATTATTAATTGCTCGTCTTCGAGAATTGTATAGCCTGAACTGGTCGCAGCTCGATCCCATCTTCTTCGGATATAGTGTTTGTCACGCATTGCCTAGCTCTTGTCTGCTCTGGTATCCAGTCTTGGCGGATGTCGAAAAGTAAGTGGACACCAGGCCACCGGTGTTCGAGCTTCCTTCACGGCACATCTTCTAACCCGGATATGCGACGCCAGCCTGTTCAATGTTGGTGTCTGCCGCGGAATCCAGTGGATCTCTGAGTCCTTTTAAAAGGATTGGCGATGCAATTTGAATATGCAAGCGTTCATTTTCGGCCTGCCTAATACCGATGGACCTGATCAAGAGAGAAGATAGGATTTAGAGTGGGACTTGCGGTGGTCTTGATTATTAGGATAGTTACTTTGGCAGCAAAGCTGGGCCCGCCAAGTTTCTCAGCTTGCTTGAGCCAAGCTTGCGCTAGCAAATTTTCATGGCTTATCGCCGACCATGATGGATGATAGTCTTAATCAGTCCATAGTCGAATAAGAAACATGCTCTCATGTATTAAAATAAAGTGGGACTTATATTCGACCGGTGAGTCGGTGACCCGACTTGTCCTCCCAGGTTCCCCCACCAACCTTTCTGTCCATCTCCTCCATGTCGGACAAGCGGGATATCGAAAGTAATGACTCTACGACAATAACGAGCTTGAAGAAGTACCTCTTCACGGATATCGATGGAGACAAAGCCTCCGCTCCGCTGTCTGCATATTGTTTTATGACTGGTTTTATGTGTGTCTTCCGAAATACTCCGCGTTTCCCAACCACTCATATTCGTCCTCATCCCCAGCGACGCTGTCTCTTTCTCTGCTATCTTCGTATGGTGTGCTTTTCAAACCGGAAACACTGTACAGGTGCGATTTGACATTCTTTGTTACTCGGCCCATCGTCAAGGTACTCATGTATCTATGTCTCTAGCTCGGACTCGCCATCGCCCGCCTCTTCAATGGCCAACATGACCACTCTTTCCACATTGCAGATCAACAAGCCCTCTGCTCCATCCTCACATTCATCTTTGGGGCATCCATCGCCCGCATCGGCGACAAGATGGGCTGCAAAACTCGGGCATGGCTGGCTCTCGGCACTTTAATCCAGACCCTCTTTACCATGGCTGCAGCCATCGCCATCTGGAAGAGCGGACAGATGAGCGTCGCGGATTCACGTGATAATCCAGCGTGGACCAATACGTTGTCCTTTGTCTGTGTTGGGTTCATGAGCGCAAGCATGGGTCTCCAAGGAATCATGGGCAAGAGAACGAATACACAGTTTACCACGACAGGTGAGTTTTCTCCACATCATTCGCTTGTTTTTTGATATCTTATACTGAATGTGCCATTCAGTGGTATTGACGACGACTTGGTGTGAGCTGATGGCTGACCCTCAGCTTTTCAACATTCGTCGACTCGTCATCTCCCGAGATCATAAGATCCTTGCCATCGGCTCGTTGTTTTTGGGCGGGTTTTTGGGGCGTGCATTACTCGACGTAATAGGGTCCGCTGGTACTCTTGGCGTTGGCGCAGGCTTGAGGTTTATTGTCAGCATCTGGTGGCTCTTTGTCCCCGGCAAGGCAGCGAAGCGGTGACCGTCAAAGTCCATAACATTTACTGTAAGCAAACATAGATGCGTTGTAGAACTGATACGAGCGTTGTTTTTTTGTTCAATGATGAGGAACTCCTCTTACGTTTAGCGTTGATGGGAACTTGTACACATCAATACTGAGCAGACCTGCAGCTTCACACCTCACAGGTTTGTAATTTTTGTGGGAGATTAATGACGATACATGACCACAGAGTCACGGGATTATGTCAGTGTCTGCATGCAATCGTACGAATAATTTAGGCACGCAACCTTGTGAAGGTTCAAGAAGTACGTTACGTGGTGATGTGAGGGCTGTTCACCTTCAACTCTTGAGATCAGCTCTTCCCAGAATGTGAGATCTAGATCAATCTGGGAGCATCACATCATATGGAAGACGCATGTACCGTAGGGGCCTACGCCTCGAGGTTATGTGCACGAGGAATGAGAGCTGCGCGGCAGACAAGTATTCCGCATCGTCCTACCCACACTACACAACCTCATCGACCTCACCCCAATCCAACCATGACGTGGAGCGTCCCATACTGGACGGTGCCGTCGTCCTCAACTGCCAGACCCGTCCTCACTACCCAGACCGACAGTCGAAATGCCGCCCAAACGGAGTACCGCACTGAATGGGAGGAAGTATCCCCAGTGTTACTCGACTGCGACGTAGACGTTGTCAGCCTTGACGGCAGCAGGACGCATGAGGAGATGCAAGTACTGCACCTGTCGAAGCTCCTCGACGAGGCGAAGCAAGAGAACCACCGTTTTGAGGAGCAGGTGCAGTCCTTGCTCAACCAATCCATGACTGAGACAAGCAGCCTTCAGTCCAAGATCGCGGAGCTGCGGCAGCGAAATAAGGAGGCTCTCGCTGAGTGCGAACGAATGAAGAAGGAGAAAGAAGATGTTGTTGCTGCGCTCACGAAGAAGAACGATGTCATCAAGGCAACGCTGCAGCAGCAAAACCAGGAAATGCGGCAAGCGCTCGAGGACCTGAATCGCTCCAGCGCTCATGCTCAAGCCGAGCTGCTGGATGCAAGGAGCAGCATGCTGGTGTGCCGTCAGCAGCTCACGCAAAGCTCCGCCCAACTCGAGTCCTTACAGAAAGAGCAAACTGCAAGGATGGGTCTGACAGACCGAGTTGCTGTGCTGGAGGCTGAGCTGAAGGCCAAGGATGCAGAGCTCGCTGAGATGAAGAAGCTCAGCTCGCAGGCCAAGAGCGCAAACGTCGCCATTGCCCGCGATGACTCGACAACCCTTGTGCAGGAATTCAACAACGTTCGGGCGCTGCTGGCAAACTGTATCCCAGAGCGCCCTGCGAGTATGTTTAGCGCTATGATGTCCTCAAGCAACGAGGTCGTCAGCGCTCTCCGGAAGCTGAACTCCGATATTCATCAAGATGCCACAATTATGGCTGAGTCTATGGCCGAATCTTTCGGGTTTGAGAACGGAAGAGTGAACGGGAATGAGGAGACGGCGCTATTCCAGCAAGTGGGCACGACCATTGGCGCAGGTCTTGCCCACTTCCTGGGCACCAAGAGTCATAGCGAGGATCCTATCCTCATCCAGATCGCTTTCCAGACATATATCGCTCGGTACCTCTGTTGGCTCTCGACTGCATGGATTGCTAGCGGAGGCAAGGAAAGGCTTGGTACGGCTGACCAGAGCAACACTAGTAAGTCATATATCTGACGCACAAATGCAACTCTTCACTGACTCATCTGCAGCCCAGACGGTCACCACAGCATGGAGTGCACTATCGCATACTCTCTCCAAGCATCTTCAGTTCGATGATGTCCAGCTTTGTTCTGCAGCCACATCCAAAATCGTAGCCGGTCTCGCTGATATTTTGCTTGTTGCGGGCTGTGATGGCACTCGGCCGCAGCTTTGTGATGCCCTGAAGCAAAAGTTCAGCGAGAAGATTTCGCTGCTTGCGAAGTCTGGCATGCGCATCAATAGGCTTATGATCAATAGCATCGACCGGGGCCTTGATGTCGTGGTAATCAAACCAGCCACAGTGTTCGATTCCGCGTGCATGGACGATGGGTACGATGACGGCGAACATGACAAGAATGCTGCGAACAACCGTGTCCTGTGCCCCACTGATATCGGGTTGTGGCAGCGTTCCAAGGGACCCAATGCCGGCCAGTGAGGATTCTGTTAAAGCCGAAGATCGCTCTGGAATCTGTGGTGGATAACTTGGACGACTGAGATTGGGTGTTTCGAAATTTCCATGGACGCTGAGTCTGATTCTGTGTACTTCTTCTGTATATTGTGACATACCTACCTCGTGTTTCGAATAAGTATCTATCTCTTTTCATCACACGGGTGAGAAAAGGCCCCTGATTGAATGTACATAGGGCGCAAGCGGACATGCTTTCTGAGCAATCAATCTATCACCGATAGTCACGGTTTGATATTCGAAAACGCGGATAACACATGCCCGTGAGAGGTGTATGTTTCGGTCATCTAGGTCGTGGGGTTAAATCTGACAACCTGCACAGGTGTCCTCCATTCATTCTGAACTTCGCCTCAGGTCGACCCAATGTTGAAAAACATAATCATAACCATAAACCCATTCCTTGCTTGGTGTAACATGATACAAGGTCCTTCCACTGAAACGAGCACAGCTTCCAAAACCGAGATACAACACGCGGGGGGTTATAGCCGCCGGTCACAAGACGACACGGCGGGAAGAAAGAGAGCAAGCGTTGAGCAGGAAGCACCAGCCCAAAATATGCGTCCGTACCCCACAAACAAAGAATTGAGGGCCAGGTCAAGGGCCACGATAGAGCATACGGACGAGACAGAATCCTCACGACAGACAAGGACGAAATCATATACTCCACTGTCTCCAACCACTCCGTGGGCCACGAGACAAGAAGTATGCGCTCCGCTACATGTCGGGGTACCGGAGAATGAGATGTGGGCTCCACCACAGGCGGGTGCAGGTCCGTCCCGCTCCACGGGATCTCCAGCTGTCTCCTCACTACGCTACCTCAAAGCCTCTCCAATATCGCAAGGCGCTGAAGAATCCAGGGGCACAAGGCGCCCTCGTTTGTATGACACAACACACGATTCTTCTCGGCAACTTTCAGCCCCTCCACCTTCTGTTACACGCAGCATGAGCTCTCACATGATTGTACGAGACAATCAAAGCGTGGAGATGGAGCAGTTGAAGAAACAACTTGCATCATATAAAAAGGAGAACGAGAAGTTGGCTGGCGAGCGTAAAGATGCTGAAGAAATTATCCGGGACATGACGGCCGTCCTACATACAACGAGGGCCGAAGCGCGACGGCTACATGATGAGCTGAGCAAGAAAAAATCAGAAAATGATAAATTACGACAGGAGGTGGAGCACCTGAAGGGATCTATCAATATGTCACGCTCGCTCGAAGCTAAGCTCCAAGAGACCGAATCCGCGCTCGCTTCAACAAGGAACTCTCTAGATACCGCAACGAACCAACTAAAGGCCATGTCAGAGCAAAAGACACAGCTGCACACCCTCCTCAACGACCGTACCTTCGAGCTGAAAGGCGCACAGAGCTTCTTAACCACAGCTGACGCCTTCTCAGGCGCTGACGTCATTTCCGTGCTGCAGAAGCTCAATGCCGAGGTGCTCCAGAGTGCTGCCTACATGGCGGAATCGATGGTGGATACGTTTTCATTTGAGTCAGGTGGGGTAAGGAACGAGAATGCCTATGCAGTGGTGACGGGATTATTTGGGCAGTCGCTCGCGCATTATTTGGCCACAAAGAAGCATAAATATGATCCACTTCTCATTCAAATCACGTTCCAATCGTGCTTCGTCCAATTCCTCGAGTTCGTGATTTGCTCATGGACTCTGCCTGGCGACGACTCTGTCAACAGAATGCTCGCCAGCACATACGAAAGAATGCGATGTGGTGGTGAGTGTAAACAGCATCATGCAATAGTGTGTATGACGACACTTGCATTCCAGAGGCACAAGCAATTTCGGGGAGGTGGCGGGCGCTCACGAGTGCATACGCCCACAATCACGAAGAGAGCCAGCTCATCGCATCAGTTACGCCATACCTCACGGGACATTTCTCCAACATCATGCTTGCTGCGGGATGCTCCGTAGAACCAGAAATACTTCGCGCATCAGTCGAAAAAAAGTTAAGTGACAGGATCATACTCCTCTTCAAACTGGCCTTGCAGCTTAACAAGATCATGATGGAGGAGATCACGTCTGCCGACTTGAGAACGGTCACAGTGCCTTTCGAGACCACATATTCTGCGGAGCAGATGGAGGATGCATATGTAGATGGAGACCCGGCTGCTGGTGGTGTTCGGGTGCTGTGCACAACGGATCTCGGCCTGAGGCGCATAACCAGGCTGGCCACATCAGGAGACAAACAGTGGGATGACAAGCTATTGCTGAAGCCGAAAGTTGCACTGAAGACAGTGGTTGATAGCATGGATGGGTAAATGGTACAATGTGAGATTCTATGCTTCTTCCAACTTGATCTTTTTTATCACTGTATATGCCTATTCGTCCTGGCTTTGGTCATGTAGAAGCTGTATTACATACCTGAATGTCTCCCGTCCATATTTTTCCTCTTGTTTTGCGCTGGACTTAGGTTTAACAGCATGATCGAGGACGAGAGGAGGACACGCACGTGGTGGGTTCAGAACCGGCTTCTGCTCGTCTTCGCTGGCTGTACTCTGCTGATGTAAACCGTTAATTGCACTCGTCAACTTGACAGGTGGCAGACATTCTGAAGTACGCAATGTCACGTAGGCTTGGTAGTAAGATTAGTGATGACGCACGAGACTTCTGCCGAGAGTCTTGCAGGTGCTGAGGGCCGTTCTTGGTGAAGGCTTTTTATCGAGATTCCGCTCCAGAATTTTATTTTCAACTACGTCCATATGCTCTGCAGATGGCTGGTGGGAAGTTGCTAGATCCATCACATTACATTTTGCGCAATATCACGATGACTGGTTCACGTACAAGGCCCTGGCAGCGATCCGTCAATTATGCTCAATCCAACTTTTTGTTCCTCGTTCTGTTTCTGTATCAAACTGTTGATCGCATCTATTAGTTGCGGGGGTGGCTCGTATTCTTCCTGCGTCAAATCTCTCTTGACTTGTTCAAGTTTGACGGGCTTGGAGTCACTTTGAGAATTTCGTGGAGATGCTCGCAAGAGCGCTAGAGAGTCTTCTTCTACAAAAGAGGTTACACCCGCAATAGATATGTGAGTATGAGAGGTGCTGACATACCTTCCTGGTAGGGATCTAGCTTTTTCAGGTATTTTTGGACCGGGACATGTTCACCTTCGGCTGGAGTTGGCTGATGGCTTTGCCGGTCTGCAGAAGGGTTCCTTGGCTGATTTGTCTGGTTAATATATGTTCCATGAGCAGGGTGTTGCGTAGGGGGCTCGTAAGGTTTGAATACAGACTATAGATATTTAACAAGGGGATAGCGAATTCCAACCACATACAACTTACAGTAACATCAGCAGGTGCCGCGGGCGGAGGTATATGTGTCTTTTTTTGAGATACAGGGACAGGGATTGATGTTGGAACAGTTGGCTCAGCTTCTGGGGTAGGTAGCAGTGGTTTAGGTGGTATTGGAAGGACGAGACTGCGAATGGAGCGAGGGGGCTCAACCCAGCCTGGCTCCGGGTAAGGGGACTTGACAGGAGGTAATGTCCTTCTGAGAAACATTAGGGCAATCTTCTGCCCAGTTATCTAAAGGTCTGAATTAGACGTACAACAAAGTAAAACTGAGATGCCTAAACTCACGATTACCGGGGTCACCGTTGTTGCGAAAATTGTATTCAAAGAAACAGGACGCCCTATCATCGTTTGGATTCCCATCCCATTTCTTTGAAATAATTGCCAACTTATGCTCCCCAAGAAGTGGCTGAATATCTGTCCCGAGTGGAAGTTGGACAATGACTTCATCTCTCTGCCGTCATTAGATTGTGCTCTGACTCAATTGGTATACTCACTGTCCCCATACTAAATATTAGCTCAACTGTCGCGTGTATATCTTTGTCCTGGAGGATAAGCTGGACCCACGCTGCCAGCCTATTAAAGTCCTGCGAGGCGCGACTGCTGGGGACGCGATTCATCCCCCACGGGGTGGTGACGACGACATATTCTGCATTGCGACCCGTGTATGGGGGCCCTGTTTTACTCTTTGCCATCCAGTATTGGTGTTGGTGCCACTTTGAGTAGTAGTCTCCCCTATTGGAGTCCGACGCGGATGAACGATGAAAGACAAGGCGATCGATTACATAATCACCAATCAACCTTCGAACCCTGCTGCCAGTAAAGGCTATTCTCCGGTTCAATGCAGTTTACTGGCCGCAATTGCTGGCGTCGTCACTGAAGGCGGTGAAGTGCGTACAGGCTCGAGTCGTTTTGGGGGCGAAAAGATGGCAAGCATTTAGGTTGACTTGAACTGGCATGTCCCACAGGTATGTCGAGACTCGAAAGGTTCACCAGTGATGCACTGCGTTAATAAACATCAAATAGATCGGTCATGAATACTTTAGAGTAATGACAAACAAAAGTCAAACGAATAGAATACGTGGTGACACAGTCCTGGAAGTAAGTTAGTCTCCTGACACCTCCGTCTCCCTCTCCATCCCATCTGCGATAGCTTCAAGTGCAACCTTGGGTTTCGCCAGTGTGAACGTCTTGTTCTCTGCGCCTTCCCCGTTTCCAACCTTCTCTGACCTCTGCAAACCAAGCGCAGTCGTGCACAAAACTACGCCAGACTGCGCCCCGCTCCCCTCGTCGAAGTCCTTCATCGATTCCGTGTCGAACCTCTCTCCAGCCGCGGCATGAGTGGGCCAGAGATCTGCCGACGTGACTTCCTCTCCCATGGCTCTGTTAAGCCTTGTTGCCATACGGACGATGTTCGACACACGTTCGCCGAACTTCATGGTGAATTCGCGATATGCATCTTCGTAGTTCTTGGTGCAACCAGCCGCAATCATCACGACCACGAGGGTGTCGCTAATATGCGCAACCATTGTTGAGTGCACATCCGCCTCCTGCAGAGCAACCTTCTGCGCATGAGATCGAGTCAAAGCGCGCCATCGGCCGCTGACCGCCTGGCTTTCTGTCATGCCCTTTAGTATGTTATTTCTTTAGATACAAATCGATCCTTACCTGTTTCCCGAACGTCGCCATAGATCTCCGCCAGTGGTTGCTCAGCCTGCAAGCCGTCAAAGTCCCAGGTCATTATGATCCAACGAGAGAACTCGACTGTGGCGGCCTGCAGTGCGATCTGGATCAAGAGAGGGTCTTCCCCGTGCTGCACGGTACCCAGGAGTGACGTCATAGCAGGTCCAATCAGCTCACTGGTTCGCGTACTGGCTTCTTTGATCTCGTCTATGTGTTCAGGCTTGCGAGCGAAATCGAAGGAGTCCGAGATGAAAGCTGCCGTCTGCATGATCTCTTGGTTGAGTTCGTCCACCAGTCTGATGACTTCCGCTCCTGAGAGTGTGTCGGCTGTGCTCAGGAATGCCTGTGCACCCCGTAGCTCTCGTGTACGGTCGTTAAGAAGGGTGGTTTGATCGCTGAACTTGGTCTGTAGGGCCTGCAGTTCGTTCTTCAGGGCCCTCTTTTCGGTCTCTCGCATCAGTAGCTGCTGCTGGTGTAAGCTGAGATCTTGCTGCAGTTTTTGATGCGCTTCAAGAAGCTTGGAGCGTTCTTGCTGGACCTTTTCTTTCTCGCTTTGCTCCTGTAGTAACCTAACCTGAATTTCATCGGCCTCCTTGCTAGCTTTTTTCAGAATGTTCGTAAGCCGGATATTTTCCGTTTTCAGGCCGCTCTTGTCTTGGACCCAAACTTGATGCTCCAGCTCAAGTTTCTTCAGCTTGTCCTCCACTGATATGCGCTTCTTCTCCTCCTCCTCCCATTTCTTCTTCCATTCAAGCAGTCGTTCTTCCGTTTTAACGTCACGGAAGAAACGCAGAGATTTCAGCCAGACAAAGAACGCGCGAGGCCGGCGTAACCACCAACACATGAGGAATGGGAAGCTAGCGCTGACAAGGGCAATGGGCACAGTGAAGCCTTTAGATGGTAAGAACCCGTAGGTTGGCAGGTTCATGGTCGTATTGGTCGCAAGGTAATGAACGTTCACTACATATTGAAGGGCTATGCCATGTGGTAGAAGCATGTTCATTTCTGCCTCGTGTCCGGCATGACGCCCATTAAGGCGGCGTTGAAGGCACGCTGCGGTAGCGTTCCAATTCGCCTCACAGATCACACTGCGGACCGCGTGTAGGCGTGTCGGTAGTCATTTTGTCTTCACATCAGTCCCTTAGTTACGCTGTGGTCAGTCACAGCGGCATGCTGCTATACCCTAGGCCGCGGTGTGTTATCCACCAATTTAGACGGCATTATCCATGGTGCATGACAATCCGGGTGTATTACGTCCATTATACACTGCTGATATGGTCTTGTGATATGACCGTCCTTCGTCAGATCTTGATTTGTATGGTTGGTTATGGTGTCATTTAAAACGTGTCTCCGCCTATACAGGAGCGTAGTCTTGTTGGCGCAGGTTGACTGGAGCGAATGCCATTCTGTGACATCAATCACCGCAGTAAGCCCATCAATTCGTGGAATTTTGCACTGACAATTTCCACACAGAAGACGCTACATTCCTTACCCGAGCAGGGCGCAAGTAGTTTGTGCATCACTGAAGCACCTATCTGCTTAGGCTTGTGGGGTGGCCTCGAGGCATCCATCGTCCGTTCATTTCTTGGTCTGACACTTTCTATCTAGAACACTCAGGAACTTCCCGTATCAGGGTTGGTTAACCACGCCTAATCATTCTCTGGCATCTACAGATCACTCGCATCAGGCCTCGAGACTGACACGAACAGTATGCCCTGTTGCCCCTATATTAGATTATCATCCGTTAAACGTTGTAGGTGAGATGGTGAAAGTCGTAAACGGATAAACATCCATGCGGCCTCTACCATAAGGTATAAGACGGTGTGAACAACGTACGACATCCATCCAGTTACGCAAGAAATGCTTCCCCGTCAGCCGTATCGTGGATCAGTCCGCAAATTGGTCCTTGCCTTCGACGTAGGCACTACATACAGTGCGATTTCCTACTGTATACTTGATCCTGGAGAAGTTCCAAAGATCGAGCCTGTCACCAGGTCAGTTTTCGAATACAACATACTTGATTCATTGCCGATCATTACGAGTATTAGATATCCAGCCCAAGAGCACAGCGGAGGGAACTCGAAAATACCCTCTATACTCTACTACGATTCAAATGGAATCGTCCGTGCTATCGGCGCTGAAGCACGACAGGAGCATATTATCGAAAGGGCTGAGGAAGAAGGATGGATAAAGCTTGAATGGTTTGTTTCGCGAATAGTGGAATTTGTATTTACTTAACCGACCACGCCAAACATTTAGGTGGAAATTGCACCTTCGGGCCAAGAATTTGACCGCCAACCATATCACCGACGATGACATCCCACCACTTCCACGAGGTAAAAATGCCGTCGAGGTTCTTGGCGACTTCATGCAATACCTCTTTCGTTGTGCACGCAGCTATATCGAGGAGACTCATCCAAGCGGATCTAATCTTTGGCGGTCGCTCGAAAATCGCATCGAATTTGTCCTTACACATCCAAATGGCTGGGAGGGCCCGCAGCAGAAACAGATCAGGCTGGCCGCCGTCCTTGGCGGTCTCATTCCCAGCACAGAAGATGGCATGGCACGTGTCCATTTGCTGACCGAAGGAGAAGCGAGTTTGCATTACTGTGTCGCTAATATCCTGGCCTCAGATGCATTGTCGAAGACACCAATACTTGCATCTGAAGATGGCGAAGATGATGACAGCTCACCAGGTCAAGGTGTTGTCGTCATCGATGCAGGAGGAGGGACACTCGATCTTAGCGCCTACTCGATGACTTTATCCCCGACGCTGATCGAGGAGATTGCTGCAGCTGAATGTAAGCGACATGCGATTGTTGGAACCATGTCTTACTCTCCACTCCTTAGGTCGACTCCAGGGTTCTGTATTTGTGACTCGTCGTGCTCACGGTCTTCTTCAAGGTTTGCCAGCATGCTCGTGTTAGCCATGCTACGTCCTTGTTGATTTGACTTGATAGAAAAACTATCCGGCAGTCGTTTCGGCACGCCGGATGTAGTGAAACAAATGACAGACATCTTCGACAGCACCACCAAGCTTAGATTCCGCAACCCGGAAGACCCGTCCTACATCAAGTTCGGTACCGTCCGCGACAAAGATCCTCAGCACGATATTCGCAACGGTCAGCTTAAATTGAGTGGGTAAGTCTTGTAGTGTAGTCTTTCGCAGCCTTTATATCTAACGTGTTGCTACTAAAAAGACAAGACGTAGCAAAACTCTTTGAACCCTCCATCAGCGGCATCATCGAAGCTTTCGAAGCTCAAAGAAAGGCTGCAGGCACTCCGATCACAGTAAGTTGACATTACTGAACTTAATCGGAAAGTGCACTGACCGGCGTGTCACATGAAGTTTGTATTTTTCGTCGGAGGCTTTGCTGCGAGCGACTGGATGTTCGCCAAGTTGCAAGCGTACTTCCAGTCGCTTGGTATCAGCTTCAGTCGACCAGATAACCATTGGTGAGCGCCAACGACTGACAAAATCCTCGTGCTGTGCTCACGGATGCTGCTTAGCAATAAAGCTGTTGCAGACGGTGCTGTGTCATATTTCATTGATCATCTTGTGTCGTCCCGTGTGTCACGTTTCACATACGGCACAGAGTGCAGCGTCCCATTCAACCCATTCGATATGGAGCATCGCGCCAGGCAAAAGGATGTTTTCCGAAGCGCCTCGGGAATTCTTGCCCTGCCTCGCGCATTTTCATCCATCCTGACCAAGGTAGCTTTTTTGACTTGCTTTGGAAGGTCAGTTGCTTAGGCGCAGCAGGGAACACGGGTCTCTGAGCAGCAAGAGTTCAGTGAGACATTCGCTATCCGACGGTATAATCAAGCCGCATGTAACCAAGTCGAAGTTGGCATCATGTCGTACAGGGGCCTCCTCCCCAAACCGGATTGGATGGATATAGAGCGAAGTAGTCACCCACATTGTTGCCAATCACACTGATGTTTACCGGATTAACCAGGTTCATTCTCAACGTTATGCACCGTCCGCGCGGACACATCGAAAATTGCCGAGAAACTCACACCCAAGCGCTCCGTCGAAGGTTCCACGTATTATGCGATGGAGATCAAAGTCGTTCTTCTCTTCGGGTTGACAGAATTGAAGGCTGTGATCAGCTGGGAAGACGGAGTAAGTCATCAGTTTCCTGATAACATTGCTAGCCTAACCTGTGCGTCTTAGGGAGAGGAAATACGGTAATTTCACATCCTGACACCTTCATTTCATAATTCCGATTGCATTCACAGAACTCCAGCAGTAGTAGTTTACGATGATGAGCAGGAAGAAGCCTAGTTGTCCTGTAGAGCCACCTCACTCTCGTGCTATGCGGTGAGTCCGCAGCATCCTGTGGCTTCTCGAGGTTGTAATTGTACGCTCCTATCTATGGGTCTGCTTCCGAATCGCCAAACATGTCATTTGTTTCACCTTTTGCACAATATGATATACCCTCTTCTGAGATTCATAAGGGCTATGGTAGAAGTACTCCAATGTCACATTGTCCTGTGTGCCTGCAGACGGCGCTGATTGATCAAACCTTGAATCATCATACATGCCACAAAACATGTGCTATTTCATTGATGATGGAACGAGGGCCACGCTGCCTCGTGTAGCTCATTGAGGATTGTTTATAACAGATGGCCTGACCTATGTGCCGTATCTTACACAACTAAAACATGCCACCTCGACAAGCATTTACTGGCTCATGTCGCAAGCTTGTCTTCGCGTTTGATGTCGGGACGACATTCAGTGGTGTCTCTTACTGCTTCCTCGACCCTGGGCAAGTTCCTGTCATCCAAGGCGTAAATAGGTGTGATGGCGTTTCTAAAGGGTTGCAGCATTGGTCACTTACTCGGACACAGATTCCCAGCCCAAGAACACGTCGGAGGGGACTGCAAAATACCGTCCATCATATGCTACGACTCAGATGGTATTGTACGCGCTGTAGGAGCCGAAGCAACGCAAGAATACATCGAAGAGGAAATTGACGATAACGGATGGGTGAAGCTGGAATGGTTGGTTTCCCCAATCCACCAGTCCTCACATAGTTTACTAACTTTCATTCGCACAAAGGTGGAAGCTTCATCTTCGTCCTAGAACGATGGCGTCCTCTCATATCACAGACCAAGACATCCCTGCCCTCCCGCGGAACAAGACTGCCGTCCAAGTCCTCGCCGACTTCATGCACTACCTGCACCAGTGCGCCAAGAAGTACATTGAGGAGTCACAGGCAAACGGCGCGGATATGCTGCGCTCTGTCGAGCACACGACCGAGTTTGTGCTCAGCCACCCGAATGGATGGGAGGGACCGCAGCAGACGCAGATCCGCAATGCAGCGGTCATGGCGGGGCTGGTACCTGATACGCCAGAGGGCCGGTCAAGAATCTATCTCGTCACGGAGGGCGAGGCAAGTCTTCACTATTGCCTTGGTAGTGGTCTCGCCGCCGACGGGTTTCGGGTGAGGTTTGAGATGGCTATCTAGGCAAGAAGCTCACCAGAATTTTCAGGACAACGAGGGCGTGATTATTGTCGATGCTGGTGGAGGAACGATCGATGTCAGTGCATATCACATGGCAACAGCGCCATCCTTCGAGGAGATCGCACCTGCAGAGTGTAAGTTTGATCAACGTGACTCTGCATGCGATTATTCTAACAGAATTTGCTAGGCCGCTTGCAAGGATCCATCTTTGTAAGCCGTAGGGCTAAGGCAATGCTCCGAGGTAGTCTTTTACGGTTTTCCTGAAGTCTGCATGTTTGCTTATGTGCTGCAGAGAAACTCCGTGGATCACAGTTCGGAGGCGAAGATATGGTTTCTCATATGGCCAAGATTTTCGACTCAACAACAAAGCAACGTTTCGGCAACGAGAGCGACCCAGCATACATCAAATTTGGTACCATCAAGGACAAGGACACTAGTTTCAACATTAGGTCCGGGCAGTTGAAGTTAATGGGGTCAGGATACCTATTGCCCGTCAATTCAAATGTTCTCATTTCCTTCTAGGTCCGATGTAGCAACGTTATTCGAGCCGTCTGCAGAAGCTATAATCGAAGCTATCGAGGAGCAGCGCCATGCTGCAACTAAAAACATCAGCGTCAGATCTTTTCCTTTGCCTGTTCCACTTAACTGAACAAACCACAGACCGTTTTCCTCGTCGGCGGTTTCGCAGCCAGTGAATGGCTTTTCACGAGACTACAGAACCATCTAAGACCATTGGGGTTCGGCTTTTGTCGGCCTGACAGCCACACGTGTGTATTCCTATTCCAGAAGGAAACTAACCAAGGTGATCAGTGAGTTGGACTATCTATAGGGCTAAGGCGGTCGCGGATGGTGCCGTAGCATTTTTCCTGGACCATCGCGTCTCTGCACGTGTCGCCAAGTTTACGTATGGTACACGCTGTGCGACACAATTTGACAGGAACGATCCTCAACACAAGCTGCGTGCCAGTATGGCCGTCCCACGCCCATCAGGCAGGACGGTCCTGCCTAATGCATTCAGCGCAATTCTGACTAAGGTGACAACTTGTTATCGCATGCCATTTATAGGAAGAATCACTAATACGCACATTTCAGGGCACGGCTGTATCCGAGACTAAAAAGTTTAGCAAGAACTTCATTACGGAGGTAGTAGACCGCTCAGCATGCGATATGATTACCACGGAGATAGTATGTTACAGGGGTGACAGCCTCAATCCACGATGGACAGACTCAGAACCAGGTGCGTGTGGATACTTTCCAAATACCGCGCATCGCTGATCCTCAGGGGCCCAGGCATGTTCTCGACCTTGTGCAATGTGCACGCGGACACCTCGAAAGTGGCACACACCATCAGCCCGCGACGGGGCTATGCTGGGCTGCAGTTCTTTCGCCAGGAGTTTAGTATCATCCTCATGTTTGGCCTGACGGAGCTGCAGGCGCAACTTTCTTGGGAAGAGGATGTAAGTGCCTCTCGTGATCTTGCGCCAAGGTGTGTATTGATGCATGTGCGACATTTAGGGGGTTGAACGAAGGTAAGGAACACACCCTTTTGACCTGTGACATTAACTGCACGGATATTGAATAGGTCACCAGCCACTGTCGTATTCGACCAAGTGGTCGAGGCCGCCTAGTTGGTGCTGCAAGCCATCCGATGAGGGACTCGCCCCATCTTGAGTCGCATGCCAGACATTCGTGTATTCGAGGGGTCATTGTAATAGTAACATTTTATTCGCATCTTGTACGTCTGTTTCAAATGTATTTTGACCTTACGCTCCTGTGGACTCTGTGAGAAATTCTAAGGGATCATCAGTAGTGCATTCCGTGATCGAAAGCTCTCAACTCACCTCGAGTCAACTCAAACGCCGCAAATGTGCTCGCTCCCGCAGGTATGCTGGTGAAGTTGTGAGTATTTCGAGACGTGTAAAAACAAGAACACCCTAACGTTCTTAGCACTGGTGCGATACATGAACCATCATCATGAGTCCCGTGATGTGCACACTAAACAATTGGTTTCACTTACGCGATGGCGACAGACCGCGGAAAAGTCCCGCTCTAGCAGCGTGTGTGTTGGTCAAAATAATGTGAATACCAGTAGGGGGCAGTCTTACATTCCTGATTCGGCAATAACCATCTTGATTTCATTGGTCATATATTTCCAGGGCTTGCCAATTGGTGGTGTCTGGCGTAACTGAATACGAGACTTTATAACGTCTACCGAGAGGTTAATGTAAGATCCTCGTCAACTGTGCTCCGTAACTTGCCTAATGGGTAGCAGGATAGCCAGTACGCAATCTGCAGAACGTCAGGATATTATAAAGTAATCGGGTCGTGTGACATACTCCACCAGTCGAACCACTAGCAAGAAGGGCCCAAACAGGGACTTTGTCCCCATACTTACTCTGAAACTTCCGCTTCGAAAATTCAAACGCTACATGACGTTAGACCAGGAGATGTTCGTGAGCGCCAAAATCGTTACCTGTGTAAAATCTGGATCACCCTCTCAATATCAGAACTCCCTGCCAATATAAATAAGGATGACATACCCTGCATATGCTGGTATCTCTCTCGCAAATGTAACCTGAAACACTAGTTAGTCAAATTTCCTGCAAGAACACGATGTTTGCGAATACCCAGTAGCCTCTCATGACACCGTTCCGAAAGCCCCAGTCTCTCCACATCTCCTTTGCAACATCTCTCAGTTTCTTATCGGTGGCAGCACCATATTGGCCTTGCATGCGAACTTTGAACATCTCGACTGAATGACAGAGTGTTGAAGTGATTGAGTCGCGAAAGCGAATGGTGCAACAAACCTGGACTGGCAAGAATAGCATTTGCAGCTCCAGCCATTGCGCCTGCGATGGCGATCTCCTTCAGGGACAGCTGTGGGAATGGTGAAACGATGCGCTTAGAGTACACGTATGAGGCAAACAGCAAGGAGTTGACTCCGGCGATTCCAAGAAGGGGGCTGGCCATCCCTGAAGCAGAATGAGTTTTCGGAATGACGCAATGCATCATGTCTAATGTCAACCTTTGTACAGCGCGAAGAAACCTTCCTTTCGAACAGTTTGTGCAAGAACATCCATAGGTCCTTTCTAAGCTGGCCGTGAGCCATATAACTCTGAGCCTATGTATTCACGTACAAACATTCCCTCTGCAACTTATGGTTCAGTATTAGATATTTGATCATGGACGGTTAACTGACTCGGAGCAATCTGTGCGCGTGTCTTGACGGTATCAAGTGGCTGGCCCACAAGGACTTGAGCGGCGCCGCCGACGCTGCCAGCGACTAAATCATTTACGGTTGAGAGGTAAGGCATATTTGGATAATCGGTCTGGACTCTAGAGACAATGGAGGACGACAGAAGACTAGTTATTTATGTACATAACTATATTGGAAGGTTGAGAAGACGTGCCAGACTGACGTGATTATAGCGGTGGTTAGGTCTGCAAAGTCACACGCTGATAAGCCTCCTACTACGACGTAGCTTGCAAGCTATGAGTGCATCTGCTGCAAAGATAATTACGAAAAAAGTAAGTCTCTCACTGCAGCCTTTCTTCACGATCTTAATTTCTGCAGCAGACATTTTTGAAGGGAAAAAAGCCAGAGCAAGGTCCACCCCATAAACGGCGCAAGCTCGACCGATCACAGCTGAGCTCTGGATCTCCAGTCCATTCACAAAACACGTCTACTTCCGCGTTTCCAAGAGGAAATTCAACTACGGCCATTGATCCTGAACTCGCTGTCGATTTCACGACCCAAGAAACTAAAAATGGCGAGTCCCTTGCAACACTGCGCAAGATGATTTTTGGACGACTAGAGCATACGTCTACCCAGATAGAGTGGGTCTTTTTTTTTTTACCCAAATAGGGAGCCAATATGGAATCTCATTTTGACGACCAGTCCAGGAAAATACCTCGCAATCGATTGCGAGATGGTGGGCGTGGGCATCGACGGCGAGGAGTCGTCGCTTGCGCGCGTTAGTATTGTTAATTATTGGGGCGCAGTGCAGCTGGATGAGTTCGTGAAGCAGAAGGAACGAGTTGTAGATTATCGGACCAAGTGGAGTGGGATACGCCCCTCAGATATGGTCAAAGGTAGGTAGGGTTTACTTTCTGCGCCCTGTGGTTGAGCTAACATTACCATCTAGCTAAGCAATTCGAGGAGGTGCAGAAAACAGTCGCGGCTTTGACCAAAGATCGCATCATAGTGGGACATGCCGTGCATAATGATCTCAAGGTTAGTTTTAATATCTGTGTCCCCATTCCTGTAGCTCACTCATAGACTGTTCTCAGGTTCTACTACTATCGCACCCGGGTCCATGCATACGAGACACGCAACACTTGGCGGCAAAGCACAATGTAACCAGTAGCAAACGCCCTGCTCTTCGTAACCTCGTAAAACAAGAACTCGATGTTGTTATCCAGGGAGGGGAGCACTCCAGTGTAAGTCTTCTATCGCCCTAGCCCCTGGCTAATTTTTCATCATGACACTCGGGCAGGTCACAGACGCTAGGGCAACGATGGCCGTGTTTCGGCTACACCGAAAAGAGTGGGAAAAGGGATTCAGACCGTTGCCCGCACCTGGGGCTGGTGCATCAAATAAACGGAAACGTGTCGAGAGTAGTGAACCAGCTGCGCCTATCCCACCAGGTAGAGGGAGGAAGGGCGTCAGTTCTGGACTTTCTACAATAGTGAAACGGACACCGCAGACGAAATCGAAAACTGCAGTCAAGACTAGTAATAATAATTGGTGGACCACCTTGGGTGCCAGCGGCATCGCAGGGAAGGGTTCCATGAAACTGTAGCATTATCATAGTTCGTCTTATTATCCACCACACAGGTTTCCCACCAAATATCGGTGGCTCGCTGCTTGAAATTGACGAGCAATTTGTTAGACAATACTGGGTGCAGTACCAGCTGCGCCCTGTATTCGTCTCCCCAAGCTGTGAGTGCCGACAACTGAGTGAATGAGACAAAGATTGCCGAAAGCTGAATGGTTCACTGACTTTCCTTAGTCTCCAAAGTTTGTAATGCCGCCGACGACTTAGACATCAATCCATTTTCTTCGAATGACTCAATTGGTTGAGTATTCATGACGTTCTCTGCAGGACAAATGCCAGTACACTCACTTATCTATTATACCTTATCCTTCGACCAGTAACAAAGTCTTGATCATGTCCATTGCCAAGGTGCTGAGAAGTGTAGTAAGTGTACGGGAAGATTGAAAATCAATTGCAAGCATGTACATATAAACAATATCAGTCACATCATACCTCTCATCCACTTCATGCCTCTCATCGGGTTCATACCCTTCGTCAGCTTTGTAATGCCTCTCATCAGCTGCATAACCCGCACGCCTGAGCCTCCGCCGAACATCCCAAAAGTGTACACGAGAACGGGACACCTTGAACTGGACACCATCCGACCGGATACCCTCCTCTCCAGGACTGATCTCGGTAAACGGCTTTATTATTCAGGGGAAGTAGTCACGGTGACTCCTCAGCAGGGAAGCAGACAACGTCAGCAGCTCCATGTGCAAGTTCATTCCCGTTCTCGTTCCAGTAAACTGAACATCGAAGGGGAGTTCGATATGCGGAAGGGCCGGTAGGAAGGTTCCAACGCTCTTGGGAGAAGCCAATGGAGTACTCGCCATCCACAGAAGCAGAGTGTGGTCTGGAGACAAGCCCTGAGTAATGGCGTCAAATGCAATCTGGCCCGACGTGTCGGTAACGTAAGAGATGGAAGCAAGGAAAACAGATCCCTGAGGAGGAAGTCTACCATCTGACGGTGACGCATGATAGCGTCAGAGTTTGAGGGTTCCAGGGAGGCGAATGTTCGCGGTCAACATTCATGTCTGCGCAGGAGTCCCAGGTTTTCCATCCGGGATTCAACCCCATTATTCACCCCTTACGCCCTGTAATGCCAATAGATTAAAGGTAGTACAAAATGGTACGACATTCCAATATAGACTGCCTACCGATAAGCTGGTCATTGAGTACTCATCACCCTGAGATCAGCAAATACAACAATGTCGATTCCTAAGAATCTTTCCGCTGTATGTCCAATTGAGGAGACTAGCCGGTTCCTGAGCTCCCAAAAGGAATGAGTCTCCTTGCTAGGCCAGTCAACCAAGTAAGATTAAGTGGCGATTAAACGGAAATGAGACAGCACGACCCAAGTGGCACTCAAAGGAGGAGCAGGTTCAACACACAAGTGAAGGTGCATGAACTCCTCGAGGCAGCGCATAAGCCGGTAGAAGCACAGTCTCGTTTAAGCGACCTTGGAAGAGATGATGCGGCCAATTAAGAGAGAAGATATCATGGAGAAGTTTGACTCATGAGCTCGACATCCAGCTGCACGTATTTGTCTGTTGGAGCGGTAAGGTATGGAAGGCAGTTTCTAGATGTAACAGAAGGAGTGAATCAATGACACTGATAGCTGCATCACGATGAACCTCTGCGTTGACCCATCACTTCAGTTTTGCTGCCAGTCATATGTAAGACCGAAGGAAACACCAGGCTTAATGCACACATGAGCGAAGCATTGATCCAGTATGACTTAATAGTCAACTGTAATTATGAATCCAAAGCATATCAAGCAACATGCCGAGTGTGTTGAAGATATGCAAGGTATGGATCACTTAGACTTAGACGTCGTCGAGGTGGAAGACCAAATTGGGAACCCTAGATTTTTTTGATTTCCCATCCTCCTCTCAGGCAGACAGTCCATCAAGTACATATTGACGAGTGCCTAATAGTACCTATCCTACGACAAGACAATGGGACTGGCCGGCAGAAAGGAAAAACAACGCATTCCAAATGACCCACGAAACTTATCCTGGGCAGATGGCAAGTTACTACTTCACTTCCGAACACTATTCTCAGCTTTCCATAGATGCAGCTCGCTTCGGCCAGTCTTACATGTCCAAGCTCGGCTGGGACCCCTTAAAAGGTCTAGGCGCCTCAGGCGATGGCATGAAATCGCATCTTAAGGTCTCCCAAAAGCTTGATATGCTTGGGATTGGCGCCGCTCATCAGAAAGACCCACATGGTATCGCGTGGAAACAGAATAAGGAATTTGAGGCTTTGCTGCAGAGGCTTAATGCGCAGGATGGTCAAGAATCTGCTTCTAAGCATGTGCTAGGAGAATTTGTTCGGCCTGCAGCGGATGTACACCCCGCAGAGGACAAGGAACCAAACCAATCATCGAAGAAAGAGAAGAAGCGAAAGCGAAAGGAAGGGGAACATGCCGTGGACGGAAAAGATAAGAAACGGAAGAAAGGCAAGCACCAGGATGAAGATGTCGAAGATTCAGCTACAACGGATTCATCAAAACCCATTTCTCCGCATATCGATCCTCCTGCCCCTTCTCCAGATACCGCGTCATCCATTCTTCAAACAAGGCCAAAAGGACGCCCTATGGCGTGCGTTTATTTCTGATAACTACAACTTCTAATGCTGACAACCCCTCCCAGCCACCGTGCTCGCATACAAGCTGCTAAACGCCTTGCCAACAAATCGGCAGCCGCCATCTCTGAAATTCTGGGGATCGTACCGGCTCCTTCATCCGCTTCCTCTACAACTCCCTCTGGTTCTCTGACCCCAATCACACCCGCAGACAGCGACCTCACCCTCGAGAAGCTCACAACATCGTCTAAGAGCGTCGCAGACTATTTTAAGGAAAAAGCTTAGCGCAAAGTCTGGTTCCAATACCCCGGTTGTGAATGATGATGACAGTACTTCTCGGGGAGGAATTGGCTCTAGTGCCCCTGCACGAGACGATGTAGATCAACCGCGAATTGGACTCGGTGCAGGTCGCAGTTTTGGAGAAGGTGGCTCTTCGAACGTGTTCGCCCAGTTCTTCAATACATCCTCCTCATCACATGCCACTGTTGTTGAGATGGCATCTTCCGCTATACAGGCTATAATTCAACCTCCCGAACCGACAACGATGCCTTCCACAGGATAATATCAGGGATGAAGAGATGACCGAGAAACAGCGACGCAAAGCGCAGAGAAAAGAAGAAAGAAAAAGCGAGACGCAGAGATAGTTGATGTGCCTGCGGAAGCAGGAGTCGAGATGCCTGACAATGATGCTAAGGCGGAAAAGAAGAAACGGAAAGAGGAACGGAAAGGAAAAGCGAAAGGTGCGGAACCATATAATCTTGCTCCATCAGCTCTTGTAGAAGAATCCAAAGAAGGTTTAGAGTCTGAGAGAAGAGGCGGAAAGATGACAAGAAGAAAAAAGCAAAGTTTGATAATCAAGCAACAGCAGAGGAAAGTAAAAATCGGTCCAAAAAATCTAAAAAGCGCACAGAGCCGGTCAATGGCGATCCATGACCTCTCGATAGTTGCCATTATACCGTCTAGATCTCATATACCATTACAATCGACCAGTATTACATTATCAAATCTGTATGTATACCTGAATGAACGCAGAAAGCAAGGTCCGAAATCCCCTCGCTGCGTGACTCTATAATCACCTCTCAAACACTTTAAATCCACCCTTGAACTCGTCCGGACTCCCGGAAGAGTCGTCGCAATGCAACTTCAAGGCGTTCACAACCTCCGGAATAACATCCTTATCAACGTCCTTTCCCCAAAGGATGTCCAAGTGTTCATATCCATTCAGACGCGTGACAGTCGTATGATCCGGGAGCTCTTTAAGCATCGTCTGTATATCAACAAGGCTATCCCTGTCTCCATACAAAAGCACGATTGGCGTGACGATATTCTTCGTCGGGAACCTCGCAGGTCGGTACGCACGCCCACCAGGAGAGCCAAATGCGCTGACATCGTCGTCATACATCTGGAATGCACCCTCGCGCATGATCTGGAACCAGTGCACAACGGACTTGACAGACGCTAATGAGTAGAGATGGGCATACGCGGCGATTTTTTGGAGATATGGGATGTTCTGACTGTCCCAGTTGAAGAGGAAATGTAAGGAAGTGTCGATGGCGCTTGTGAAGATGGGTGGGTATAGGATGGCTTGCCATGTCGTTGTAGAAGACAGAATGGCTCTGCGTCCAAAGAATAGATACATTAATGTTGGGCTGTGATATGCTAGTGTTAAGAACGGACAATAGTAGTCAGGCAATGTACTCACGAAGCTTTCATGAGGCCATCGACAAGAGGGGCCGCCAATCCTGCGGGGCTCATAGCAGGTGCAAGTGCAATGAAGACGTTCACCTTGTCATTCAACTGTGGATGAATGCTGAGTGCGGCGAATGCCTGTGCGGTACCCTGGCTGAAACCAACATAGCTCAAGCTGCTCGATTTCGTGATATTCAGGATGTACTGAATAGAATCAGGAATATCATGCCAGGCAAAGTCGTCGAGGCTGTAGTTCCAAAACTTGACTGAATTGGGGTCATGATGAACCGACTTCTTGGAGTATTTGTTTCCTCGGTTATTGCCCATCCATACGTCAAAGCCTATGATTAACTCCTCAGTATCACGATGTCTCTAGCAGCATAATTATAATAACAATACGCACCTTGCTCAGCAAGGACAAATGGCAAGCACCTCTCAGCGTTTGTTAAACAGATCCATACTTCACTGTTCATGAGCAACCCATGATGCAAATACACCACTGGTTTTCCCGTGCTCGTCCCAGGGTTTCGCTTCCTCTGCCCCCTCTTCGTCGGGAGCCTATGCAAACCCAATAAATATCCATCCTTTGTCAAAACAACATGTTCCTCATGGGTGTAACCCCAATACTGACATAGCTCTCCGAAATCCTTCGCCTTCCGTATAGCGTCAGCAATATCTTCGGCCTTGGACTTGCCTTTTGCAGGGTTCACAGAGAAACGGTGAAAGAGGGTGCGTGAGTGATTGTGGAACCACTGGATGATGGGAATGGGGAGGAACATGATGATGAAACTGATAGTGGTCTCGAATACTAGGAAGAAGAAACCCCCGACGAGAGCTGCGTATTCGTGCCCCTTGAGGCGTCCGATGAGAGGAACAACCATAAGTGAATGACTGCCCAGTCCGAGCGTGAATCTTGCTCTGTAAGGAAAATACTCAGTGTAGTTGGGCGATAATAATACGTGTCCAATAAACGACAACTCAAGTGGAGAATAATTATGAGTATGAGCATACTAACAAGTTCCGATACAAACACCGAGCTGAGCACAAGTCGACTCGACAAGCTTCTATTCGGTTATCTGAGACAACCAGAGAACAGATAATATTGTAGATCCTTGCTACAACAGTAATAGGTCGAAATATTAAGCATACAACATACGTCTTCCAAAATTAAAAAAATGAATCCATCCGCAGAGACACAACATGCAAGTGAGAGTCAGCACATTAGTCTCACATATCCGTGCACCAAATCTCCAGCTTCCCCTCACCCCTTCCCTTCGCGTTCGCTCGTACAGTTTCGATGGCAAGTTCAAAATCACTGCCGTCTCTCAGCGTCACTTTCACATCATCTTCATCCTTGAATTTGAAACCCAGACCGTTCATAGTAGTGCTAAACTTGCTTGTCACGCGCTCGACGAATTCTTCGAATGTCGCATCGGACGTTAGCGTCATTCCACGCACTTCGCCTCGGTAGTGCAACTGTAACGAACGCGATAAACCACTTGAGATCATCAAGAATACGATAGAACGGACCTTGACACGGATATTCGCCACATCATAGGAGTCGTCGTACTCCTCACTCACATAACCCTCCTCCTCTTCCTCATACGTTGGCTTCGGCCGCCTCTGCGTCACTCGTCTGGTTGGTTTCCGACGCATGCTTCCCCCACCGGCGCGGGAGAAATTGACAGCCATTGGCGCCTCAGAGTTCAAGGACCCCTGGTTGCTGCTGAGCTCATTGCGCGATGGCATCCGCTGAATCATCGAACCAGTGCTCAAGCCTGTAGCCCCTGTACCTGACTGTGCGCTTCCCTGGGGCCACAATGCCACGCGATCCACACCCATATTAGGTAGCGATCCTTGCACGACAGAACGTGAATAATCTTCAGTATAGGAACCAATATAGTCATCGAGGAAATCTAGTTGTCGAGCCGATGCTGAAAAAGTGGTCAATGTAAAATAACCAACGACTTCAAAAACACCTACCCTCTTGGGGGGGAGGAGCAGCGGGGAGCACGAATGACGCCTTTGGTGCAGGAAAATTAGCCTGGAGATTAGATGCTGGTACCTGATATCCATTGTCAGGAAGGGTCTGGGTTTGGTACGGCTGAGGTTGTTGGTACTGATTACGCGCCGGCGGCTGGTTCTGATTTAGCTGCTGTTGGTATTGTTTCGGCACTTGCGACGGATCAGGATAGGTCTGTGGTGCAAATGGAGGTTGGAAGAGAGCCCCAGGTTGATTGATAAGCTGGCTAGGCAGAGGTTCTTTTTTCCTTATAGTCAGTCCCCTCGACGGAGCTACACTTGAAGGGGTTGTGGGACGAATGATAGTGTTGCTGCGGAAAGGTGGGACAGAGTTGTTCCTCGTCAAAGGTGACGTGGGTGACAGGGCAGGTGCACCATCGGCTGGAGGGCGACTTGAAGCGAAGGTGGAAATGTTGATGCGCGCAGGTGCAACAGAGTTGCTCCTCGACAAGCCTGATGTGGGGGGCAGAGCAAGTTCCATATCAGCAATAGAAGGGAAAGCGGGGGTAGTGGGTTTCGGACCCGTATTCGTTGTTTTAGAGCGCTCAATGGTAGGCCGGCCGATAGGTTCAGTACCTGAGGGATAATGAACGTCAAGACATTGAGAGTGGACAAGAATAGAGCGTACGTGGCGGTGGAACGGTTGCACTTCTCTTCAACCCATCGTCCTCCCTTTCTTGATCTCTTTCTCTTGCTTTCTCACGCTCCTCCTTGAGTTTCTTGACGCCAGTGAATTCAGTGAACGCATCAGTGGCGTCCGATGCTGCGACAAGTTTCTGCACAACAGTGACTTAGCGACGGCCAATAAATAAACTAGATGGAGACGTACCGCCTTCCCAAGATAATCTTTACTTTTGGAATTCTTGAGCTTATTCTCTGAGGGGCGGTACAACACGCCAACAGGCTAGAAACGTGCGCCATCAAGTATTGTCACGGGAAAATGAGGAGAATGACCTACAATACTAAAGACCGTATATCCCTCTCCACGATCTCTAATGGCATCGTCAATTACGTCGTGCTCATTGGTCACCTTCAGATTGCGCGCGTCCTCCATCTCAGCTAGCCCCTCGGTCGGGTAGCCAAGATAAATATGAGAAAGACCTTTGTTGAAGAGCACTTCAGGTGAGAACAGTTTGAATTTGAGGCCGATTTGTTCATAGTTACTGCAGGACAATTAGAATAATAATACATGGAAGAGCTTACAAAGAACACTGACATAGCTTGGTTTCCGCGAAGATAAAGTAGCGCATCGTCAAAATTTTGCAGGGCAACATCGTATCGACTCAGTAAAAAGTTAGACACCCCACATTGGAAGTAGCTATTCCCGAGAGGTTTTATCAGCTTAAGATGAAAATGACATAACAGGCAAGAATTAAGAGATAACGTACGCAATAGCGAGGAACGGATCGAGAGCTGTAGCAGCCATGAACTGCTGGACTGCAGCCTCATGCTCACCGATCGTGGCGTAGATTAGGCCCATGTTTGTGAGGATTTTGGAGGAATCCGCAATGCGCTATTGCAACACACAATGTTTCAGATGTGGCAATTATCAATTGAACAAGGAACGCACCGAAAATGAATCCAGGGCCTTTTCGAAATCCTGCTCATCATATGCCTTTAAAGCTGCTGCCCATATGTCCAGCTCTGCTTTCAACGATGTGGCCATAGTTATTCCTAGTGCTTCAAGATGATGTGGAGGTACAGAAAGCGTTCCAGACGCAAGTAAAACTCTTGAAACAGATGCGCAGCAACGGGAGGACAAGGAATGAAAATGAAGAGAAGGAATGTAGTATTAGGTTAGATCTGATAAACGCGTGGGCCGGCCCCGAAAGAAAACAAATAAAAGAAACCGAAAGGAGCCAAGAGCTGACAGCGGTGAACGAAAGAGAAGAAGGACGCAGTCGCAGGATTGTTGTACATTTCCGGTGCGATAAATAGGCCCATTGTAGGCGGTGCTCCAAATTTGGCTAAATATAAGCCGGCGGCAGTGTGTAGTCCTACAAGGCACATCACACTGCATGATGTCCCGACATAGCTGCAGCTGCTCACAGTCGTAGGCACACTACACAGGAATCAGCATAGCACAACGTGCTGAAGGGGGAGCATCCCAAGCGACAACTTGCATACATCGCTTCTACCTCCACAAGACAGTTGTTCTGATTTGGCGCTAAAACTCAGATCCAATCGTTTCCCAGCTGGCTTACATTTTAATCATACCACGGACCCTCATGGCAGGAATGTTAAGATCACGCATGGACAGATGGTTACGGATCCAATATTAGCTTTGCTTTCTCGTGATAGGTCTTCGACTCTCTCGCGCATAAAGCTTCTTCCGTCTTTTCAATACTCGCTCCCCTCTTTCAAAATCACGCACCTTTGTCACTTGTTTCTACCGCTCGGAAACGCAATCTGGACTTGGCAGACGTGAGCAAAATCTAATTTTATTCCGGTGTTCATTCAAGTTGTCCTTAGCTCAAATGCTGCTGCAGCAGATTGCGAATGCAGATTTTCAAGAATACCGTCCATACTCCAACACCAGTAAGCGCCGAGCGGGCCCCGGAGCTTGCAATCCCATCATCACAATCAGTGGATACAAAGCTATCATCAGAACCTCCCCATCCATGCTGGTAAAATGAACTGTCACACGTCATAGATCAATCGCCATATGATCTCTTCGTCCAATCGAGCTACCAAATTCAACAGGCATGCTTTTCTTTACAAGAAGTCGGTCCCCGCCTAATACTGCCCAGAGCACGCGGGAGTAATGATTCCTGAGGAATTGATTACGGCAGTCCGCAGAGTACGCGGCGTAGTGCAAGGTTCGGGCTTCTAATAGTAGGCTCTAGTGCGGGACACATTTTCATCCCACCAAAAATTTATTCGTCCGCCGATGCACGTTCTGCATACTGTGCGTCATTCAAAGTCGGAAAATTATTCTAATTGACATTCGTCATATACTAGGCGGGCATGATTTACAGTAGGGTTCATGATAATCCCTTGTCCGGACTTCAAACTCGCATACGACCACCTCTCCACAGATGTCCCAGGACGTTCTCTCAGGCTAACGCCCAAAGTAGACGTTCAGTGTCCGAATGGCAATCTGAATGAAACGGTCTTTTTTGTCCAGATGCCAGCCTGGGTGGGTTCCATAGGGATCATCATGAGTCCTTTTACAGTACTCATGTCTTTAAAATATTAATAGCTCGACCTCGGCTAATTTACGACACAATCAGTAAACTTCGGTAAACCGTACATTCAGCAGCTGGAGCCCAGCGACTCCCAGCAATAACAGGAGAAACACGACTGATCGCCCCAGGAGCGGGCCGCACCTAAAAAGAGCGAGAGAATTGCTCGAATCAGAATGTAGTGCACGATATACGTGGAAAGGGCAAAGCTATATGCACCTCCGAAACGGATTTCAGCAGATTCTTACAGACGAATGTGATAGCAACCGTTGGCCCGTACATCAGGCGTTGACGCTACCGTCTAAATCCAGCTTGGCTATTCAGCTAGTCCGAGGATCAATGTGTACCACTTACAGGAAGTCACACACTACGGGGAGACCAACATAATACTTTACTGGTGGCGAAACGTCGTGACGCGTAACGGAGGCTGTCGAGATTCCCTTTGAACAAGACGAGCTACTTTCTGCTGCTCTCAGCAGCTCCTCCGATGAACCAACCGACTTGGGCTTCACAGGGGTTCCTGCTAGGTAGTGTGGCAGCCTATTATGTGACAATGCCCATGAGCGAAATCGTGAACAATTTCGTATTCTAGGCATCGCTGACCATACTTCCCCACAGTGCAGGGTGTGTCGTAGATGGCATGCTTGACCGCGACTACGACTTTGATCGAAAGGCACGTCTCTGGTTGGACCGCCCTGAATGGTCTCTTGACATGAAATAGAATGTTCAAATGACTGACCGATCACATCGGGAGCTGTCGCTAGGACAGTGACTTCACATCTTCTGGCTATGCTCGTGGCTATTGGAGCAGTGTATCCGTGACCGTGTGCCTGCGTGTCGCAAGCAAGGCAAGAACTTGAAGTGATGAAGAGCACTATACCATGACAAAGCCCGAAGGACACTAACGCTATGCGGCGCTACTCTACCCCTGGAGTTCTTGACTAGTATTACAGCAATCGTCCACGTAATGTTAAGTTAACACGTGTCTGGCAAACAATGCTGATCGGTGTTATTACGTTCCATACTTTGGTCGGCACATAGTACCCGCTGCTTAGCGCTAGATATACTTTTGTTGTTCCACAGTATGGCTTTTCTACTGGAAAAGTCATCTGGTTCCTGCCGGTATAGGAGTCCTATTCTAAGTAGGGTCAGTTCATAGGGGCGTGCTCGTGACTGTCGCAATGTCATCGAGCTCGTAAGTGCAGACAATGGCAGTGTTCTTGTCAGTCGCTGACAGTGCCTCGTTAGCTACAACCCCATTTACGCATGTCAGGTGACTCGCCTGGAAGGCTTTGCACCGAGGCATGCAACACGTGCTGTTCATAAGATCTCAGGACGAGGATGACGAGAAGGCTGGAGTGAAGTTCATGGCGATCCGTCTAGGTAAAGGGATTCACCCTGCATGGAGTTTTCTGATATGCTGTACACAGTTGTGCGTTTTCCGTGGGCTGGGTACATGAACGGCCAGAGCCTCCCGTTCGGTGTGATAAGGTCGTTGCGTTATTCCGTATCTGACTCACATATGGTCGTTCAAGTTAGATCATAGCTAGCCGCGAATGGCCACTGAATGCGCTAATTCCAGGCAAGCCGCAAATGAGCGGAGATGGCCTGCACTGGATCGGTGGTGGATCACTACTTCGGATTGTGCGTCCCTCGCTTGACAACCTGGCATAATCTGAGTAACCGCGACGAAGTCGGTCATTAAACTTGGGTAATATACTCGTCATAGATAAGCCTTTCCTAGTCACGGTGTTTCATGCGAAGGTAGGCATGCTAGACGAAACAAATCCCTTGAAACTGATTCTGAATCAGCAACGACGTGGAGACTGCCGAGCGGGAAAAAAGTGAAGATAAGAGTGTGTCTACTGCCTAAGTGTTACTCTGTGATCGTCTCCGAGAAAACAAGAAATGAGCTTACTAGAGAAACAAATTCGAGAATAATCGCAAAGAGGAACAGAGAAACGGATTGAACCGTATGAACGAATAGATTTTGCCGGGCGGGGTTTTAAATCGGCAGATTGATCAATATCTAATTTGGATGATCGTCGTGACTTGAGCGGCCTGTTTAAATAGTAAGTACTGCTAGATCGCTGTTCGTTTCATACTTGTCCAAAGCCAAGATGACGCCTACTCCGCTTCCTGCAACGCTCTCCGGTGATATAGACACGCTGATGATCGACAATTTCGATTCGTTCACGTGGAATCTCTACCAATCACTCTCACTTCTCGGCACGAAGGTCACTGTCATCCGTAACAATGCACTCACTGCAGACCAGCTCCCTCTTCTCCATATCAACCGGCTTATAATCAGCCCTGGTCCTGGACACCCGAAGACTGATTCAGGTGTGTCAAGAGACGCGATCAAGTATTTTGCAGGCAAAGTCCCAGTCATGGGTGTATGCATGGGTTTAGAGTGTATCGTCGATGTATACGGTGGTGAGATCGGGTCAGTCCAAAGTCGTCATGTTTCCTGTATACCAAAATAACACCTTACCCTTCAGTTATGCTGGAGAAATAAAGCACGGAAAACTGTCCCCCGTCATCCATGACGGCCGCTCCATTTTCCTCTCCCTTCCCCAGTCAATCCAAAGCACCCGCTACCATTCCCTCTCCGCATCTCTCCTAAGCCTGCCATCTTGTCTTATGGCCACCAGTGCCACCTCTGAATCGGGTGTTATAATGGGCGTCCGTCACCGCACATATGTCGTCGAAGCTGTACAGTACCATCCAGAATCCATATTATCAGAGGAGGGTGAAGGTCTCCTCAAGAATTTCCTGTCCTTAAAAGGAGGCACTTGGGAGGAGAATCCCCACGCTAAAGTGAACGACCCGGAGATGCCGCCTTTCCCATATGAGGCTCTCACAGACAAGTCCAAATCTATCACCGCAGAAGCCGCCAAGTCTTCCGCTCCTTCCATCCTCACGAAGATCGCACAAAAGCGCACCTCCGACGTCGAAGCCTTATCCAACACCCCAGGGCTCACCCTCCCAGCTCTAAACGCACACCTCTCTCTCCACCTTGCACCTCCACCGATATCCCTCTCTCAGCGGTTGCTCCACGCGCGCAATGGCATGGCACTGCTTGCCGAAATCAAGCGTGCATCGCCGAGCGCCGGATCAATTGCTCCACACACATCTGCCCCGCACACGGCACTATCCTATGCCCTCGCCGGTGCAAGTGCAATCAGCGTGCTCACAGAACCAACATACTTCCACGGCCACCTCGAGGACATGCGGGCTGTGCGATTAGCCATAGACGGGCTAGATTCCAGGCCCGCCGTGCTCAGGAAAGACTTTGTCCTCAGCGAGTATCAGGTTGTGGAGGCCCGCCTGGCTGGCGCAGATAGTGTCCTTCTCATCGTGGCTATGCTGGGCAAAGATAGGACACAGGCACTGCTCGAATATAGCACGACTCTCGGCATGGAACCTTTGGTGGAAGTAAACTCCCCGTCCGAACTTCACATTGCGCTCGACGTTGGGGCCAAGGTCATTGGGGTGAACAACCGCAATTTACACTCGTTCACCGTTGACATGAGCACGACCTCGGGCGTCGCAGAAGTTCTGGAACAGAAAGGTAAAACTGGAGAGGTCATCTTGTGCGCGTTGAGTGGCATCAAGAGTCCCGTTGACGTGCGGGCGTATAGGGAGCAGGGAGTGAAGGCTGTCCTAGTCGGCGAATCGCTGATGCGCGCAGAAGATAAGGGCAGGTTTATAAGACAATTATTGGACTGGGATGAGCCTGTTCAAAAATCTCCTTCATCCGGAATCTCAGAATCAATCCCTCCTACTGCACTCGTAAAAATCTGCGGCATTCTCACCCCATCCGAAGCCATCAGCACAGCAAACGCCGGCGCAGACTTCCTTGGCCTCGTCTTCGTCCCCAGCTCAAAGCGCCGTGTGAGCGTGCACATTGCGCGAGAGATCTCTTTGGCTGTGCGCAACACTTTCCCACTTCCTGATTCCGATGACGATGAGGGTGAAGACGAATATTCAAATCTACCCCTTCCGTGGTTCACATCACACACCCGCGCCTCCTACATTCCGTCACACATGCGAAAGACGCGTCCCCTCCTGGTCGGTGTCTTCCAGAATCAGCCCCTGCGGTACATTCAGCGGGTCGTGCGTGACGTAGGCCTCGACATAGTGCAGCTGCACGGCTCAGAACCCATCGAGTGGGCCAGGAGCATCGGGGTTCCAGTCATACGGGTGGGTGGGGTGCCTCCTTCCGCGCCGGAGTCTATTCCTGAGGAGAAGCCTGAGAGTGCAAGTGAGGGGAACGAGGCTGAGGAAACTAACACCACCCCTCTTCCATCTCCGGACCCCCTCGCGACCCTCATGACGCCCGGATACCATCATTTTATGCTGCTCGATACCACTGCCTCTGCTCAGTCCTCGTCTCTCAGCGGTGGTACGGGCAAGACTCTCGACTGGGCGCTCGCAGCGCGTCTTGTCAAGAAAGGGGAGGTGCCTGTCATTTCTCCGGACGTGAGCGTCAACGCATCCCCGAACGGCGCCGTGAACGGGACTTGGGAACAAAACGTCGATGAAGAACCCACAAGCACATTCCCTCTCCCTCTCATCCTTGCTGGTGGGCTCAAACCCTCGAACGTGCGCGAAGCAATTGAGCATGTGCGGCCGTGGGTAGTGGATGTGAGCGGGGGGGTCGAGCGTGATGGGGTTAATGCTGAGCTTGAGCGGGTGGGAGGGAGGAAGGACGAGGAGAAGGTGCGTGCGTTTGTGAGGGCTGCAAAAGGGATGGATTAGGGTTTTTTGATGGGAAACGGGGAGTAATTATGTATCGTGTTTGGAGTTTCGACGCACATACCCAGATGTTGGCTGAGATGTGACATGGATCTTGGTGTAGTTTAGTGTTTAGACTCATGTACGAGGACGTATTGATTCATAGGGTGAAGCGAAATACTAACCTAGACTTGTACAACGATAAGTCAATTCAGGTTGAAATTAATCGAAGACTCCTTGCTCCGAGTCTAGTCGCCTACACGATGCAAATTGAAATAAGCTAGTCGCGTAAAACCATACACAACAAAACCCACTACCAAACAATCTTTTACTGCAGTAGCCAATCTCGCTCTCGACTTTAAACCGCAATTGAACCACATTCTCCACGTCTAGTGCTGGCCCCGGAGCTACATACTGCATGGCACGAATCCGAGTACTATGTGAGATAGTGAAGAGGCAGTTTGAGACCTACCGTGACCGTTTTCTTTAAAGTATCTCAGAACTGGTGTGAGTCCTCTGGTTATCCCGAGTATCATTAAATTTGTTATTTACACTCGCCTTATTCGCTCGACTACACAGTGTTTACACGTCGTTCACGATGTGTTTCATCTGTATACCACGCTAGACATTAATTTAGCGTGGCAGTCCCATTCCACGATGCCCAGATTTCGCTCTTGCACGGCAATGGGAAGGTCCTCGTTACACTGGCCGCGACACTCTGAAGGAATCGTTTGTCAAAGTACCTCAGCCTTCGCAGGATAGCATAGTTTGGGGCGAAAGTAAGATGAAGCTGGACAAGGTGCCTTTACTGGCCTCATTCCGAGGCAAAGGAGCGGGATGCGTATGTATGTTGTTGCATGTCACTGGTGTCTATAGCTAATTTCATCGAAAAGATACGTGCCGGAGCTTGTCTATATCTTCATTCGAACGTTTTGATCATTGACTGTAGGTTGAGTTCTTTCAGATTGGCCTGTATCTTTTTGATTGGTGACCGGTGCTAGATAGGTTCTGCGAATTTGAATGACAGAAGTCAAAAGATAGCTCGGCTACTGCTGAATAGTCGTGTGTAATCTTACAACCCTCGCCTTCTAGGGGTGATGGCAACAGGTATCTATACATGCCTGCACGCTTTGCAACTACTCCTCGTCTCAGGCTCTTCTGAGGTGCGAATAGCGCGAGAACTACTCGAGTGTTAGCTAACTTATGTACACAAAGCATGTCGGTCTTATCAAGCCTCAGCAGGAAGGGGGTCACCTTGTTCGTGCAATGCATACTCCCAATATTAATGGAGGAGAGTCTCGATGGTTCAACTTGCCACAAAACTCGACTTAATGTGGCGGTGCTCACCAAGAAATGCACAAAGGCATTCCAGACCTCGAAGCCAAAGTTCTTTCGCATTGGTACCGCCTTGGAGTGTCTCCGGTGCGAAAATCGGAAAAGATGACCGCCCTAGCTTCACACTATGTTTGTCCTCATTCCATCAAATCCTTAGAAATTTTGTCAGCTTGCCTCATTGACGTGACTTCCATGCAATGTGCCTGTCAAGAATGTGTGTGCGTGACAGCGCAGGCCACTACATGTGTAGCATTACGGACTAGTGGTTGGCGGCGCTCGCGCACCGTCCGACTGTCCCTATCGTAGAGCCTATCAAAACTCGTTCAGAAGGTTTGTTTTACGATCATGATCTTCTGTTTAGTTCACGGAATGCTTCTAGAGTCCAGACGGGCCAGACCACATACGACGTGGTCCTTCTCGCCCCGCACTGGCGGAACCTGGCTTCCCACCCCCTTAGCGAATCATTTCGACCCTGACTCCTATGTCTCACCTTATCTTGTCGAAAACTTCATTGTGATGACTAGTCAGATTCATTCTCATCTTCACCTTCGACACTCGCATGCTAAGGCACCCGACTTGTAGGATCCCCAGCGTGTATGCATCCAGGTGTGTACGGAAGGGTAAGTGCGCGAGATTTAAGTGCGCCTGAAAGCCCCACGACTCTGTATGATCGTTTCCGTACAAAGCGAATCGATTTTCGTCACCCATACGGGATGTCAGTTTCGTGATGCGGAGAAACAGAGCTAGCCGCAGTGAATATATCGTTTTTATGTTGGTGCTGAGGTACTTAATTGCACAATTACATCTGGAAATTCTAGAATTTACAAGGTGATATATCATACATCCATGGCAAGGCATAGGTATTCGGAATCATCGGGAAGTGATCGTAACAGAACTGAGAATATGAAAGTAATGGGGAGGGGTAACTCTGCGATGAAACTAATGAAAGAAAGGTAGAAGCTCGGAAGAGTATGGCATGAGCTTGATAGGAAGCAAAGGAGATTAATATACTACGGACTCCTAATCCACCAACGCAGCGCACAAAACGAATACAAAGACACGCATTACTGTAAAACACTTCGACACTTTCTCTCCTCCTTTTCGAGTGGACCATGATGATACAACATCAAGCACAGAACCAACTCGGCAACGACTTGAGCTTCTTCGATCGAAGTTACAGATCGCGGAGATTAAGCAGCACCCATAATCCGCTGCACTTCCTCGAGACTCGAGTTCATCGAGTCCACGAAGCAGTTGATAAGGGGCTGGAAGTCGCCTTCCCAGGCCTATAGGAGGTCAGCATTGACTAGTGTGGGTACAGGTAGGAGGGAAGTAGTGTATCGTGGGATGACAAAACAAAATCGAAAATCCACAAAACAGAACGGAACAGCACGAGAGAAACACCATAATAAAGTAGATTGACAATATGGCTCAATAGAAATGGAATGAACACCAATCCGTAGAAAACGCTCACAATGTTCAATGCATCATAATATACACTCCTCAGTGACGGAGTGATGCAGAGCGGCGGGAATCCATGTCGCATAAGCGGGATAGACGAGATGAGGAGTGACATGCGACCATTTCCATCCTTTGTCCACATCAGATCACAAGGAATAAGGAAGAGAGAAGAAAAACACACATCGAATGGGTGACATCTAACGAAAGTGACATGAAGCCAAGCAGCCGTCGCAAACGGGTTCCTCCAGCGTGCAATGTATTGCTGTATCTTACCATCAGTACCCTAGTCGATGCAAAGCGCCACACGCGAATAAACGCCCACCCACCTTCCCCATCCGACATATATACTCCAGCTGCTGGTCCACGCGCTCCGCAGGGCAAAATGCGAGGTTATACTGCTGACTACGTCTCACCACTGATTTCTGCGTCGTTTGGCGGGTGAACCCTGCATTGATATAATGCACGCCTCTGACCATTGGGTCATTGATCTTCACTTTTGATGTGCGCATTAGCTTGGCATGTACTGCTTGTATCAGTCCAGGGGTCAGGAGCTCTGGCCGCTCGTGGCATGGAATGGTGGCAGAAAAAGCCTGGGGTTAAACGGGTTGAGTGAGGATGAGGAGGAAAAATTGGAGATGGCTTACGTCTTCGAGGTCAATTAACGCTTGAACGATGGCCTCAGAGTCTTTAAGATCGCTTCTAGCATCGCATCGCACTAAGTGGGGGGTAAATCCCCAATGAGTGAGTGCATCTGCAGACTAAGTTGACAAAAGCATTAATACTAGAACTATTATTACAACCGTAACGCCACTTCTGCGATTGGTTGTCCACGATTGAATAACTTACCTCCCCAGCCAAGTGGAAGGTGCCCTCAAGGTGATGTGCCTTGATCCAGATGTAGTTGAGGTACTGGCGCTGATATGGACTCGTGCGCCACGCCGCTAGGATATCGGCTGACGCTGGTGGGAGCATGGGCCAATTGAAGGGATTGGCATGCTCGCGCGCGGGCTTCCAGCGTTGGAAGAAAGTTAGAGAACCGGTGCTGCGAGCTATGAAGCGGTAAGTATCGGGATATTGTGACGCGCGTATGCAGGATCACACCTTGCTGCTCTGTATCACCTTGCGCTAACATCCGCACTGTCGACACAAACTGGGCAAATGCCGCGCCATTCTGGCTAGTGATACCATGTAGAACCTGCATTGAAAGAGAAGAACCAAATGGCAAGAACCAAAAAACGATATGATCGGGGGGAATGAGAAAAGGGGAAGGCGCCAATGGAAATCAAATCAATAAAATAATTTTAGCCCTAGCCCACAGATACCACCGAACTACGCGCCTCGTCGTAGAGTGGGAGAGCAGTGCTGAGGGACCCGCCAGCCGCGCGTACGTCGGCAACCCGCACTTGGAAGAACGGAACAGGAAACTTAGGAAGGTAGTAATCTTCCCAGATGAGGGCTAGCGCGCGGAGATGGCGTTCGATGTCGTCCGGGGTGGTTGCAGACTGAATGCTGCGGAGGAGCTCTGTGAGAGCGAGTACATCTTCGTCGGGCACACAACCAGGTAAGTCCTTGAGTTAGACAATAATAAGTCAGAATGAATCAGATAACAAGGGCGGATGGATATGGAGATTGGTTTCAGTAGGAGGACAAGGGTCATGTGCACGATGATTCAGGTGAATAGAAATAGACGAGAACAATTAAGCGAGAGTCATCGATGGCAGCGATGGTGATTAGACTCACGACGAGCTCTAGAATACTGCTGTAATCCCAGCCCGGAATATGCATCGGTGCCAGCTGAGGCGCATGGAATTTGACACGGAAGTCAGACTCGGGGTCTACGTCCATCCTGAGACGCATCAGTACCCATCACCAATGCAGAGGCGAAATGTGCTCACATAGTGTGTGTACTGAGAGCGGCCACACTTGCACCAAATAAACTGGAAGTGAGGGACAAATCATATTCCGAATACCGGCAGTCAATCAATTAATATTACCTCGAGTCGAGCAATAACTTGTTTTGGAGGATGGTCCGTGACTGGGCGATAACTTTGTGTGAAACTCTGGATCAGTGCTTGATAAGGGAGGTCATGAGGTTCCAGGGTCTTGTTTGCGAAGACTAGGCTGCTCTAGCCCAGGCCCGGTCAAGGATTCAGATTATGGAATCAGTAGAACAGGCGAAGAACAACTGCTATGGTTAGAGCCAGTTACGAAGATTCAGTGCTGCGGCCTCGTGGCATAGTATGTACATTACCAGTGCCTCATCTTTTGACGTATCTAACCGCACTGATCAGATCGCTCTTTCATCATCCTCTATAATAGCAACGCGTAGAAACCGCGCAGAAATCATAAAAAGAGGGTATCTGTAATTCTACATGGCTGAAATCATCAACCTGTGATCGATCAGCACATGCTGGACATGAGGATCAGTCATCTTCGAATCAGACTTTGCTTCGCTTCATCCTAGACAACGTTATGAAAGAGGGAGGGAAACGAGATGCTGGCAGTTGGACCATAAAGTACAATACTATTTGTAAGCAAGGTGACTTCTGCCTTTTCCAGCTGCAGGCATCAGCTCATTCGCTGGCTCAACGCTGGCAGACCTTCATCAAATGCTGGACAATAGGCTATATATGATATTGCAAGTGATCTCACCAATGTATAAGGTTGTGTCATGTACACGTAGCAAATGCGGTTACCGCCGTGACCACCCCCTTTCAATTCTAGTGATCCGTAACTGAGGGAAAAGGTGAGCAATGGAAGTGCGCTATAATTACGTTTGGTGTACCCTGTTATTGCTTCATTTGATGTATAGCACACTTGCCCTGTAATGCAGAGTTAAGTGAAGCCATTCTCCAGATAGAACAACTCTGACCTCACTTTTATGGAAAGAACTGAAGGTCCAGTGACATAATTAGTCTGGCTCACATGATTTGCAATGCTACAGTGCATCTGAAGTATGGAAGGAGGAGTATGAAAGCATGCTATTCCATCAGGACATCACCTGGATGCACTCTGCATGCAACTTCACTGTTGATGTTTCATCTGTGACAGGGTACTTTTTCAGGCTATACTGTCATTATAATGCATTAATGTAGGCTAGTTACAAGGCTGTTGTATTGCATTACCTGCCTTTGAACTCTGCTTGCAATGCATTAAGTTACACTCACTGCTGGAATATGTCTGCAACTTTACTTTATATAGCTATGCACCTTTGATATCCTTACCTTTTGTGCCTGTCTTTTGTTTTCTCCACCACCCATCATACTTACTTTTACATTCAGCTCTTTTTCGGCTCACAACATTCGCACTTGTCTGCAGCAGTAATATCACAACTTGTTCCTGTACCACACCATCTACCTTCCACCATGTCTCCCATGCTTCAAGTTTTTCAGCACTCCCTGCTTCCACCTGTGGCCATTCAAACAACATCACCTGAGCCAGGGGAAATGGATGCTGTGTGCATCCATCTTTCAGTGGTTATCTTATCCTTTAACTGCTCATCATTTAGCTTCCTGTTATTTGACAACTGAATAAGCATGCCTGTGTTTGCCTTTCCCAAGAATCCATGAACCTTTTGCCCATCCCAGGCAGGGCCTCCTTATTTGTGGTTGCAAACTCTTGAGGATGATTTGCAGCAGTGGGCCGAGATTCCAACTCTGGGACAGGTATGTATCAATATCACATGCCTCATAAACATTGCTGAATTGCATCTTTGCAGTCCTTGTACTGTTGCCACTCAGCAATCTTTGCTCTGCATTTGCTACCAACAGTGGTCATTGATGCTATTTTACTGGCACTCTGTGAACTATTGTGGACTACATAGCATTGCAACTGGGATGACTAGTGCTCCCTTTCATACTTATACTTGTAAAAAGGCTGCCTGTATTCATGTAGAGGTCATCAAATCCAGTGCATTGCTTCCTTGAAGCCAACAAAAGTAAAATGTCCCCAACCATCTCATCATCTCAAGTCCTTTTTCAAAACATCATGCTAACAAAAATGTACTCAATTCAAAACACATCCCTGTCAGATTCACATGCCAGCCTTACATGTCGAGCAAGTGAAAACAACTGTCTTATCATTTCAAGTCTTTCTTTGAAACATTGTGCCAACAAAATCTAATCTACTTGATTTGAAACACATTCCCTGTCAGACTCATGTGCCAGCCTTACATATCAAGTGCCACCAAGTGAAAACAAATATCTATTCAAGTGTGTTTCTGTTTCCTGTTGTAAAAGTCCAGTGAGTAATGAGGGAAATATATAGAAATAACAGTCTTACTTCCTGGACTGCTGGCCTGTGCCAGTGGCACCAGCCTTCCATTGCTTGTTGTTTTCTTTATCAATAGAGATAGTAGGTGGGTTCACACATGCACTTGATGAACTGATGGCATTAAGAACATGCTCGCATGTGGATGGAACATGGCAGTGTGTTGTTTGACATGGACCTTCCTCTTCTACACCAGTAAGACAGTCAATTGTGTTAGAATCTGTCATGTTGACACTGGAGGTGCTTGTGAGGGGTGTAGCAGGTGGCAAACAACCAGCATGAGAGAGTGGTATGTTACCAGGCATGGCCATATCACCTGAGAACGCAGGTAAGAGATGGTCTGTTGGTTCATGAGTAATGGATGGGGAATATTGATAATTGAATGAATCAGAGGAGTTGTCCATGAAGCTGAAGTTGAGATCCTCAAGACCATATATTGGACCAATGGCTGTGAATGGATCATAAGGCGCCTGCAGTAGGCTTGTGAGTAAATCATCAAGATGAGTAATATCCAAGTTAGAGATGTCGAACTGGTTGAAAGTGTGGGGGATAATATTATTGTCAGGCATGATTGATGCTACAGTAGTGGTCTGAGCAGCTGCCACACATACTGGTGATAAGCTGACCATAGACCTTTGGTTATCCTATGCAAGTTTGAAGATAATGCATTAGCAGTGAGAATTCAAGAAATGATTAATGCATTACTTACCATGACTCAGTCAAACTTAAAAAGGCTGTCCAGCCCCAGTCCAATATCGTCCATAACCCCAAGCTCTTCATTCTCCTTAACATTTCCCTCTTCCTCAGCAGAATTTTCCTCCTCCTCATCCTTGCTACCCTCCTCAAAAATATTATCTGGGTTGTTGGCCACTTCATCTGCAGTGGTACCTGCATCCAGTGTTGGAGCTACTAACATTTTGTCATCATGAGCTAATGGAACAAGGTAAGCAACTCATCACTATTGACATGTAATAATTGATAGATGCTTACCCAGTGCCAATTTGATGAAATTGGCATAGGCTGCCTGGACTTTGCTGAACCCAGCATATTCAGCCAAAAACTCATCTCCCATCTCCGTCTCTCCAAGGTGATAGCTGTGTTATCAGTAAGTGAATAGTTTTCAGCATGTGCAAATACATACTCAAGAATTACTATGTCACCTGTGGCTGGGTTCTGTCCTCCAGCAATACAACTGAACTTAAGTCCACCTGTCTTGTAGGACAGGTGGCAGAAGATACAATCAAGATGTGCCCTGAGTTCATTGAAGGCTCTGCATTTGTAGGTGAGAACAAGTTTCCAATATGAATCAGGACATACCTGATCTTTTCCTCTTGTCCAAGATCCTGAACAACACTGGCTCTTGCTAGCTCACATTTTTCTTTCCAGTTTGTAAGAGCTTCCTGGTGCTTTTCTTGGACCTCAGCTCTGATGCTATCATCTTCAGTGGCATACTTGGTCTGAGTAAGGTCTTTCCATCTTGCAAGCTTTTTGCCATGTGTAGAAATACCCTCAGCCTTGATCGCCACATCTGCTTCCCCCTTCATGTGTTCATTGTAGAAAATCTGTGAGTATACTTCTACTTCTTGTGGAGCTTGCCCTATCACCTCATCACCTCTGCTCAGAGTTTTGCTGAGGTCAAGTGCTCCTTTTAATCCACCTGATCAGGCCAAACATGCAACATTCATCTGCCATCTATACCATGTTTGGATCATCTGAAAGACCATGCAGGTTAGTATTGTGCAGTGGATTTTATGTGTTGAATACTTACTAGCTTATGCTTAGCCTTGACTCTGGTTAGTTCTTCTGTCTCATTCTTTGTGAGGTCTCCCTCTACAGGGATATTGTTCTTAGAACACTTGTGCTTTGGCCATCATGTCTCGAATGCATTCCATGTGTCAGTAAAGAATGGTTTGTACACTTTTGTCTTTTGACACTTGATGTACTGACTGAATCTACCTAACAGGAATTCAGATTGTTCTGTGTTAGCCCAAGGCTTAGGCCCACAATGACAACCCATCAATGAGTAGATGAGGGGGATGTATAGCAGATGATAGACCATAGTTACTAGGAAGGTGAAAATAAATTATTCATCTTAAAAGGCCAGTTCTTGGTCAAACTACTCTGTTCCCTGTTCAGTGGCCAAGCCAGAGTTACATTTTTTTTCCAGTCCACCTGAATGATTGTGTGAGTTTTGCAACATGTTGTCTAGGGGAGTTCAATGGCATCAATATATGAATTCAATAATAGCCCTGGTTAGGCTCACTGGGGCAATTTCTTTTACTATTACATACAAGTGCTCCATTCACCTTCAGATGGTTTCTTCCATAAATTGTGCTACATTAAGAGTCTCATGTCTGTATACTATGTTTGCTGTGGTATTTGCCTCCAGTGACCACAAGAGCATTAATGAAATAGATACCATCTTCAGATGGTGTGTTTTTATTGCCAAAAATGAAGACAGACAGGAGGATCTCTAATGCCATCTTCTGGATCAAGAGACATGGGCACCAGTCCATCCATCCTCTAAAACATTTTTCTTGGTTCTGAAGCATAAGGATTAGCATTTTGAATACCCACAACACCATGAAAAGGTTATATAGAGACCATGGTGGTAAAAGAACAGGAGTATAGTTAGGAGAGAAATGTGTGATCACACATGGCATTCAGGAGACAGGCATTGCAAAAGGTAGCGTGTGATTATAAAAGGAGCAGTAGAGACACAGAGATAAGCAAACAATGCATGCAAATAAGAGACTGCCGAGCACGAGTCAGGTGGAGCACATGCAGGGGAGTCACATGAATTGATTCCATGAGATCACCTTATAAGTTAGAAATGACCTAGGCCAGCACATTTGAGGGTGCATTTTGACCAGGGTTGAATGCCAAACCTACACAAATGAATAAGATGTGCTTCATTTCAGTTCAGGTGCAAGAGCCTGTAAAACTAGGCACTTACAATGTGTCACAAGCCTAATGATAGTAAGGGTGTCATCCAGATGCATATCAAGTACAGCAGGCTCCAAGACTAGGACAGTACCATCATCATGTCCTTCATCTTAGGAGGCAGGCAAAACAGTGCATAGAGGACTCTGTGATCCCTGTGCTGTGTGTCAGTGAGAAAGAGGTGGGACCTATAGGAACACACCAAGAATGATATCCATCACTGTGTCCTTTATCCTAGGAGGCAGGTGAAACAGTGTATGGAGGACTCTGCAATCCCTGTGCTGTGTGTCAGTGGGAAAGAGGTGGGACCCATGGGAACACACCAAGGATGATAATCATCACCATGTCCTTCATCTTAAGTAGTATGACTGAGTTTGAATATCTTCTTTGCTGCAGGGTGTGCAGCATTGATTTGATGGAGAATCTGGTTACCATCATTTTGTTAGCCTATACATGTTAAGAACCATGTTGCTCAAGGGGGAGAGAGACTGACTCAGAGGGGCTTGGCCTCAGCTCGTATGCTGTGCCCCTTACCTGAGTATGTGCCCTTCATTTCATATGAGGTCTGATGATGGTCCGATGAAGTCCGGAGGACTTCCAGAGGAGTGCGGGAGAGTTCCGGAGGAACACAGGAAGTGCTCAGGAGAGTTCCCACTGCAAGGTAATACTTCTACAGGAAACAGGATGGAAGGATAGGAGATCTGAAGGTCCGGAGGACTGGAGGACAGGATGATGGAGGACAGAAGGACAGGATGTCTGAAGGACAGGAGGATAGGATGTCTGAGGGTTAGGAGGATGGAACATCCGAAGGACAGGATGCCTGGAGGTATGAGGGACAGGAGGTCCGGAGGTCTGGAAGGAATAGGGGCTACATCGGATGAAGTCCGATGTAGAAACAAGCAGGGGTAGACTACCCTAAGGTAGAGTTGGAGAGACAGGAAGTGGACCAAAGTCCAGAAAGAGGGTAAGTGCTGGAAAGGCGGAGCTCTGGCCTAGGGAATCAATCCCTAGGCCTGATGGGTAGGACAGACTTAGGTGGACCAAAGTCTGAGAGAGGATTGGGCAAGTCTAAGTTGATATTCAAACTAAGGAACTACAGGAGTATCTACAGGGGTTATATACTGAACGATATCTGAGGGGATCAGTAAGCAAAGGAGCAAGGCTATGTATGAGCATGTGGAAACACATTAGTAAGTAAGACAGAACATAAGTAAATGAACTCGGAGATGAAGACTTGTACAAGGATCAATAAGCAAGATGGAAGAAGAGGTAACTGAAAGCCAGAAAGCAGAGAATGCCTAAATGGGGATAGGCGCAGGATATCAGACAGAGGGTGGGAATAGGTCCGGAGCTAATATCTGGAGGTCCAGAGATCTGGGGATCTGGAAGACAAGGTGGATACAGGACCGGGATATGAGAAAGTGGATAGAGTCCGGAATCTGAGACAAGGTGAAGTCCAGATGTCTTGCTGGATGGAGTGTGCATAGGGTGGATGGGACAGGGAGGTATGGATCAGGCTAGCAGTGGAGATCCGATGGTCCAGAGCTCAGGGGTAAATCCAGAGCGTAGTCAATCCTGCTAAGGTGTGGAGCACAGTGGAAGGGGATCTGGGAATGAGCTGGATATGAAGTGGGGTCCAGATGTAGGCTCGGAAGGCGTGGGAATATGATGGAATATGGGTCCAGATTGTGGGATATGACAATACAGCTATATATCACTCAGACATATTGACAGCAGGAGATGACAGTAGTAGAGGCACACTGTATGCCACCCATTGGATTTGTAATGCATCTCAAGCCTGGCTTGAGGTCATTGAAGACATGTTCAAATAATATTGGTGATAGCTATAGCACATTTGAATGAGATCGTTCAAGTTCATTAATTACATAACATCAACAGTTCATTACCTGTACCTATACTTAGTACTTACTGTTCTCACTGTTTGCAATGGCACTCGGGAATCTTTTGGATGCTCTACTATGTCAGTGTATCCTAGTAAGTCCATCACATTCATAGTGAATTCATACTACTAATACTTATTGAGGGCATTGTACCCGCCTTGCAGAATGACCAAGTCATGGGCTAGCATTGTCTTGTGTCACTCTTCCTGCACTATCCAATTTTGTGTTCTGGGACAATCACCACTGTCTCAACTACATACAGTAAGCAACCGAACTGTTGCAATGTTTGTATGAGATTGACTACTCTGGCTATATCATTACAGGGATGGCAGCTATGAAAATGTGGATGAGAGCAATATTATAGCCCTACATCCAGGCTACAATAGTTGTACTACATTGAAGATGTGAAAACATTTCCTTAAAAGGATATAAGCAATTTACTACATGGTATGCATTGCAATGGTTTTGTTGCTGATATTTGTAAATATTGAAATCTTATCAATAGACATCAGTTATGTTATTTAGTATGTCTTATAATGTTATGTGACATGTAAAAGGGTCAATATGATATAAACAAAGCCAAATGTTGAACTTTCTCAACATTCATCATCATGAAAGCCCTCTCTACTGACCAAACCAACCAAATCCTTTTTTATCTTGATTTTAACCAATCTACAAGGGAGAACTCACATGTGACTAGTGTACACCATAGTATCATTATCAGAACTCACTCTGAACTTCATTCTGACCTTCAAAAGTCCTCTGGTGAAGCCCCCAAATGTGGGTGGTTGAATATTAACCTCATTACCTCTAGCACCAAGGAGATGGGTCCAGGGTCTCAATGGGATACTTTGGATGATCACTTTGGTGATTGGAACTGGAAGAAGATAGTTGGACTTGGTGTGTGACAAGTGAATGACTTCATACTTTCATTGCCTCACTTTTTCACAGGCATAACATTACTCTGAAAGATGGACAAGGCTCAGGAGGAGAAAGAAGCTCATGTAATGGCTTTTGAGGAGCTTGATGGCACTTTGCAACCTGGGGCATCAGATCCCTGGAAATTGGAGATTGAGTATTGGGAACACAATCCCAATGACTCTTTTGTTACTAACCCATTCAAGCTGAAGGTCACTCATAAGTGTGCCGGACATTTACATTCCTTATTCAATTACTGAGATATAGACAAACAGCTATTAGCCAAGCTGCTGTTCAACTGAAACTTGCAGAAATGGAAGCTCATGATCTACAGTTAGGTGTCAACATATCTCTCCACCCTGACATCTCACCCAGCATGTTTATTGCATCTGGCATTGATCTTGAAAGTGAACAGTATGTAGTTTATTTACTATGATCTGGGTACCTCACTTATTTGTTTGAAGGTGTCATTTGCAGGCAGATATGGCTCACCTTGGTTTGCACCCCACAGACACACAGAAGGCTACCACACAGCATCAGCAGAACTCTCTACAGTGCAAGATTAATGCGTGGAGGCACATTCAGGCCCTCTATACCCCCGCAGTCCAACTGCTACACTCATATTCATCCCAATCTTCCCTGGACCCCATTACACCAGAAGACATAAAACTCTACTTGCCATTGACTATGTGTGTCAGATCTATGCATTGTGATACTCATCTTCAGACCACTGAATGGGAACTCCATTTTTCTCAGGCTGGGGATGCACTGGAGGAGCTAAGGCAGAGCCTCCACCTATGTGACTATATGTACACATTTAAAAGAGATTGGATATGTGGTCAGAGCACAAATACTTGGGCTCAAAATGCTTTCACTCACATAGTTTCAAAGGTATCAGCTGCTGCTGATAAGTATTGTGCTGCTCATGGAGCACTTTTGGCCCTCACTCCCTTGCTCCAAATGATCAGCTGGAACTTCAAGTACAAGGAACTCAACAAGAAGGATGATATGCATAGGATGTCAGCACTCACAAAAGGTGTAAGTGAAGGGAGATGACAATTATCATGGATTTGGTTAGTAGAAGGAGTCAGAGACGATCAGGATGAGATGATACAAGATAGTAAGTTTGCACTTGAGCCTCAAACAAACCATGGGTACTGATGTAGTTTACAGGTCTTAGAGTCAAGTGGTATAAGGCTTGGGCATGATCCATGTGATGGGTGGAAGAAGTCAAATTGCTCCATGAGGAGATGTGAAGGGTTCTTCAATTTCTTAGGTGGCATGCAGCATGGTGGCACAAGAAAGGCCATGAACACACACTTAATGCTGCTACTGACCATGAGGGTTTGGTTGCCTATGTGTGTTGCCAGGCTCAACTTAGGCACAATCTCACTGACCATTTTGAGAAAATGTGGATAGTGCATCTTTCAGCTACTGCAGGCAGCCCAGTTGGGAAAGAGGATGAGGAAGGAACAGGCAACTAGCATTGTATGACAAGTGAAGAGCTGTATGTATAGTAGAGAACACATCCAATAACAGTCTCTAACTCAATGTCAGACTTGGTTGTATAAGACTATGGACAGTCTAAGCCTAGGGTAGAGCTGTGAGCACCATTTATGCCATGGCCTCCTGCAAGGCAAACAAACATGGTACGAACACAGAGGAACTTGGCAGCACATCTTGTTATTATCATGAATTAATGCATTCATTTGCCTTGTAGTTACACTAGTTAATGCACTACATGTGTCTTGTAACCATCAGGTATAATGCATTACTACCCCAGGATGTTGTGACTTTTTGATGAGTGAATACAGTGAAGGCATTGTATGTCACAATTGAGAATTTACAGAAATACCTCATGAATGTGAATTACTGAGTTTTATAAGACAATGGTATTGAAATTAGCAGCAAGTGCTTTCTGGAAATGAGGAGACAAATTCCCTGCCACATGCTTAGTCACATCATTGGTGGCAGATTGACCATGAAAAACACAACTCTCCAGGAGTAAAGGTGCATGAGTTGGTGGCAACAGACCTATATGAGCAAGGGCAACTTTCCTACTCTGTGTTTCAAGTTATTTTGTTATTGTCAGGATCCATGTACATTCTTGTACTCCCTGAAACACACCTGAATGATGGTTGACACCACTAGCACAAGGAGTGAAGTTTTGAAGTTCCTCATGCCAGAGTCATGTTCTGTACTTTCCCTTTCTTTCTGGTTACCTTTGTTCATATCATTTCATTGTTTCACACTTTCAAAGTTACCTCATTGCAGTATACTTCAACATTGCCTTGATGCCACTGCAATGCCCCCTTTGTTTCATTGCTGCATTCTACAGGAACACTTTGACTTGACTTGCTCCAGTAAAATGTTCATGTATAGTCATTGAACTTAACAGAATACACCCAGATTCTTAGAAGTCTATCAGTTTGATCATTGTCTCAATCAACCTATTTTCTTTGATCTATTCACTTCCTCATTAAATTCATATGGTTCTCACTGCCTCCAATGATGTTGGTGTGAGTTTTCCTATTTCTCCATGTGTATCTAAAGTATAAGTATTTAACATTTGAGGCCAGGATGCAACTGAGATCATTGACTTGAGTGATGATCTGATGATCACACATGAGCCTCTTATATTTCACAACTGCCAGAGCAAGATTGCACAGAATGGCTGCCCCAGTTGGACAAGGAGCTCTCATGTGCTTCTATGCTCAGTCTCTGCATAGTAGTTTATATCAAGAGTTTCCATCAGTGAGCTGTAATCTGACTGCTTGATGCCCTGCAACTGAGGGCACCAAGCATTCTCTTGGTTAGGTCACACATGTCATTGTGATCCATAGACTTTGGCTCAACCTCTTTTTTATATCATATATGGCTCAGTTCATTGACCTCCTGCTTGCGGGGTCGGGGGAAAACAATAATACACAAAGTAGAGATGGTGTCATTGAGTTCTTCCTTCATCAGGGTCAGTGGCACAGATTAGTAAGAGTTTTTGAATGGAGAAATATCTTCAGGAAGTGAAGATTGAATCTTGATAACCTTCCTCTGTTGCAACACAAGTGGATGTCCATGAGTTTTGCAACTGATGACTGTCACCTCTTCCACCTTGTGGAGAACATATTTCCTTGTAGTCAATGACCAATCACCATGACTATACAAAATCCAATCCTTGTTGAAAAAGAGAACTGCCAAAAAAGAGGCAAGAAATTCTTGTGAAATTCACCCTCATCCACCACCCTGCCAGATGTAGATGGACCGGAAACATCTGATGAGTACATGATGGTGAGAAATGGATTACAATACCACAGGAACATGGTGATTACCTTCTTGACAATTAGGATTGTTGGCAAATTACTGCCATTCTGCCATTTGCTGTAGCAGAACTTGGCAGAAGTACAAAAGGTACCAGAGGATGCATGAGACAAATGTATGAATAACTGTATAGTTGTCAATGCAGATCCTTTCTGTATCTACCCAGTAAATAAACATTAGTGCTATGTGTTTATCCATGGCTAAGTCTAGAGGGCGCCCTCTTCCCAAGGTTGTTGAAGACAATTGAAAAGAGGGCATAAGTGTTGGTTGCAAACCTCCACATCTATCATCAATGCCACCATCCCTTTGCTAAAGGTCAAGCTGATAGTCTTTTGTGGTGGGAAAATCTCCCAATTAGTGTGGAGGAGTATCCACTCAAAGCACTCATGATCACTCTTCTTTCCATTGTCCCACATGCAGGTGACATTGAGCAGCTGTTCTTAGACATCGGCAGCACTCAATCAGTGAAGTGCTGCAATCTTTCAGCTACAACCTTCAAAACAATTGCAAAAATCCATGCAAACCTTCACTTCCACAGTGTCATATCCCACAATCTGGACCCATGTTCCATCATATTCCCACGCCTTCCGAGCCTACATCCAGACCACACTTCATATCCAACTCATTCCCAGATCCCCTTCTGCTGTGTGCTCCACACCTCAGCAGGATTGACTATGCTCAGGATTTACCCCTGAGCTCTGGACCATCGGATCTCCACTGCTAGCCTGAACCATAACCCCCTGTCCCATCCACCCTATGTACACTCCATCCAGCAAGACATCTGGACTTCACTTCATCTCAGTTTCTGGACTCTATCCACCTTCTCATATCCCGGTCCTGGATCCACCTTGTCTTCTGGATCCCCAGATCTCTGGACCTCCAGATATTAACTCCGGACCTATTCCTACCCTCTGTCCAATATCCAGCGCCTATCCCCATTTAGGCATTCTCTGCTTTCTGGCTTTCAGTTACCTCTTCTTCCGTCTTGCTTATTGATCCTTGTACAAGTCTTCATCTCCGAGCTCATTTACTTATGTTCCATCTTACTTACTAATGTGTTTCCACATGCTCATACATAGCCTTGCTCCTTTGCTTACTGATCCCCTCAGATAGTCTCCAGTATATAACTCCTGTAGATACTCCTGTAGTTTCCTTAGTTTGAATATCAACTTAGACTTGCTCAATCCTCTCTTGGACTTTGGTCCACCTAAGTCTGTCCTACCCATCAGGCCTAGGGATTGATTCCCTAGGCCGGAGCTCCACCTTTCTGGCACTTACCCTCTTTCCAGACTTAGGTCCAATCCCTGTCTCTCCAACTCTACCTTAGGATAGTCTACCTCTGTTTGTTTCTACATTGGACAAAGTCCGATGTAGCTCCTATTCCTTCTGGACCTCTGGACCTCTGGACCTCCTGTCCTTTGGATGTTCCGCCCTCCATACCTTCAGACGTTCCATCCTCCTAACCCTTGGACATCCTGTCCTCCTGTCCTTTGGACATCCTGCCCTCTGTACCTTTGGACATCCTGTCCTCTGGACCTTCGGACCTCCTATCCTTCCATCCTGTTTCCTGTAGAAGTATTACCTTGCAGTGGGAACTCTCCTGAGCACTTCCTGTGTTCCTCCAGAACTCTCCTGTGCTCCTCTGGATGTTTCCCATGCTCCTCTGGAAGTCCTCTGGACTTCATTGGACCATCATTGGACCTCATATGAAATGAAGGGCACATACTCAGGTAAGGGGCACAGCATATGAGCTAAGGCCAAGCCCCTCTGAGTCAGTCTCTCTCTCCCTTGAGCAACATGGTTCTTAACACACAGCCACCAGAAGACACTCGCTAGTGGGAGGCCTGTTCATCACCATCATGCACACATGCATACCCGAGATGAGCCTGGTATTAACCTTGATACAGTGTGCAACCTTGAAAACACATTCACATTTGAGCCACCACTTGCAATCCAAAACAACAACTCAGATGACCTGCTTACTGGCCTGGAAGACATTTCAGTTGATGAGATTAATGCAGAGTTTGATGCACTCGAGAAGCAGAATGTTGTTGAGAGATTCAAAGATGTTGATATTGATGGACTCAAGATATTGGAAGGTAATGTGTATAACTTTGACAAGCTAGCACAAGTTGAGGCTGGTATGGTGCCAAAATCCATCAATGAGGAGTTCTCAGTGATTAATCATGGTGTTACAATACACCCTGCCCTGCTGTACTTTTTCTTCTCTCTTACCATCTATTGTCTCCATTTGACTCATCTTACGTTTACTGTATTACATCATGTGCTGCTACTGCTGCCATTAGATGCTGTCTACATGTCCTGTCTATGTGTACATTTCCTTTCTGGTATCTCTGACCTCATTGCACCATCCATATTAGGCATATGCTCATATCTTTACTTACTCACACCTGCCCTAAATTCCTCCTGGTATTCACTATAAATACATGACTCATAACTGTGTAGTTTCCTTACTTTAATCTTACTAGGTTTTACCTGGAACATCCTTTGCTCAAGACCTCCAATCTTAAGTCGTCTGAACAGTACTTTAAGTCGGAGGCACTCCCTCTGTCTTAGCTTACTCTGAACACTTGGCTTATCACCTTGTGTAGATTCTTGGCAGAGGTTCTGACTGTTATTGAGTCATCTGTCATTAGAACTATCCTAGTTTGTAACACATGGTGCAAGAGGTGAAGAGGGTGGTTGGGACATTGCATCATTATTGTCAACCAATGGTTTCTTGTAGTCAATAAAAAAATTTACCTCTGTCTGTTTTTGCTGTGGCACAACCCTAGTTCTGCCATGTTCTGCCAGTTCTGCCAGCAGAACTGCCCACAAATAGTTCTGCCCACAACACTATTGACAATGCAATGCATATCACTCCATGTCTATTGATATCCTCATCAGCAAGCAATAGTTTCACTAGATTTTATCATGCTGTGGACCAGATCAAAAGTGTAAATTGCTCTTGTCCTGGATATCAGGTAATGATAATTCTCTTTCCTCCCTGTTTGTGCGACATCATCACATATTAGAAAATTTTGTTGACCCCCATTCAAATACAACCAATTTGGGATTCTACAAAAGTTATCAATGAGACAATTTCCAAGTGCTTGTCACTGGCTTTGAATAACTTATCAGTGCTTTGTGACCATTGTGAGAAACACAACAAGAAGAGAACTGGAAAGTAGACTTCTAATGTTGGGCTAAATGTGCTATGCCTAGCTGCTATTCAACCCTAAAGGGTTTCTGGACTAAGCTCAGTGCTCAGAGAGGATAGGAAATCATGCTAATGACTGCTCAGTCTCAGACTGGTGCTGGTAGGTGGTGAAAACTATCATCATTACATAAGCACCAAAAGTGCGAACATAACACTAAGTAATATCTGCCTATATAAGCTCACAGAATATGAAATCCCTACACCATGTAACAGTCCAGCGTCCATGTTGAAGCTAGGCTTTACAGATCCCTCTCCTTGTTTCAGATGGACTGACATATTACTGGTGTAACTCTGTAACAAAAAGGGTCATATTAGTGCAACACACTGATTGGTGGACATATAAATGCCTATCACACATTTATGAATCACCAGCATGATCTAGCCTTGAAAACCTTGTACTGAATGGAATTACTGCCATGATCACATTATTGAAATCTTGTAAGGGGTGAAGCACCATGTGTTTCATTTTAAAACCCCATGGTGATGAGGGAGGGATCATTACCTGACAGTGAATTACATATCATCAGTAAAATCCAGAGCTCTGGCACATGTACAACAGAGATCAAATTCAAGCATACCTGCTGCACTTCCTCTAGAATACTGTCATAAGGTATTCATGGTTCTTACCTTGATGAGTTTACTGAAAAGTTATCTCATAATGGATCAAGAACTGTCACTGCTGAGCACTGAATACCAATCAACCACCTAATCATAGTGTTTGGTGCATGAAGCCACATCTTTCTCCATCACTAATGCTGCAGCACATACTTGTTTGAAACTTGATGTTGAAATTCCTTTGCCTTGAGGGCATAGTGCTGGATGGACAGGATTTACTCATCAACTGGTTGACAACTTCTGCCTCAATATTTGTGAAACTTGTGGGCTGGCCTGTGTGTCATGTTATAGAACAGTTCCACTGCTTCACTCAGTCAACCTGTGGCACATAGCACTGTTACATTTTGGTAGATGATTATTCACCAGAGATCAGAGAATCTTGCACCACAACAGTATTAGCAGACAGCACCTGCACAGCAATAAATATAGCTACTAGAGGAATGGTCTTGAGCCTTGGAAATTCAGGACCAAATGGATCAAGGGTCCTTGCATTTGTGAATATGTAGGTAGATTTCAATTGTGATCCATTCCCTGCTGAGTGGACATCATGTATACGGAATGTAGTGCACACGTTCAAAAATAGTGGATTGTTACCCAGTAATCCACATACCATCTGGGGACCATGAGATGCATGATACACCTACCATATCTCTACAGCCCACCAAGAATGCTGCCCTTCCGATTCTATATTGTATTAGTAGTAGACACAAATAATGTTGGTACTGTGACATTGTTAGAATTAAGTTGGTGACTGAGCATTGGATTGGAGGAAAGGACATGAATTTGATGGTAGGTTTGTTTGAATACAATGCTGGGCCCTTTTTTCACCTGGATTGTCCAGAAGGATTCCCACTCTGGACAATGAAGGTGGAACATGGCCATAATGAGGGAAGTAATAGCACCCTGCATGAAAAGGGAGGGAATTGATTGACTAGTTGAAGTAGTACTAGATAGCACTGAGTAAGTAACTCAAGTGAGCTCAAGTGATACTGCCAGTGCTAGCTATGGATATTATGATGAATTTCAGTGACAGTGCATTAGTAAATTAACACACTACTTAATGTACTTTTCAGCCACTTGTTGCAAAAATTGATGTGCTATTTGCACTTATTGCACTTGCTCACTTGTGCTGAATATTTATCAAGGGCAAAAAGTGTATTAAATATTTGTTAAGGGGCAAAAAGTACAAAAAGGAGCACAAGCACAAGGATTAAATTGAAACATAGGATAAATACATTAGTGTTAGAATGTACTTGAATACAAGAACAAATGAGAATTGGTGTGACTAGGAATGGATTAGGAGATGGCTGTGGTTGCTGCTACTGATGAGAATCACTCATCAGCATGTCTTGCTTGGCAGAAGCTGCTGTTGCAGGCCTGTGAAGGAGGGACTGGGAATGGACCAGGGGGAGATGGCTGTGGTTGCTGCTGCTGACAAGACACATCTTGTTCAGCAGAAGGTTAACAGTCTTGAGAAAGTTCTCGACAGTAAGATCATCACCTGCTACATGAGGTTGCACAAAGTTGTGATCTTCATAAGGTGGAGGTGGACAACTGGGAGTGGGTGGCAAGCTCACACTATGCTATCATGCAAAAGGATAAGTGGCACTATTCATTAGCAGTATGGGCATAGGTACTTTACCTCTGAGGCAGAACTTTTAATGCTGCTATTGCAGACCTACCAAGGAGGGACTTACCCTCAGGTTTGGTTGGGACTGGGAACAGACCAGGGGGAGATGGTTGTGGTTGTTGCTGCTGATGAGAATAACTTGTTAGTATGTCTTGTTCAGCAGAAGCTGCTGTTGCAGATCTACCAAGGAGGGACTTACAAAGTCATGATCTTCATAAGGTGGAGGTGGACCACAGAATTATATGTGCTTGAGTTAATGGTAATTGGACTTGGGGAGGGCAAAGTTCATTGGCAAGATGGTCAATCCTAACTCCAGGACTTTGAGTTGGTGGTATTTGGAGGAGATTAACACTTACTGTTCTGCCATAGGAAGGGGGATCATGACACTACCTTGAATGCATGGTAATCAGTGTATTTGTTGACATAGAATAAGCAGAAAGCATCATAACAATGAGAATACTCAATGTCATTAGGAATGAAATCAGGACCGTAGACAGGGATTAAGTGCACTGCATCGTAAATGGTCTTGATATGAATAACAGTGAGGTTTGGGGTGCCATTGTCACAAACACTTGGACAGATTATCCACATGCCAGTATCCTCATTGGGAGTCACCAACCTTATTGAACCAATGAACAAGAGTACATGGATACATGGTGGCCCAATTGTATCTGAAGGAAAAAAAAATCTGACTCTGGCAACTTCAAGCCCTTTCATCCCTTCAAGGTCTGAATTGGTGTTGACAAACATGCAATCATTACAGGCATAGACATTCCACCAGAGTGGACATGCATGGATCTGTTCTTGTTGCATGCCACTAATGCTGCTGGGATCACTTGACACATAAAAAGTCACAGTAGCAGAATTAAAGACATGAAGTCTACCATCATCACATCAAGGGCAGCTAACAGCAGGGACATCTTCAGGGTTGTGAGGATCATTGGAAAAGAGTTGTGAAAACAGAAAATAATGGATAAGGCATGGCAGGTATGGTATGTTGACCTCATCTGCTAGTGCTGTTACAGTCTGTGCCCATGTTCATTCTAAGAAAAACCTTGGTGAGTATTAAAACTGACACAAGAGAGTATCACTTACAAGGAGTCCTTGCAAGCTTTACAAATGAGAGCAGTACAGTCAGGCCATCAACAACTTCACTGTTATCAACATCATCTTCTGCCTATGGCATGATAACCAGGGCATCTGGATTATCTTCAAGGATGACAGCTGCATATTGAGTATGCAAAATGATAAGATTAGATACAAAAACTTATGCAGAGCAGCCACAGCTCTTGATAATACAGAGCCAATGAGCATCGCACAAGCAGTGAAGTCTACATGAGATGCTGTGAGTTTGTCAAGGCGTTGGTTAGCCAAAAGCATTTGGCCAATGGTGTTATGCTTGCTAGACCACCTCCAAGGTTGTTTCACTGCCTTAATGTGCTTGGATTCTGTGATCAACAAGCACAATCCATTCAGCACACCAAACAGTCAGATCATGTCTGCATAGTGGGTCATTGAGTGCTGGCAGGGTAATGAGAAGTGAGGGACTGTGCCTGTGGTTTTGAAGATCTGGTGGTAGTGGTGAAACCAAGCAAGTGCATCTTTGAGTTGATCCAAAGAGGTTTCAGTAATTATGTTGCGCCATGCAATATAACAAAATTCTAAAAGCACACGAAATGCATGCATCATGTCTTGAGGTATGTGGCCTTTGATAGCCAGAATGAAAACCTTCATAAGGGCTTTGGAATTGTTGCCCATCCATTGTTTAAAGCCACAGCCATCAGGAAATTTCTGTAGACCAGTGAATGGCACCACAACAGCAATTCCAACTCAAGGTTAGAGAACGCTGGATTGATGAGTGAGGTAGTATACCTTCAATCTACAGTGGCTCAAAAAACTGTCCACATGTTTTGACATTTTTCACTATCTATGATATTGTGTGAGAACGAACAAATGCCTCAAGGACATGCTTATACCACATTGTAGTATGGCTTCAGGGCTTTCATTTGAGCCCTACGCGGTGGGAATATATGGAGATATGGTGGAGATACAAGGCTTACAAAATCATGACTCATGCGGACAGTTTTTTGAGCACATATTAAAACTATATAAATCATCATTTATGACACCATAACAATCATGCCACCATTAAATAAATTATAAAGTGGTGTCATTATGTCATTTTAAAACCATATCTAACTATACAAACCAAAAATTTCCATATGTCATGGTTATATTCGCCATGAAAGCCACCCCCCCTGCTCAAAGGGATAATATCCTCTCTCTTTCCTATTCTGGCCTCTCTGCTTGTCAAATTTCCTCTAGAACTGGAGTATCCAAGTCCACTGTGGCCAAGTTCATCAAAGAAAGTCACACAGACAAGGAAAACTTCTGTGAAGGGCGTCCATCCAAGCTCACCTCTACTGATAGGAGGGCTATTATTCAACATATCACTACAGGAAAGGCTGATAATGCTGTCCAGGTCACCTATTACATCAATTCCACCATCACATTCCCTGTCTCTTCACACACTGTGAGAAACATTCTCAAGACGGCTCATCTCAGGTCAGTAACAAGGAAGAAAAGGCTCTTGTCATATCCCACAATCCAGACCCACGTTCCATCACATTCCCACGCCTTCCGAGCCTACATCCAGACCACATTTCATATCCAACTCATTCCCAGATCCCCTTCCACTGTGTGCTCCACACCTCAGCAGGATTGACTATGCTCTGGATTTACCCCTGAGCTCCGGACCATCGGATCTCCACTGCTAGCCTGATCCATACCCCCCTGTCCCATCCACCCTATGCACACTCCATCCAGCAAGACATCTGGACTTCACCTTGTCTTGGATTCCAGACTCTATCCACTTTCTCATATCCTAGTCCTGTATTCACCTTGTCTTCCGGATCCCCAGATCTCCAGACCTCCGGATATTAGCTCCAGACCTATTCCCACCCTCTGTCTGATATCCTGCACCTATCCCCATTTAGGCATTCTCTGCTTTCCAGCTTTCGGTTACCTCTTCTTCTGTCTTGCTTATTGATCCTTGTACAAGTCCTCATCTCCAAGTTCATTTACTTATGTTCCGACTTACTTACTAATGTGTTTCCACATGCTTGTACATAGCCTTGCTCCTTTGCTTACTGATCCCCTCAGATATTGTTCAGTATATAACCCCTGTAGATACTCCTGTAGTTCCTTAGTTTGAATATCAACTTAGACTTGCCCAATCCTCTCTCGGACTTTGGTCCACCCAAGTCTGTCCTACCCATCAGGCCTAGGGATTGATTCCCTAGGCCAGAGCTCCACCTTTCTGGCACTTACCCTCTTTCTGAACTTAGGTCCAATCCCTGTCTCTCCAACTCTACCTTAGGGTAGTCTACCTCTGTTTGCTTCTACATTGGACTTCGTCTGATGTAGCCCCTATTCCTTCTGGACCTCCGGACCTCCTGTCCCTTGTACCTCTGGGCATCCTGTCCTTTGGATGTTCCGCCCCCCGTACCTTTGGATGTTCCATCCTCCTAACCCTCAGACATCCTATCCTCTGGTCCTTCAGACATCCTGTCCTTCTGTCCTCTGTCATCCTGCCCTCCTGTCCTCCTGTCCTCCTGTCCTCTAGACCTTTGGACCTCCTATCCTTCCATCCTGTTTCCTGTAGAAGTATTACCTTGTAGTGGGAACTCTCCTGAGCACTTCCTGCATTCCTCTGGAACTCTCCCATGCTCCTCTGGACGTTTCCTGCGCTCCTCTGGAAGTCCTCTAGCACTCTCCAGCAGAGTAGCCAGCCTCTGGAAGTCCTCCGGACTTCGTCGGACCATCATTGGACCTCATACAAAATGAAGGGCACATACTTGGGTAAGGGGCACAGTGTATGAGCTGAGGCCAAGCCCCTCTGAGTCAGTCTCTCTCCCCCTTGAGCAACATGGTTCTTAACAGCTCTCCTCTCTATCACACATATGCAGAGAGGACTAGCACCCTTCTTGTTTCACATATATACCTTGCCATCTGACCCAATCCTATTTATTGTGGTCTTATATGATCATATAACATGCTTCCAGTCCATGTAATCCAATTCTGATGGGCTAAGGCAAATGTTAGTCCTCTCTGCATATGTGTGATAGAGAGAAGAGCCTTTTCTTCCTTGTTACTGACCTGAGATGAGCCGTCTTGAGAATGTTTCTCACAGTGTGTGAAGAGACAGGGAATGTGATGGTGGAATTGATGTAATAGGTGACCTGGACAGCATTATCAGCCTTTCCTGTAGTGATATGTTGAATAATAGCCCTCCTATCAGTAGAGGTGAGCTTGGATGGACGCCCTTCACAGAAGTTTTCCTTGTCTGTGTGACTTTCTTTGATGAACTTGGCCACAGTGGACTTGGATACTCCAGTTCTAGAGGAAATTTGACAAGCAGAGAGGCCAGAATAGGAAAGAGAGAGGATATTATCCCTTTGAGCAGGGGGGGTGGCTTTCATGGCGAATATAACCATGACATATGGAAATTTTTGGTTTGTATAGTTAGATATGGTTTTAAAATAACATAATGACACCACTTTATAATTTATTTAATGGTGGCATGATTGTTATGGTGTCATAAATGATGATTTATATAGTTTTAATATGTGCTCAAAAAACTGTCCGCATGAGTCATGATTTTGTAAGCCTTGTATCTCCACCATATCTCCTCTGATTCTCACGATGTGGTGCTCAATCCAAAGCCCTGAAGCAGCACTACAATATGGTATCAGCATGTCACTGAGGTCTTTATGTATTCTCACACAATATTGTAAATAGTAAAAAATGCAAAAACATGTGGACAGTTTTTTGAGCCACTGTATGTGCATGAAGAGGACTGTTGCTGGTGGATGGACTGTAAACCGCAAGGGGACAGGATGAGTCAGCCTTATGGTTATCCCTGGTAAAGGGGGTGAGAAAGAGTGAAAAAGACTATAAAATATTACTCACTCACACAGTACACAGATGTGCTCACTGGTATCTGGGTTCTTCCTGAAGAAAAACTGGACATCAGAAGTAGTCTTGAGGCCTCATTTTCTCATGGCAAAGGGATTAGTAGCAAGAGTGCTAGTCACAGTATGTAGTGGACTCAGGTTTGCATTTGTGTCAGCTATGACTTCAGGCAGGTTGGCATCATCTTCAGGCAGGTTGGCATCATCTTCACTGCCACTGCTGACACTATCTATGTCAATATACTCACCATCATCTGGATGAGCAGCTGCATTGTCCATCTGGAATCGGTGAGGAAGTTGTCATTGTCTCCTAGGGCGGTGAAGAGTAGTAGCAATTGCAGCTGCTGTGGTGGTAGTTACAGTAGGAACAGGTCCAGAAGAAGTAGCCACATGAGTGACATGTATGGAAGGTGCAGGAGCAACAGGTAAGGAAGGTGCAGGAGTAACAGGAATGGGTGCAGCAGGAGTGACAGGTATGGAAGGCACAAGAGCAACAAGTACAGGAGCAGGAGGAGTGTCCTCAACCTGGGGGATATTGGTGTTCTTGCGACGATGGCTGCCATGACATTGCATGTTAGTAGTGTTGGATGCTGGAGATGCAAAGACAGACTCACCTATCTTTATATACTTTCGTTCTAGGGAGACCCAGGAAAATACCAATGTGCATGATGGCACGGAATCAAGGTGTATTAGGTGTGGATCTCCATGTGGAGAACACCAGTAGATACATTAAGATGATATTAGGGGTGATCCCTGCTGAGGAGTCGGAGAGATCGGATGATTGAATGTAACATACAGTGGTGGTTGTGATTCTTGACCCAGGGAATGATCAAGATAAAGTTCAAGTTCAATTAAGTGTGGGTGATGTGGAAAGGGCATCCATCTCAGTATTGCAGCATGGGAGTTAACACAGGAATTATACAGCATGTGCGCACAGACCATGTACAATATACACATATGTAGATATACACTGCACTTCGAAGGGAAATAATGGGAGGGGAATATGTGGGGGAAATCCTGAATAACATGCAGATAAACATGAGATAAACATAGAATAACACCAAAACGATTAGAGTCTGTTCAGGAAGGATTATTTTGCCCAACTTTGCCCAACTTGAAAAAATAAAATCCAATTAAGTAAGCTCAGAGCTTGAAGCTGATGTCACACTGATTGGCATTATCAGTAACAAAAAACATATGCCACACATACTATTGCCATGCTCCCCTGTCTCTTACACCATGCTGACAACCCTTCCACTGATGACAATATGGTGGTCAAACAGGATGAGCAGGCTGATGGGCAGGGTGTTGAGGATGCAGAGCAGTCAGATATCAAGAACCTCCAAGCTATCATAAACTTTTTCCAGGATATGGTTGTTTCAGCATCTGAAGTTGTCACTCTTGCCAGGGACGCCATTAACTCCTATACAAACACATATTACAACAAACAACCATACCATACTTCAGCTCTGTCTGGGATTGACTGGGTCAATGAGCTTCTGAACAGCCATCCAGAATGAATCCAATGTGAGCTTGGTGTATGCTGCCACATATTCATTGTATTGCGGGATATACTTCATGATGGTGGAATAACCAACTCAAAAAATGTAATGTTGGAAGAGCAGCTGGCTATCTTCCTGTATGCCTGTGTTACAGGCCTCGCTGTATGGCACCGAGTGTTTTCAATGCTCAAATGATACTATATCAAGGTATGTCTACTAGCTCTCATCCTTACATTTGTTTAATATTCTACAAGGTATTTCAAATGGATTCTGATCGCATTGTCCTCCCAACCAATATATTCCACCTATGTCCAGCTTCTGAATGCACAAACTCCAATACCTGCTGAAATCCTCAAGACGAAAAAATTATATCCCTACTTTTCCGACGTAATCGGTGCCATCAATGGCACTCACATTGCGTGCCATCCCAATGCTGTTGATCATGATGCTGCTCATGATCATGACTGCAAGGGCAATTTAACACAAAATTGCCTTGTCGCATGCAATTTCGACATGTGGTTCACTTACATGTTAAGTGGCTTCCCAGGGTCCGCAGCAGATGCTTGCCTTTACAACGAGGCTCGCCTAACCAATTTCACCATCCCTCTGGGCAAGTTGTACCTTGCAGATGCAGGATTCACTGCATGTGATGAGTTACTCATGCCTTACCGCATGTGCACTACCACCTGGCTGAATGGGGCCAGGCAAATATGCTGTATGTTATCCCACTGACTTACTACCCTAGTACTTATTTTTTTCAGGCCTCACAATCCAAAGGAACTATATAATCTATGTCATGTGCAGCTCCGCAATGTCATTGAACATATCTTTGGCATGTTGAAAAAGCGGTTCCAGATTATTCACATCCCTCCTGAGTACAACTTAGATATCCAATCTCGCATCCCTCCAGTGTTGTGTTTCATACACAACATCATCCGATTCCATGACCCCGACGATATACTAGACTATCATTGTGTGGATTCCAATGAGTGGGGGGCTCCTTATGACAGCAGTGTGCTTGCTGATGGGCCACCCACCAATGCGGCATGCACCCGTGCACATGAAGTCCACAATGAAATCACACAATCGATGTGGGTTGATTATCTTCAAGAAAGGCTTCGCAGAGGCCAGCCTTTACCACCTGATGTACAAGTAGAATAGTGAGGCTGTTTGTCATTTGTCATTTTTATTGTTGTTTTCATTGTTGTTGTGTTTGACTCACTCAATGTACAATGTATTGTTCCCTTGCTGCTAATTCAGTCTTGATTGCGCAAACATGAGTCCATTGATTGCAGTATGAATGAGTGAGATACATCATGGGGTTCAACTAGTTATATTTTCCTTTGCCCACACTTCCCTCACTTCCTGTAGGCACCATGCTAAAAAAACCTCACGGACACCATCCCATAGGATCACATTATAATTATCGGTGATGGTGACATCAGCTTGGAAAAGATCCATTATGGTGACCACCTTGTGATCATTCAAGCTCTTTTCTTCTTGCACCTGAAGGACAGTGCGCTGCTTACAGGCTGGGACAGGATCAGTCAAATGGCCAGCAACAGTGTCCCGAAACAATGAAGTGGTGTTGGCTATGCGATCAACAACTTTCTCCCCCAACTCTTTCAATATGAGTGGCATAGTGAGCCATTGTGATTTCAATGATCCTGCTATGCTCCTTGATTTGGAATGTGGGGGGCAGGAATGAGTGCATGAGGAATCATCCCCATTGTTAAGGTCATACTCAAAGGGTAACTGGATCTGAAGGGCTTCGGCCTCAGCTCGTGCACTGTGCCCCTTACCCGAGTATTGCCCCTTATTTCAGGAAGGCAAGACTAGTGTGTCTGGAAGGTCGGACAAGTAGCGTAATGGATCTGGATGACTTCCGGATGAGGGATAAGTATTGTATGGCTAATCCAGACAAGTCCAGACTAGAAACTAACGGTAGTGGACTGTCAGGGACAGAGGCGGATATGGATAGACTATAGGAATCAATCCTAAGTCTTGGAGGGTGACAAGAGTAGAGGTACTCAAGTCCGGAGGACAGGAATGAGCAGAACTAAGATGATATTCAAACTGAGGTACTACAGAAAGTTACAGGAGGTTATATACTATAGGTATCTAACGGAATGATCAATCAGCAGAGTCTGAGGCTATGTATGAAACATGTGGATAGTCTATTGGTAAGTAGAAACGGATCACAAATCATGAAATGGAAATGAAACATAGGTAGCAGATAAGGGAGCAGGATGGATATACAGATAACTGAAATACCGGAGTTAGGGGGTTACCGAAAAGAGACGAGTGCTGGTTGTGGATTCAGATGAGTTGTGGACCGGACCGGATGAGTGGACAGATTGAATGACAAGATGTTGGAGGGGGATAAGATGTGGATAGCATCAGAGATAAGATGTGGATCTGAGATAAGGGTCGGATCTGAGATCTGGATATGCAGATATGACACCCATCAGATTTGCGCTTCATTGCAAGTGACAAAGTAGACATAGAAGTTATTGAAGGAGACATGAAAGGCTGGAGTGCTGCATTGAAACCTCTCAGTGTGACAGGTGTGTGAGGCAGCGGCAGCATTGACCTAGAGTCACTGCCCATCTCAACATTGCCAGAGCTACTAGGACCAAACTCAACCCAGTCAAGCACTTTCTCAAGCGTTGACATGGCCTCGTCACCCTCGCCACTCATGATGTCACTACTGGCTGTTGGTGTAGCTGTTGGCATATCTGTATTGTGGCCTGTGGTCATGGCCTGGCTCAAGCCAGCATAGAAGCCAGTCCAGCTGCTTGTGGTCACTGGGATGACACCCTGCAACTTCTCAAAATGCAGCCATCCTTTGTTTTTGAAGGCCTTTGCATCAGGGTTCTTCTGTGTGAATGGTTAGTGTGGTAGAGCAGGAGAGATGGACAATACATACTGAAATGTAGTCCATCCACATAGTCTCGCCTTCATCATCAATATTAGCCCCTTTTTCGAAGTCGTACAATACACCTGAAGCATTGCTCAGTTTGTTGACCACCTTAAACACTTTTCTTAACTAAAAATGTGTCAGTTTCAGTACTGGCACTCAGAGACAAGTACTTATGCGGCTCCATTTAGATTGACAGGAATCAGCCATCTTGGGAGCACCCTCAGGCACTGGACCTGCTGCCATATGTAGGGCAGCATTATTCCAGAAGGTCCTGGTGAAGTTTGTCCCATCTCCCGCTTTGGAATGCTTATCTGCAATATAGTCGACCAGCCTCGTTTCATCAGCCAAAGACCAGATGCAGTGATCTCTCATCTCTCCGGCAGAGTCTTGATTGTTGGTGGCTGCCTTCTTCTTGCCCTTTCCTTTCCCTTTGGGTGGCATCCTCAGGCTGGTGGCACTGTGTAAATGGTCAGACCTCGTTCATGTCCAGGTTGAGGGCATATTAGCATGATAAGCCTACTGACTGTCACTGATCTGTCACAGTCATCCGGCACACCAGCAAGCTTACTTAATCAGATTTTAGTTTTCAAGTTGGGCAAAGTTGGGCAAAATAATCCTTCCTGAACAGACTCTTATCTCATGTTTAGTCCCAGTTTACAGTACATATTCCCTGAATAAAGTCTTTGGTTTTCCTTGAATATTCAACACAGTTTATTTTTGGTATGCTAAGTAATACAGATCCGCCACTGGTACACCCTTCAAGCCCTTGAGCACTGCTAAACTGGGTCCACTGGCAAAGAAGAGGGCATCAGAAACCACAGGGAATGCGTCCAGTTTAAAACAAGTGGCCTACAGGAGGGGACAGAGGGGGCAGGCTGTCAGCCTTTCTCAATCTATTCCCATCGCATCATCACAACCCAGCAGCAGCAGAACCCTTTGACCTAGGAATGAGTGTTGCTGAATCTGAAGAGTTGACCTGCAGGATGCAGCTGGAGCAGATGGATCAGGGTTTGAGTGAGGCCATGAGCGAGATTGAGCAAGCAACTGCAGATGACAGTAATGAAGTCATTGATCCAAGCCTTCAGGATATGGACTCCACATCAGCCTTGACTGAATGGCTCAGCCACAAACACACACCTATTCAAGACAGTGGTCCCCTATGAAATGCAGCATATATGCATCCCCAAGGGCATGGGAGTGCTTCTGCTTTGTGTACACCAGTCTCAGCCCCTTCTCAACCTGTTTTGACCATGCAAGGTCCTACCCCTGATGCAGTGACTGCAAGTCGAGCACGTTCAGTGACTCCAAGCACAAACAGCTCATTCAAACCCACTGCACATCATCTACTAGGAGCACCACCTCTCAAATCATCAGCACCCATCAATCAGTTTTGAACTCCTGACATACCTCCTGCTCATCACCCAGGCTTCTCAACTAGCACCAAACCTTCACAGCACACAGCTACAACATCACTATCCAGCTCAAGAGTTCCTAGTGCTGCATTTATGGATAAACTTGCAAATCTTGATGCCATTATCACACACCTCACTGAGAAGGTTGATCAAACAATGCTGCATAGTAGAGAATCAATTGAATTCAAGCCATGGATCGAAGAACTCACCCAAGCAAACCATATGCTGTGAGCAACTATTGAAGATCACCATGCTGCAATATATGAGCTTGAAAAAACTGTTGATGCACAGAGTGCATCACTAGAAGAACTACTCACACTGATAGATGGTCTTCGGTCTGCAGGAACTGCACTGCCAACGGTCAAGTCTGTTGATAAAGCAACAAAAGCAATACATGACAATGTGTTTAATGTGAGCTCATGCACAGCATCAATCAATATATGCGCTTACCTTTGCACAGAATGCAATCTGTCACACGTTCTTTCACATGATGGGCATTTCCAATTCCAAGCAAGCAATCTCGTTGAGTGTCCTCAATGATGGTGTTGGAGTTGACCCTGTTCAGTTAGAGAGCATTGAGTACAGGCGCACCAAACTAGGCCCCTTGACATCCCAGAAGTATGTGTGCAAGTGAGTGATTTGAGTGAGTGTTGACTCTGTTGAGTACTCCGAGTCAGCACAGCAGTATGCCATGTCTGCCATCATTGTGAGAGAAGACAATGAGTGCCCACAGCATACTGCGAGCACACTGTGGACTTAATGGTACATGATCAGGTGCCTAGCTTAGGCATAGCTAGCTCATATACGTAGTGCATGGTTATTTGCAGAAAACAGGACAAACACACTACATTAGGATTATTTGGGGATTACATGGGATTTTCTGAAAATAACAGCTGCCATTATTTTGCCTCAAATTCCAGTGTATACTCTCACATCATATCAAAAAAAACACGCGCACTGTGTGGATGTAGTACTGAAAAAAGAAGAATAAGAAGTAAACTATAGAACTCTTTTCTTCATTCAACACGAGGCAGGAGTAAGTGCAGGCATTACAGTACCATTGTGTGGATGTAACCTTGCAAATGATGAGTTCATAAATCAATGTGTAAAGATAAATGAAACTACTTACACATGAGTTGATTTATGAAGAGGCATCTTCAGCAGACATAGGGGCACCAATTCAGAGACTTGAGAATGTTGAGGGGAGGGTGCAGTGTGACAATTGAAATCCAGGGTGTGCATAGCTGGTGTGGGCCCTGCAGCGTGAAGTTTGTGAAGGAAAGAACAAAGATGGTCATAATCGGGATCCTCTGAAAATGAGAGAGAGTGCAAGTAAACAAGAATATTTGCAAATGCAGCAGGAATTCCACCACATAAATCAGCAATGCTGGTATCGACTTTGCACTCGAGTATCACAGAGCTGGACAGCCTCTCATGGTCACTATTTAACCATGGAAGGGAGCTGTGCAAGAAATATATCAGCATGTAAGCAAGTGATTTGAGATCATCATGACGAACTGGCTCCAATCCCAAGTGATTGTTGATTGAAGCAAAGGTGGGGGTGCCTGTGAGATGTCAACCTCAGTGAAATGGGATGTGGGATTTGGTTGCATTGTTCCAGTACTTCTTCGTAATACTGAAATCAATGATATAGGTAGGTTGTCTTGAACGGTCCACTAAGACATTATGTGGTTTGATATCCCCATGAACAATGTCATGTGAGTGAATGTACTTGAGATGCGACAGCTGGAAAATAGATTAGTATCTGCAGTAGCGAACAACAAATTGATACACAGTACCAGCTGGTCTCCTAAATTAACAACAGTGGGAAGGCTAAATTTGTGGTTGTATGCAAGGAAGAGATCGTATAGTGACAGCCTGAGGAGGTTGAGGGCCAAGGCGTGATATGTTGACTCCCTGCCAAACCAAAGGGCACAGGGAATCCCAACTCCACCTTCAAGTTGCTTGAGAATTTCATGCTTGTGCTCCACAGATGTCATATCCCACAATCCAGACCCATGTTCCATCATATTCCCACGCCTTCCAAGCCTACATCCGGACCCCACATCATATCCAGCTCATTCCAAGATCCCCTTCTGCTGTGCTCCACACCTCAGCAGGATTGACTACGCTCTGGATTTACCCCTGAGCTCTGGACCATCGGATCCTCACTGCTAGCCTGATCCGTACAACCCTATCCTGTCCACCCTATGTGCACTCCATCCAGCAAGACATCCAGACTTCACCTCATCTTGGATTCTGGACTATATCCACCTTCTTGTATTCTGGTCCTGTATCCACCTTGTCTTCCAGATCCCCAGATCTCCGGACCTATTCCCACCCTCTGTCTGATATCCTGCGCCTATCCCCATTTAGGCATTCTCTGCCTTCCGGCTTTCGGTTACCTCTTGTTCCATCTTGCTTATTGATCCTTGTACGAGTCCTCATCTCCAAGTTCATTTACTTATGTTCTGACTTACTTACTAATGTGTTTCCACATGCTCGTACATAGCCTTGCTCCTTTGCTTACTGATCCCCTCAGATATTGTTCAGTATATAACCCCTGTAGATACTCCTGTAGTTCCTTAGTTTGAATATCAACTTAGACTTGCCCAATCCTCTCTCGGACTTTGGTCCACCCAAGTCTGTCCTACCCATCAGGCCTAGGGATTGATCCCCTAGGCCGGAGCTCCACCTTTCCAGCACTTACCCTCTTTCCAGACTTAGGTCCAATCCCTGTCTCTCTGACTCTACCTTAGGGTAGTCTACCCCTGCTTGTTTCTACATCAGACTTCATCTGATGTAGCCCCTATTCCTTCCGGACCTCCAGATGTCCTGTCCTTTGGATGTTCCGCCCTCCTAACCCTTGGACATCCTATCCTCCTGTCCTTTGGACATCCTGCCCTCTGTACCTTTAGACATCCTGCCCTCTGTACCTTTGGACATCCTGTCCTTTGTACCTCCAGACATCCTGTCCTTCTGTCCTCCGTCATCCTGCCCTCCTGCCCTCCTGTCCTCCTGTCCTCCGGACCTTCGGACCTCCTATCCTTCCATCCTGTTTCCTGTAGAAGTATTACCTTGTAGTGGGAACTCTCCTGAGCACTTTCTGTATTCCTCCGGAACTCTCCCGCGCTCCTCCGGATGTTTCCTGCGCTCCTCCGGAAGTCCTCTAGCGCTCTCCAGCAGAGTAGCCAGCCTCTGGAAGTCCTCTGGACTTTGTTGGACCATCATCAGACCTCATATGAAATGAAGGGCACATACTCGGGTAAGGGGCACAGCGTACAAGCTGAGGCCAAGCCCCTCTGAGTCAGTCTCTCTCCCCCTTGAGCAACATGGTTCTTAACAACAGAAGATGGTTTGTTAGTGACTGGCTCGAGTTTGATAGCAATGATGTCATCGTTGAGGAAGTTCTGCGCACAGTACACAACAGCTAGTAACATTAATGTATGTTGAAAACCTGAATATGAATCAATATCATATGGACATACCATATGAACCAGACCCCAAAATATCTTCCAGCCTAAATCTACCATCAATGCAATCTGGGGCCTTCATGCTTTACAACAGGACTGAATATTGCAGCGAGGGATTGAACAATGAATGGACAATGACACACAGGTGACAGAAAGAAGATAGTTCAACTTCCACATGACTGAAGCTGACTGCAACCAGCTTGAACCAGCTCGAGTCAATGTTGCTGGAGTCATGGCTTGTAGCTGATTCACACAGCTAACAAGTCAAACCAAGCTGGACAAAGTGGTTCAGCTTACGAGGATAGCCAAACTATAGGTGTAGCTGGTAAAAGCTGAACCTGGGCTGGGCCAAGCCAAGTTGTTACATAACTACTTTTACCTACATATTATCAGACCCATGTTTTTGCTACTGCTTTTGCCTATGGACTCTGGATTTTCATGTAGCTAGTTATATGGGGCTGGGCAACCAGAATTACAATCACCACTT